ACCGCTACTGGCACACATATCTCGAGAGGAGCTGTTTCGCCCGACAATTCCGTATCGGAGAGACGGAAGCTGTTGTTACGCGGAGGCGATAAAAACGTATCTCGCGCGCACGGCGAGTTCCATTCGCCCCGCCCGTCCTGCCGAACGGATTTCATCTCTAGCCGCCGCAGATTATTCGCGAACCTGCCTTCCAGGTCAAGTCAATCGTCAGTTCGAACTGTGCAGCGAGATACCAATTGCAGATGGCCGGCGCGCGCTCCCCGAACAAAGGTGAACGAGGAGCGTCCGTCCGTTGTGCATCGTCGGCGAGCAGGGAGCCGGGGCAGCTCGGCAGAGGTGGGCCCGGCCGACGTGCAACGAAAAGGTTCCGAGTAGCTTCTCCGCTCGATGATTTCGCGGGAAGAGTCGCGACCGCCGGCGCGGCGACGGAATCCATCGGGGGAGACGCGGAGACGCGGAGACGCGGCGGGCAGGGAGAGACGAGCGACACGAGTTTTCGATCCGAGCTCCCTGCCGAGAGCCAGAATGCATTTCACCTGTTATCCTGTCGGTCTGTCTCGCTCGACGCGTTCTGGGGCTTTTCGACGGCCAAGGCGGCGATTCGTTCGCTACCCGCGACGAGTTTCCGCGATACGGCTGATCCCGAAAGCGAGGCCGTCGCGTGACGCCGATGATAATCGATGCCGAGTCAGGGCAGGTACTCGTCCGAGCAGCGAACGCTCCGTGTCTCTCTCTATCTCGCGCCGACGCGTCGCGTGGTTTTCGTCCTTCATCGCTGCACCCTTCTTTGTCTCTGTGCGTCTCCTCGGCGCGCGAGCTGTTTGGCAGCGCGATTTTTTTTTCTATTTTTCGGCATTTCACACGCGCCGACCCCGCGAAACTCTCGTCGTCGTCGTCGTCGTCGTCGTCGTCGTGCTCACGTAAACGAAACCACGGCCGAACGCACACGCCCTTGAACGTACGCGTACTTGGCTCGAGGAAAAAGAAATTCCAGCGGAGCCCAAATATTTACTTGCAAGGCCACGTGGTAAAAAGATGGAAGGGGGTCAGCCATTTGGCTCACGGGAAGACCAAAGGAGCGAGGAACGCTGCTGCCGGTGCTGCTGCTGGGCGCGCGGGTATAATAGAAAACAAACGACGGAACGGAGCCGCAGCGTCAAGGGGGTAACTCGACCAGCTGACCGAGGAGCGCGGCCATGTGTTGTTGCTACAGGAGGCGTCAGTCTCCTGCGGAGGGAAGACGGAGGGAGAGCCAGCGCGCGCACATGGCCCGAGGAGATACGGTATCCGGCAGAGCTGCGAGAGATTTGTCGTTCGGGGGCATCGTCGTTCGGAGAACGTTCACGGGGTTGGTCGCGTCGCTGTTTCGCACGAGCAACAGTTCGCGGAGAGAAGCCAAGGGCTGCCTGCATTGCGAGCGAAATGCTCGTCGTGTGTTTGCCGAGCGAGCGTGTCAGCGCGGAAGAATAACGAGCGGGGATCGACGTTTCATCGACACGCCTCTCTGACATTACAGCCTCGATTGGCCTTCGACAAAAAAGCCTCAGCCGCGCTTCTGTCAACGTGATTACGTACGCGCGGCTGTGTACACACGCGCGCGCTACATCGTCGGAGGCAAGAAAATTGACGAATAAGAGACAAGCTTAACGAGAATGAGCAAAGGGAGCAAGCGAGAAGAGAGCGGGGGTGGGGGTTCCCGGTAAATGGAGCAGCGCTGCGGTCAGAGAGAGAGAGAGAGAGAGAGAGAGAGAGAGAGAGAGAGAGAGAGAGAGAGAGAGAGAGAGAGAGAGAGAGAGACCCTTCCGCGTGCGACGATCCCGCCGCTCTGCCGCCGGCAACGACCCGCGCCCGGGGTCCTTCCTCGCGAATTGGTCGGAACGCCGGATTACGCAAGCGCGGCCGATCGGGGGCTCGGCCGGCCGGTCGCTCGGTCGCCCCCGGTCGCCCCCGGTCGCCCCCGGACGGCCGAGCGAGCGAGGCGCGGCGCGCGGCGAAAAGCCCGCGAAAATCGAAAGAACCCAGCCCGTGTGCGTGCGCCCGAGCGACCGAGCCGCCGCGGCGACCGCGTCGCGACGCCGAGCGATAGGCTGTCGTCCGCGCTGACGTCAGCGCGCCGAGCGACCAATGGGCTCGCGGCCCGCTCCCCACCTCTCGCGGCGCCGCCAGAGCTCGGCAGCGGCGCGGCTTTAACAGCGGCGGCCAAAGCTTCCTCTCCAAATCTTTGGACTTATTTCAGGCGCGCCGGCCGAGGTGTGCGCAACTGTCTCTTTTTCTTACTTTATACACACACGTACATGTCCCTTGCGCCCACGTTTCTCTCGTCTCTGCTGCGCTGCTGGACTTTTCTGTGCGTGTGCTCCAATTAGCCGTCGTTGTGTGTTGCCGCCGCCAAAGTGTGACAAGTGTTTGAAGATTCGCGCGCACTTTTCTTTTGTTGATTATTATTTTTCCGGGGCCCGCTGTGACAGTGAATTAGTTCTTCTCCGTCGTCTCTTGAGAGCGAGAGTAGTGCCAAAAACGCGACGGAGTCGGTGAGGATGCAGTCGCTGAGTTAGGGTGAGTTCTTTTTCTTTGGGCTGGAACGAATCTTGGAGAAAAGGTAGAGGAGAGAGGGACAACTCTGACTTCCGGTACTCCCGACGAACTTTGGCTGCTAGCCAAATTGGCAGACGTCGACAACTCGGGTTTCGAGGCGGAGCTTGCGAGAGACTGTTTTCCTTTTCTTTCTGCTTACTTTCGACGTCGTCGCCGTCGTCGTTTTTTTGCGCTCTCCCTTGGAACGAGCGACAATGTCGAATGGAGAGCAACAAGTACACGCACGCACGCACGCACACGTACACGCGCTCACGGGAATTTTTCGAGAGAAACTCCATTTTTGTTGTCCCTTGTCTCCTAAACAGCTTTACATTCAATTATTTTAGCGTGAAAGTTGAACGTATAGGCTTTAGGTTACGAACAAAGATCAATCCTCTGGCTACCGTTTCTCCGAAATCCTCTCGACGAAAGAAACAAACGCGCGCAACTTTTCTCGGAAAATTCATGAAATCAAGCGCTCATAAAGTTCACTGCTCGAGCATTTCTCTTGTTTTCGGCAGAAATCGTTAAGGCGCGCATACAGGCCAAATCCCCGGTATATATAGCGAAGGCGTGAAAGAGAGAGGTTGGAAAAATCAACGAAGCGCGTCGGAAAATGACTAGCCGAGCCGAGAGAGCTTTCGATCCCTTCGCTCGCTGCCGATGGCCATTGAACCTGTCCACACACGCTCACACCCCCGTCCACTTGGCGAAAGCTCTATAGACCCGTCGCGCACACGTATGTAGCGCCACATTGATCTATGCGCGCGGCGCGCAAAGCGAGAGAGAGAGATATGCAACAGGGTGCGCCCGTCGAGGCGCCGCGTTTGTCTTTTCCGAAAGGCCAGCTTTCGGGGACAAGTCTCCTACGGAGCTCGCGTTGATCCACGTAACGCGTGTCTCCCCGCCACGCACACAAAGGCACGAGCGAGCTCTCGTGCCCTCGACGTCGCGACGGCATCCTCGCGCGGGCGGCCGGCTCTCTTTCTCTCGGCGCTCGCCGATCGGCAATTCGATCAAGGTGTAAGGCGTATAGGTCAGTGCGCTGGTCGCTGACCCCCTCCCCACGTACCGCGGACAACTCTGCCCCGCTGCTGCTACTGCTCTTGTATAATAAACCGAATTCGATCGCGCTCTCTCTCTCTTTCTCCGTCTCTCTCCGGCTCTCTCCGGCTCTCTCCGGCTCTCTTCGTCTCCGCGCCTTCCGATTGCTCGTTCACTGCGCGCGAGAGGCCCTTTTTGTGCTCGCGGTCGTTAGTAAAATATGCAGAGCGAGGGAAGATGTGGAAGCCTACATACGCGACGACCAGGCGGCAAACACGTGCGACGCACATTGCCCGGCGCGCTCGGGGCTCTATACCTACTCCTACGCCCGCTTTCTCTTCCCCGCTGCGCCCGTGCAAGTGTGCGTCTATACGCCCGGTTTACGGCCGCCGCGGCGCGGCGCGTCTCCTCTCTCCGGCCGGCTTTGCCTCCGTCGCTTCACCTGCGACTCGCCGCCGATCGCGCAGAGCGCATCCCGTCGTCGTCCGCGTGTCGAGGCGGCGCGGCCACGTATACCTGCCGGCTTCGTGCGCGCCTTTCAATTATTAACAGAGCCGGCGAGTTGACTCGCCGTTAATAATAGACTAAAGCGACCTCGCCACTGCACGCCGCAGGCGCTCTTGCGCGCAAGTTTCTCCTGATTTTCGCGCTACTTCTCGATTTCAAACACTCCCCTGGCAGCTTGGAAGCGCGCCTTCACCGCTCGTTACCGGCTCGTTAAAGCCAAATTACGATTGCGGACTAGCTACGGATTCTCGGCGCAGCTCTCGCCGTCGAACGCACGAAAACTGCTGCCTCGTGAACCGCGCATCGGCACGTAGCGCGGTTGTAAACGAGTGCCGAGCGACGGCAAATTTAATGTCTCTTTGTTTATTGTGCGAGCGGACTTGAATATTCGAGGGCGATTAAAAGTGAGACGCGGTCGACTCTTAACTCGCTCTTTGTCAATTTTTCGCCAAATTCCACGCATTTTTACTACTCTCTTCCTCGTTGGATTGCACAAGCATGTCGGCTTGCCTCGTTAACCACCTCTTCGCGCTAGATTTGTTGTTTTTTAACAAAGTTCTTTTCACCACTGCGTCGAATGCGCTTTGCTTTTGCTCGCGGTAGGCAGAGAAGAGCTACAAATGAAAAAGGCATATGCCGCGGCGGTCGAATGCAATAAGCAAGGGAAGAAACGCCGTTCGCGCACGGCTCTGCTAATAAGCGGAGAGACGCACTGCGAAAAATCCGGAAGGCCAAGACGACGCACGCCTACGTCGTTTCGCAGCGCGGCTGATTATAAATTGAACGGGCTATCGACTGCGAGAGCTCGCGGCGCGCTCGAGTCGTCGAGAGCAAGTTCAGTCGCGTTAACGGATGGCGTCCCTCTTGTTTTTCAGTGTTTGGCAACATTCCACCCGGAGGTTTGACAGATCAGTCCTAATCAGCGCGAGGAGCTTGACGAACACACACGGCAGAGCAGCACACGGACAGAAGGAAACATGGGTCGGAAAAAGATACAGATCTCGCGTATCACGGACGAGAGGAATCGTCAGGTAACTATGCGACTCGCCGTAGCAGCATCGAACGAGCCGACTGTTGTGACGTTGCTGCGTTTGTGCCCCAGGTCACCTTCAACAAGCGCAAATTCGGAGTGATGAAGAAGGCGTACGAGCTGTCCGTCCTGTGCGACTGCGAGATCGCATTGATAATCTTCAGCTCGAGCAACAAACTCTACCAGTACGCGAGCACCGACATGGACAAAGTTCTACTCAAGTACACCGAGTACAACGAGCCCCACGAGTCGCTCACCAATAAAAACATCATTGAGGTGAGTCCTCCATGCCTCCTCCTACCCCCCACCCCCGCCCTGTTTTCGTTATTCGGCAGAGCTTTTCCGAGACGAAACAAAGAATGGCACGCTGGCTGTCGTCGACGTGACTGCTTGTTCTCTATACCAAACCTCCTTGCAAATCGTTGTGCCTACATCTGTTTTTGTTTTACTTATTTATTTTTGTGTCTTCTTTTATAAAAATCAACCGTGCGGTATTACCAAAAGTATGCATGCAAAAGAAAAAAAAAAAGAAAAATAAGACAAAGAAAAACCGACGAGAAAAAGAAAACAGTGTGTGCCCTCGGGCGGTGTGGTCACGTGAACCTGTCTGCTGCAACTTGCAGGCGCTCAACAAGAAGGAGCATAAGGGCGCAATGTCGCCCGAGTCACCGGAGCCCGACGCGCCTGAATACAATCTGACGCCACGCACCGAGGCCAAGTACGCCAAGATCGACGAGGACTTCCAGATGCTCATTAGGAATCAGAACGGCTCGAGGGTTCGTACATCTCTCTCTCTCTCTCTCTCTCTCTCTCTCTACTAACTCTGCTCTTGTGCGCATTGCGATGTTTTAAATACTGGTTTTTTCCACTTTGTTCCAGGCGATGGGACAATCCAACTACACTCTACCAGTCAGCGTGCCTGTCAACAACTACGGTGAACAAATGCTCGGCTCTAGTCCGCAGATGGCACACACCAGCATTTCTCCCAGACCTTCGTCGTCTGAAACGGATTCAGGTAAACAGCGTTGAACGCGCGATCGACTTTTCCAACACGAATATTAAGCCATCGGCTCGCCACAGTGTATCCACCGGGGAGCATGCTGGAAATGAGCAATGGCTATCCGACCTCGGGTTCGCCGATGGGCGGTTCGCCGTCGCCTGGACCGTCGCCAGCTCTCGGAGTGCCCGTTTCCAAGAATCAAGCTTCGAGGCACTCACCTCAACCGCCACCGCCGCCACATCCGCACAGGGGCAACTTGCGCGTCGTTATACCAACGCCACTCGCTCAGTCGCTTGCCGAAGACGCCAGTTACGACGTGAGTGATATTTTACAGCTGTGAGACAACGAACGACAAGAAAAGCTTTTTTTCCTTGTCACTTATTACTCCTGAACGATACGTTTCGATGACAGTGCTTGCCTTTTTCATTTGTTTTGCGGACTGTCTTTGCAGCGATACGAAGCTGTTTTTCTTACCCTCATCTTTTCGATTGCGAATCGCTACGTTCGTTTTTCTTTCTTTTTTTTAATCTGTATCTTACGAAAGCTCTATGAAATTGCTGTATTTTATTTTGTAACTGATATCTCTTTAAAATTTTGATTTTTAATAAAATATTTGTTTTGAATTCCAACTGTATTATATCATCTCGTATTTTTCTAGTAAAGTTTTTACACCCTACCTGCACAAAATAAAAAAATACATCTCGTTACTCTAGTGAAAAATCATTATTTTCTTAAATATTAAGCGAATGACATTTTTACTAGGGCTTAACAAATCTATCCGAATTAATTACGTAACATAATAATACACTAATAAAACTCATAGTAATCTCGATGAGTTGCATAATAAAAAGAATTATTTTTGACAACCACAAAGGGCGGCCATCCGCAGTCATCGCTGAACACGCCAGTAGTAGCGTTACAGACGCCGACAGTGCCGGCAAGTTACACCAGCTTTGGGCCGACTGATTACTCAACGGATCTCGGCAGTCTTGCATGGACTCATCAGAGGTACGTTGATGACTTGTCAATGTATTCAGCAGCCACCATGTCCAGTATAAGGTAATTCTCATTCAAAACACACATTAATTGATGTTACTACGAAAGAAACTATGCGTCCAGTTTTCGTTTTTCTTTTTCTCTCTTCTACTTGTGTTTTCTTTTTCTCATACGATTTTCTCCTGTTTGCTCTTTTCTTGCATGAGATGCGCATTTCTCTTATTTATGTGCCTGTATTGTTGTTTTGTATCCTTGTTCACTGAAAGTAGATAATTTTTTCCAATGTTTCCAAAGCCGCACATCCACTGGACTGTTATAGTTTTTTTCTGTAACACGGTTTAACTCCTTCCCCACCTCATAGCATCAGCTGCTTTCGAACTAACTTTAGCACAAGGTATATATGTATGTGTAGTGTAGTGTAAGTGTAATGTTGTGTGTGTGTGGAACAATGCTTATAGCACATAATACTGTTTTTGGGGAGACTATAATTCATTACGAAAAGCTATTTTGCATGCATAAATCTCACTGCATGCGGGGATATCTTACTAATCCACAAAGTACGTTTGCTCATCAATATACATTATACATTTATGAATGAACCAAATTTTTGTATGTGCGCGTGTGAACGTGTGATTACGTTTGTAACTGGTGTTGTAAATAATTCAGTGTCTGAGTAAGTATTTTAAAATAACGATTTATTTCCTTTAATGAACGTGAGCGATCAGTGATTAGTTTATTTACGAATGAAGAGTTTGATTATTTGAACTTGGAAAGATAATTGTCGATTCAAACGAATTTATATAAAATATATATACACAAGCAACGTAATTAAGGCACGAATGACAATGAAAAGAGCTATTTGGGAGAATCGGGACGGAATTAAACAGAAATAAAATTTCAGCAGTCTTCCTCACTTGGCGGTGTCGAGTAGTACACCACCGCCGTCGACGTCGCCAATTCCTGTCAAGATAAAGAGCGAACCGATCAGTCCACCGCGAGATCCACACGGTGGCGGTTCAAATGGCTCCGTTAGTGGTCCAAGCAATGCATCCGCCGCCAATCTTCACCATCCCGGTTAGTAATTTCTTCGTATTTACTTGTCCACGGCTACAATCAGGATAAAAGTAAACTGTTTTTCATTCGCGCGCATAGGTCACACGAGCCTAAACGTAAGCGGTCCGTCATCGTCGTCGGGCGGTGGACCACAAGCACCGCCGCCGCCGCATCACGTGAGTCAACAGCCGCAGCAGCAACCGCAGCAGCACGGCGGTCCACAAACGTTGAACCTTGTGTCAGTGAATAGGCCAGGCAGTAATCCACCATCGTCATCGCATTCGGGTAGTATAACCCCGACGAACTTACCATCGCCTGGTGCGCATCAAAGTCAATCGGTCGGGGATATGCGCTCGAGCCACGGTAATCCAGCCGGTGGAGGTGGTGGTGCCGGCAGTGATTACGAAAATGGACCGCTCATGAAACGCTCCAGGATCACCGAGGGATGGGCGACTTAATGGTTGGTGTCGACTCTATTCCGTGAATAATTTTCCTCTCGAGTGGCGACAATTCATTCCAATCTTCCTTTCGTCTGCGTCTAGGTGCGCAAGCTCAATGCCAGCAGCGTCGTCAAGCTCAAACGTCGGAAGGCCGAGCAGCACAAGCCGTTGCTACGATAACTATTTCGAGTCATCGTCGGTGATGAGCTTCGCCTCCGCGCGTTACACCTGAACAAGAAAAACATAAAAAATATGACGAAAGACAAGAGGAATAAGAAGGGAAAAAGATAACGAATATAACGCTATTTCTAATTGGTAGTGACGACAAACGTGAGAGCAGGGTTGCACTTGAGAGAGAAAGAAAAAATTCTTTTCCGTTCGATTTCCTTCCGCGACGCGGCGACCTCGGCAGCAGACAAATCCGTTATTTATATTTTGTTCGCGCGTGACAAGGAAGCGCAGGAATAGAGGAGTGATTGTTTGATAATGAAAGATAAAAAGACAAACAAACAAACGATGATGATAAAATGTGGTGCCATAATGTTAAAACTTTATATATGATATATAATATACGAATATTATATATACACACATAAACGCGCGGTAAGGATTATCTATATATATATATATATATATATATATATATATTTTTTCATGTATATAAATAAGAGGTGTTGTTTGTATATATACACACATGTGTCGCAAAGTAAGCGAGAAAGAGAGAGAGAGAGAGAGAGAGATAGAGAGAGTGAATACGCGAGAGGTTTCCCTTTTAATATGCGGCGACACACTAGCTGAATGTGCAATGATGCTGAAGGAGAAACTATGTAACACAAAGTGCGCGCGGAAAACGCATTTTTACCGCATCCGCAGCACACACAAGCGCGCGCGTGCACAATGTTGTTGTGTTTATTGTACTTGGTACGGTGGTAATCTCTCTCAAGGCGGCATAACCCGTTAATATCATATAGCTCATCTCTCTTCCTTTTTTTTTGTTTTCTTTCCCTTCTTTTATCTATTATATCTACTTTTTGCCATTCGAGCGGTGGTTACACATCAACATTTGTGCGTACTCGATCTAGTCATTTAAGTCGTATCCTTCTTAATTTGCTCTTTTTCTTTCCTTTCTATTACATATAACTTTGATCGATTGACCCCTTTTCTTTCTATCATTTTTTTGCGCGATTTTTTTTCTAGATTGATAAAGAGAAACGATATTCATTTTTTTGATTTTAAGTTTTATGTTTTTAATATTCTTCGTGTAAGTAATGACGAGGATCTCACACGCGTGCATGATGATGATTCTGTTCTGCTAATATATATATGATATATATTATTTTTTTGTAATTTTTGTGAGTTACATTAACGGTCTATGCCTGCTGATTGATACGTGAAAGTCGGCCACTGTACTCAAATTATTCATATTATATGAGAACAAGATTCGACATTAATATATTATATATACAAATATATATTATTAAAAAAATACTATTTGGTAGATAGGCGTATACTCTATAGCATTGTTATAACGAATGTATTGACAAACACAAATTCAGACATTAATGAAAAAATAAAAGTAATAGACCTATATATATGACTATATTGTGCAGTCAAACTCCTCAGGTTACCTGTTGATTGAGGGATAAATTTCAATGTTTGTGCAATTAATCGGTCGATGAATCGATTTGTTAGTGAACTGAAAGGTCTGACTGCATAAAATTTTTCACGAGTATTTTGCACATTTGATATTAAAGTAAAAAATAAAGCTAATGAACGATTACTTAACAAACCATACGAAGATTATAAACGACAGAAACCTTTTCAATGCCTAAATTTTTTGAAAATGAAAAACATCTGACGAGGGCTCATCTCACAAGTATGTGTCAGTTTTTTAATGTCTGTGAAATGAAAAATCAATTACGGAACGATTATTCGTATAGATTGGCTATTGCGTGTAAAGATGAACATTTTTTTCTAAAAAGTCAAGCGATAATTGTGCTTAACGAGGAAAAGTCTAAAAAAAATGAAAATTTTCAAAGTTTGTATATATACCGCGTATATACTTTTCATCGCGACCGCAAGTTCACGAGGTCGCAGATTGTGTGATGATTTAAATGAAGAACCAAACGTTAATCTAACGTTAAGAAATTAATCTTTAAGATGTAAGCGATACCAGTTTTTATCGAGTAGACCAACCAAATTGCTTGTCCAATTTTATACACGTGGTATTTAAAATATCGCGTGTATCAAAGTGCGACAACAACCGAATTTAGCGTTGCATTATTGTTCTATATAAAAGAAAAAGTTAATAATTATACGTTGAATAAAAAAATTGTATCAATAGCGTGCAACGAAACGGTGATTGATTTACTAACGGTTAAGATTGGTATTTAAAATGTGAAAGAACAAAGAGATGCGCGCGTAAAGTCTTTGTAAACAATTATAGAATAAAAGAAGATATATATTCAGAAAAAAATAAGAAAGAACAGTGGTACTCGTTGAAGCGTACCGATATTTTCTCTGGAGCCTTGAACTCTATGCCTTAATAATCCTTATCATTATCTCGAAAGACATATCCTCGTGAGAACTGCTCTCGTATGAATAAATTCGAAATGAAAAAATATGTGTAAAAAATGGAAGCAAATTACATCAGTACAATTTAATTATATAATCTTGATGGAGTACACAGGTAATTCGAAGTAAATAGTGCCTGGCACCGTTTGTGGCCCTCCTGTCATTTAAACTATATCGTGTAAATGATTGTCAGAACGAGAGAGTGTTTCTTTATGGCGCATATATTATATATATAGGCATCTGCGACTTTTTTTTTCTTTTTGCGTTTATTTTTCCATTTCTCAAATCCAAATGAGGCTGCGTTGAAACTTGTTACTTTGATCAAATGCAGATGATTCGTTATTATCAAGTAAATTCATTGTGCTTTCGCGTGAGATCGAAAGTTCATTTTTTTCCGTTTTTGCCAGTGTGTTTAATATAGAGAGAAAGCAACATGATTATTCACCGTTACACATATGAATATAAATATATATATATATATATATATATATATGTACCTATATTGTATAACTTCAAGTTTTTAAGGTAATCACAAAGTGCAATCTCTTAGCCAACACACTTTTTATCAGAGAAAAGACGGGCGAGAGTAAAGAATAAAGTTGTTATTTTTCATAAAAAGAAAAAGAAGAACGCTGATGTTTTGAACGTATTTTCTTATTGGCGCAGAAAATTGAAAAATCTTGATTTTATAAAATGCAATCATTGCGTCACTCTCTGTCCAAGCCAGTGTGATTAATTGTAACAAAACAAATAAGTAAACTATGTCGATCAGGATTAATGGACCACTCGATGTTAAACTGTAGATTTAGAAATGAAAAGAAAAACTGATGCGGAGCCGGACAAAGCTGCCATAGTCGAGTTGTTGTGTTATTTTTATTTTTTAGTTGTGTAAAAAACGAAGCTTGTTTTTATTTGTCTAATTTTGCGAAAAAAGCTGTAAACTCAAAACACAAAAGCTTTTGTATTACGAGATGACTATCACTGGAGATTATGCTGAGTAGAAGAATATTATGTAATAAAGAAAACGTTTGCAATAGTATAACTCAAAGTTTTTTCTTCGAGATGCAATTGTCCGGTGTCCGATTCTGCGTACACTAACTCACAATCATGTAAACAATGTGATTCGTTTGCTTGCTTAATGAAAGTGGAGAAATTGCATTTTTTCCGATATGTACCTAGTTAACTGTGAAGCTTTTTCGAGAGAAAAAGAGACGAGAAAGCGAGAAAGAGAGAGAAAGAAAAGAAACGTTGTTGCTTACGGAGTCTATTAGCCAAAATCAGGGTATACGTTGATTTATTTTGAAAGAAAAAAATAGAAGAAGCATCTATCGCACGATTTAATTTTCATAGCAAAGTCGGCAAACTCGTCGCACAATGGGATAACGCGGTATTGTTGTTGATAAACGGCACGTCAACGTGTATAGCGCAAAAGTTTCTTGTATGTAAAACAACGTTATATATTATATATAAATGGTATGTACATACACGAAAAAAATGACCACACCCATAATTACACACACACACACGCCACATAGACACATACACATACATTAAATGTACCTATATAACGATATATTTTTCATTCGGGGACGAGTGAATCCAAGAAGGCAATTGCGTGTGTGTAACCGTAGTATTAGTTTACTCGAGATATTGCGGCTCTCCGCCCAAGCGTAACAAATTTTCTTCTCTTTATGCTTGGACAATTGAAATGCGGACCACTAAAATTGGCGATCGTTTATTTTTCAAGTCAATACATTAGTAGCGGCGTATGTTAAGTCAACTCATATATCAGATACATGCAATGCGAGAAAGAGAGAGAAAAAAAAGCTTAGCGAACATTTCCGAAGATTTTTTTAACATATCCAGTGAAAATAACAAATAAGTATAAAGATCTTCGCGTTTCAACGAAGATTTTTGTACACCGTGTCTCCATTTTTCTCATTTCTTCTGTTTCTTTCTTTTCCGCTTGAACGTGCTTTTCTTGTCAGATCGACGGTGACTCCATAGAAAAATATACGTAACACGAAAAAAAAATATATATATAGTCGCAGGAAAGTAATAGAAAAAAAATATACATGAATAGGTAAGCTCATATAGTGCCATTGTAAACTCTCGCCTTCTCGTTCAGCGTATATACAAAAGAAAAAAATGGAGAACGCACACAGACACAATTTATACAGGCAGAACACGTACGCACGATATAAAACGCACTAAAAAAGGGAGTTAATTTGTGAACTCCTAAAATGACGTATCTCATGTTTTTTGCTGGTGCTCGACGATTGTTGAAATAAAAAATAAACAAAGTGTCACTATTCATTATATCATAAAGAAAACTACTAGCGTATATGGATTATTATAAATACCATTACTATTGTCATTATTTTATTATTGATTATTATATATGGTTAACATAGAGCTTTATTATTATTATATATTATATATATATTTTAACGATTGAATCCTCCCCGAGGGTGAGAAAGCGAAAAGAAAAAATGAAAAAGGTAACTGCTGTACGTTTGCATTATTATTGTCGCCTATCTATGATCATTACGTTCGGAGCGATGATGATTTGTCGGTCAGTAAGCGCGAGTGTGCGAGATGTTTAGTCCTCTTCATTGTTACGTGCGAAAGTGAGAGGCAGAGAGGATCTGCGCGAGTCAGCGCTGTATGTGTGTGTGCGTGTATCCCATCACGAATAATTAATTAACCAAGGTTTAAATGAGATATCGCGAGCTGAGAATGTTACGGGGGATTGATGAATAATTTAAACTGAGCGGCAAGAACTTGTGCAACCACGGATTAATAAAATGACGTACACATTAATATACACACATCTGCGACTATTACGGTTAATATTTCAGTGTATCAGCATAATGACATATTATTATTACAATGATGTTGCCCATAGAATACATTTTACTTGGTTTTTATATACGGTTGTTTATTCATTCACCCCGACTTACACAAATCCCTTGACTTCTTTTCATGTGATATGACCAAATTAATTTGTGTATATGATTTCCAGAGAAGAATTACGACGATATATTTTTTTAATTTAATGACAATGGCTAATGAAAAGAATATTCTGTGAAGACAATTCTCCATTTTGCCAGGGAAAGGCTCTCAAATCGCAAGAGCATGGCACAAGTAGTATAAGTCGTCGTAGCGTCAGACTGTTGATTTATGTTGATGCGTTAAATTACGTCATTTAGAAATGATCGCAAAATCGGGAGTACGCTTTAGTTCTCTTTTCAAACCATTGAGCTAGAATTATTCTAGTTACATATCAAGTTATGACTCGAACCATCATGCCACATCTTTACTAATTTGATATATTTAGGCAAAATTGAAAAACATTTATATCCATCAAGCGAGCTACGTTTGAATATTAGAAAAATAGTTGAAAATATCAATTTAATTTTACAATATAAAATTATTTATATTTTTTTTTACTATTCGACAGGAAACCTACCTCATCTGGTTCACATATCTATAGAGTAGATAAAATTGAACAAATATTGATCAATGTTATTGAACGCTGAAAATATAATTAGACAACAGCGTATTTTAACAGTGATAATATGTAATGTTCGAATATTTAAAGATATTTTTCATGGATTGCAGAAGTTTTTATAAATCTTTTGTTAAAAGAGTAGAATTCATCAGATGTGATTGCTGTAACTGATAACTCAAACTCTATAAAATAAAAATATTATAAAAAAAATATAAATAAAATAATAATAATCGGTATTAATTTGAAAATTGAACGTGGCGCCAAAACGGGCTCAAGACGACTGCTTCCATCTATTGCTTAGGTTATTTTCAGAGAATATATTTTTTGCAATCGATAAAGTAATTTCCTATCAGTGATGAAAAAAAATTCGGAGCTGTATGCAGGTCAAATCTCTCGGCTCACCGCTGTGTATGCTATATTATCGAGTAAATAGCCTCTTTTGAAACCTTTTTTAACGAGATTAAGTACAACTGTGTTCAGTAGGTATTAATAATCGTAACTACGATGCCACAAACTCCACCAGCATGCGAAACTCCCGGCTGCACCGCTCCAGCAAACTTACAATGTCCGACTTGTCTTAAAATTGGAATAAAAGGCTCTTATTTCTGTACTCAGGTATTATAACCTTAACTACTTTGACTTCATAACTCTTAGAATCCTTTATTAATCAACCATAAATATGTTCATTGAAACATGACAGGATTGTTTCAAAAGCAGTTGGAAGGCTCATAAAATTCTACATCAACTTGCAAGTAAGTTGATGTATTACAACTTTTCCAGTTTTGCCTTCATTACCATGTGATGTAATCGTTATTTTGAAAATTAAATGTATGCTTATTGACACTGTTGTTTGCAAATATAAGTTACTGCAGTTTTCAAGATATTGCTTTTCATATATCATACTTTATTGACTATGTATTAACAAAACAGACATGAAATTTCTGTCTAAAAATAGCATGATCTCATGAGTTCAATTTTAGATATTTGATTAATGTAATCAGTTTAAGGAGAAGTTCAATAATTTATTATTTAATTATTTAGCTATTGGAATATGATTAAATATCTGAGCTATTGATATATCCTATATATTGGTCATAATAATTAATAAATTTTTTTGTCTGTAGAAGGAACCAACCAAATTGATTCAGAGGAATATAATCCTTGGCCCTACTATCAATTTAGTGGAAAGTTACGCCCTGCTCTAAGAGAAGTTGTCCGCAAACTTCCAAATACTATTGCAAGACCAGATTATGCAGTTCATCCAACTGGTGTACCACTGAGTGAACAAGCAGTAAGAGGTTCTGCACAAATCAAGGTCTTAGATGATGAAGAAATTGAAGGGATGCGTGTTGCATGCAAGGTAGTGGATACTTATATTTCTACAAAACTATATCAACTCCCAAAGAACCAATTTAAAATAATGATTTATTATCTTTTTAGCTTGGAAGAGAAGTTTTAGATGAAGCTGCAAAAGCATGTGATGTAGGTGTGACTACTGCCGAAATAGATAAAATTGTTCATGAAGCATGCATCGAAAGAGATTGTTATCCCTCCCCTTTAAATTACTACCAATTTCCAGCAAGTTGCTGCACATCAGTCAATGAAGTTATTTGTCATGGGATTCCAGATAAGAGGCCTTTGGAAGATGGTGACATTTGTAATGGTAACTACTTCTGATAACTTATAAAAAATCAAAAACAAATTATTATTCAGTTATATAATCCTTGAAAGAGATATTTTCAACAAAAAAACATTTCTTCTAGTTGATGTCACTGTATATCACAATGGATTTCATGGAGACCTTAATGAAACATTCTTAGTTGGAAATGTTAAACCAGAGATAAAAAAACTTGTTGAGGTGACTTATGAGTGCCTTTGTAAAGCCATTAATATTGTACGTCCAGGTGAAAAGTACAGAGAAATAGGAAATATTATCCAAAAACATGCTCAAGCAAATGGTTTGAGTGTTGTGAGAAGCTATTGTGGCCATGGAATCCATCGTCTTTTTCACACAGCTCCTAACATACCACATTATGCCAGTGAGTTTTGATGAATTTTTCATCACTTTTGTAAACTCACTAATTTTGATTGGAATGCTTCTTTCGCTAATGAAGCGGCAGAAAATATTTAGGTCTAAATTCTCTTTTAGAAAACAAAGCAGTTGGAGTAATGAAACCTGGTCACTGTTTTACAATCGAGCCCATGATTTCTCAAGGTACATGGCGTGACGTGATGTGGCCGGATAACTGGACTGCAGTTACGGCTGATGGTTTATGGTCAGCACAATTTGAACAAACACTATTAGTAACTGAAACAGGATGCGACATTTTAACAAAGCGATTTACCAATGACGGTAGCCCGTGGTTTATGGACCGCTCTTAGTCACTTGCATTTAAAATTTTTTATTTTTTATGTAAATAAATTACAAACTATCACATAATAATAAGAACTGAACAATTATTTTGCTTAATTTTTATAATTGTTGATGTATCATTGAATAGTCTGAGCATCATATCCAATGATTTATTATGTTATGAAATTAATTTTATTCAATATTATTTCTCATGTTCAGTAAACATTAATCGCTAATCAATAATAATTTCAAGTTTTCACTTTATCTTGTGTTTTATTAAACTATAAACCATTATCATTATAAGGAAAAAAAACTTTGTTACCTGGAAGAATATTAGAATAAGTAGTTTATCCTTTGAATTACGTTTTTATAACTCAATAACACTTGGATGTATTTTGTCAAAATCATATAATTTTTATTACACACAGTTTGCTGTTAACAAAATAGTAGTGCTCTTTACATATGTTCGTCCAAAAGAATATAAAGGCATATGACATTGATTTTATTATAAAAACGTCTAAAGATATAACTGCAGGTGAAACATACTGCTATCTAAACTAAGAAAAACAGTCACCTTATCAGTATGAATCATTACAGATATAATTCATATAAGCAAGATGAGACGAGGAAGATAAAATTGTGCATGTTAACGATTAACTCAATAAATTGTCGGGAACTTTTTTCCGTTAACACACACATATCAACGAGTTAAACGAGATAGACATAGCTAATAATTAATAATGGAGAAATAATCCTCATACTTTTCTTCATGTCTGTTTCTATTCATATATCATTATCTCTCTTTTTCTTTTAATTTTATCTGATGATGAAAATATAGCATCGAGCATAGTACAAAATAGTACGATCCATTATGCATTTATTATTGTATTTATTCTCCTATATATAGTATATAAGGCGAGTGGTAAGTTAAATGCACATTTCTTACGCCTTTTTCGGTTGTATTCATACAAATTGTCCGTATTTATTTTTCATTTTACGATTATGTCAATCGTCATAAACATATCTTAGATCGTTAATTTAAATCATGTGAAACTTAAGTATTAAATTAATGAGTATACAAAATGAAATAACGGCTGTTGTCAAAGGTAGTAAATATTCAAAACTTATTATTAAGCTGCGATGATAATATATACTGATAACATAATTTTAGCGGCAACATGATAGAGCCAAGGCATATACTTAATAATATAATACCCTTAGTTGCTACATGTATATGATAATTGTGACAAAAAACATAACGAACGGAAATAGAGATTTTACGCGTTTCACTTTGCTTTGAATAAATTCACTGTGACAATATTGCAACTAAAACTCGATTAAAAATGACAAAATACAAATTTATTTTTGAAAAAAATATGTAAAAAAGGCATTTGAACGTTATTGGTCAGAAATTAGATTCATCGGCATTACTAATTTTCCTCTTCGTCTATGTCAGTTGTCAACATTCATGTCCTACTTTCAAACGAATTCACGTTGCACAGAAATGCTTTTACTTTTGCAAGCTTACTTTAGGAAAAATTGTAGTGTTTTCTTAAATTATTTACTTCACATGAGACGACAACGTTCTTCACCTTTAGGATCGCCCTGAAACAAAAATCATATTCCACCATCAATCTCACATTAAATATTATATGATTTACAGAGACATTATTGAAGATAAGTATAGTAAGTCAGTTGTTGTATATTATTTATATAAATAGAAGCACTATAGAATTACAAGAAAGCTTGAGAGTACATCGAATTATCTGATCAACCAAGTTGTTAGCAATGAAGAGCATGAGTGTAATGACAAACAGCTCTGACCCCTTATAGGAATATTAATGAAGAAAAAAGAAAACATTATTTAGAGAATACACCGATCATCTCTTCAGTGCTTCAAAGCCCAACATTATTGTTTCCGAAAGTTAAAAGATCATTCGCTCCCAAGTTGAAGTCGGGTTAAATTATATAAGCATGAGAGAAACTATAGATTTATATATACGCAAACATAAATTCCAGAACAACGTCTGAAGCCAGATAAACCTGAGGCGTAGTGGCGATATATTTATTTTTCGTAAATATTGTGCTGAACTTACGTTTACTTGCCCATCAGAGCTGTGTGCCGTCGCACTTTAAAATAGGTTGAAGAAAGACCTTCTCTTTTCTACTGTCTACGGAAACAAAAGTGAATAGTGTAAGTGTACCCCTATCGTACAGTATTAATGATTTATTTGTTCGTTTTGTTTATTATTAGGGTTATTATCAATTTCGGCGCGTATAAGAAACCATATCTATTTAAATACCATCAGGTTAATTGTGGTTCTAGTGATTCGATATCCTACTCAAAAATGCCACTTGTTACTACAAATTCATCATATTAAGACAGTATAAAACTAATTTCCGCATTGACAACTGTAAAAGCAATTAAATTACCTGCTGATGATGAAGCTCCTCTGGTAATCTGCCATACATACTCTCCTGTCGTCTCTGCACGGATGAAGACAACTGCTCTCTTTTTCTTTCTGAAGTTGCCATTTCCTTGATAAAACGAAATAATATCGTAAGTAAATGTATGTCATCATACGGGTATCCGTTACTTATCGAAAATATACGTACTTCGCCATCATTGTTCAGCAAGGTTGTCGTCATAGTATCACCGACGAACCATTTTTGTCCCTTCATCACGATGTTAGATGGAGGCTCGTGGGTGGCACCGCTATCAGACGACCAAACTGTTACAATTGTACCAGCTTCGGCTTTAGCGGTCCTATGAAACTTGAATACTGTCTCCAAGGCTCCTGCTTTGCGAATCAATTGCCAGCCGCTCAATGATACCTCCTGCATTCACAAATTTAAACGTTAATTACATATTTATTCATTTTTGGTTTAACGATGATATAAGGTAAGAAGAATGAAAGAAAGGAAAAGCTTAATACTAAAGGTTTTATTTTTTACATGAGTGATAATTACAAAGAAAATATAGAAAAAGCTCTACACGCGTTGTTTTTTTTTCTTTTCTTCTTAAACAAACAATAATACAAAAAACATTAGTTTTCAAACGATCAAACGAACAAAAAATACAAAAATCAATAAAGAAAGAAAATAAGAAGTCGAATGTTCAAAGTGCAACATCCGCGTATTTTATTTTCGACGACTCACTTTGTCTCCTTTGTTCTTGAGTTTAACAAAGTGTCCAGATTGATCAGCTTCGGCGATTTCCACATCACCTTTGGCCGAAGCAACAGTAGTGAAGTCCGAATGACTGTGTTCATCCGACTCCTCGTACAGAGTACGTTTCCTCTTGCCACCGCGCACTGGTGTTTGACGCGATGGAGTCGCTCGGCTACCCGAGATCGACACGCTTGGCGATTGAATTGGTGTGATGTTCAGCCTACAAAAAGAAATTACACAATTTCGGTCATGCATGTTTACGCGACATCCGAACATTATCCTGAAGGGCTTACCTGGCTTCCTCGGATTCCAGCAGCTTTCTGTAAGCCGCAATCTCAAGATCGAGAGCGACCCTGATGTCCATAAGATCTTGATACTCTTGAAGTTGTTGAGCCATTTCGTCGCGCATTCTCGCCAGCTCGGCTTCCAGACCAGCCAGATTTTCAGCGTGTATTGCTCGCTCGTTTTCGCGCATGTTCTCCAGTTCGCTAAACAAACAACAATGTGAACGAATAAAAAAAAAAAAAAAATAGAAAAATAGAAAAAAAGAAAAGTGTTAATAGATTTGTAATAAACAGTCAACGACCTAACGACCACTTACCGAATCTTAGCATTAAGAGTATTATTAGCGTTCTCAAGCTCGCTGATACGCTGATTGAGTCCATCTGTTCTGATACGTATCTGTCGAAGTTCTTCGACGGCCAAAGTAGCTGCGCCGCTGTTGCGCGCCGCGTGCGATGTCAAGTTTTTGATTTTATTCTCGTACAGCATTTCAATCTCCTCGCGATTGGCGCGCATCTGGGCCTCGTATTGGTCGCGCAATTCCTGCAGCGACTGCTGGAGCTTGGCCTCGTATTGCTCGGCCAGGCGGCCATCGATCTCCGAGATTTCCACCTGCGCGCCGAAACGGTCAAGCGTTACACGTCGGCCGCTCGGAAGAAAAGAGAAGGCTGCCATCGAAGGGTGCGTCTGCGAAGCATACCTGACGTCTAGTTCGAGTCTCGGTGAGTTCGGACTGATAGACTTGATCCTTGAAGGAGATGTCCTCCTTGAGACTCTGAATGTGGTTCTCGAGGTCGATGCGCTGCAGCGTCTCTTCCTCCAGGTGCTTCCTCGTGTCGTCGAGGAGAGCGGTCAGTCGCTCGACTTCCTTCTCGAGCTCCCTCTCGCGCTCGGTGAACTTCTTGCGCTCGGCTTGCAACTGATTGTACTGGGACTGCAGGTCCGAGCAGCGCGTCTCGTACAGCAGCAGATTACGCTCGGCGATCTGCAGGTCCTTGGATTTCTTCTCGAGCCTGCGAACGAAGCCGAGCACCCTTTAGTCCGGCCTGCTCGCGCCGCTGCCACAGCCCCCCGAGCTCGATCGATCGCTGTTCCAGAGCGCACGCGAGATCGCCGTCGAGTACCCGAGTTGGGCCCACCCACGCCTCGACGCACCCTGACTCATCGCGCTCCCCCTCTCTCTATCTCGTGCGCGGCCACCACGCTTTTCGTCTCTCCTTGCAATGCAGCTCGGTCGCGAGCCGCTCGGAGCGGCCGATCATTCGAGCGAAAGTCCACCGAGAGCGGGCCGCGCGCTCGATAACCCAATTGGACTCTCGTGCCCCGCGACAGTAATCCGCGCTCTATTTACAGCTAGTCGAGGCGCGTATCGATGAATCACCCGGCTGCCCTGTCGCCTCAATCCGGACGCGTGGCGAGTCACGTTTCCACATTTCGTGGACAGCCTCGTCCAATTAACTTATGCTAATCGACCGCCCGACCGCTCGGCCACGCGTAGGCAACGATCGCGACGGACAGAGAACAATCGGAAGCGGACGGAGGGCTCCTTTCTCTTTGCTGCGCGCGAGCGAATCAATCGGCGCGGGAAGAGGGCGTTCGTTTGCCCGCGCTACCTCTCTCCGCCCCCGCGTGCCCGTCACGAGATCGTCTGTTTTCGGAGCCAGCAGTTTTCGATATTGTCGGCCTGGCGTTATGCAGATTTTCGAGAGCCAAAAGAACAGGCAAACACACTAATCGCTTTTTTATATTCTCGCTAGAGTATACGCGTATCGCTGAATTTTCAGAGTCAATCGAGACGCACGGTTAGATTGTGTCACGGTCTCCCAGCTGCAGTCCTGGGGGAAAGAGAGTGAGACACGCACGCACGCACGCACGCACACATACACACACCAATCCAACGTTGTAAGAAGGGGAGCTCGAGTCGACACCTGCGTGTAAAAGAGAAGACACGATAAGGGGCGAAAGTCGAACCGCGCGTGGGTAGATGTTCCTCGACGAGCGGAAACTCGGTAGGGCGAACAAAAAAAAAGAAAAAAAATCGCACGAATCGGCAGACTTCGTAGAAATTGGTTTGCTTAGCTCGGAGTCGATCGTTATCGCTCGCGCGATGAAAATACAATGTTCCAAGTTTTCCAGCGTAATCGGGATAAGATAAAAGCCAGCGCGAGATTCACGGAAAATCGCCAAGATAAACCGATGAGCGCGCAATAACCCGGCCGAAAGGCTTAACTCGTCCAATGATCGACCTATTTTGAATGGCGTCAACTTTTACACGACACCCCCGAGATAAACAAACGCGCCGCGATTTCGGTATCGAGATTGCAATTTTTCAGGTGAACTCCGCGGCATACTCGTGAGCAAAAAAACACCTTATCGAAATCGGGCAGTGAGGTCTTCTCTGGCGTGACGCGTGATGCAAGATGTCAATTTCGTTCGCGATGATGTTTATTTGCACGACGGCTGGCTTCGGCGATAACGATACTGCTTCATCGCTCGGAAATGCCAATGCCGCCTTTCCATTAATTTTTTCGGACAGCCGTAGAAATAGACGCTGACTTCACGCGTGCTTGCCTTGCCGATTAGCACGCGGTTGGCTGGTTTTGCCAGGCCACGGACAAATCATTACAGTGTTTTACCTTGGAAAGTGCTTTTACAGGAAGATAAGTTTGTTTTGGAAGCTCCAACACGTCGATCAAAAATACTATCAGGTTATATCAAGGCATCAAGACAGTTAACATCTTGAAGAAGCCTAATTCTCTGAAGCACCGACTAAAATTAATATACGCGTAGAAAAGTATGACGAACTTCACCGATCGCGACAGCTGTCCTCGTCCGTGAGCGAAAGTCAGTGTTTTTTTAAAGAGACTTCCTCGTATTTATACACGGGATTCCGATTGACTTGACAAGCTGATCGGCGGAAAGCTCGTGTATGCAGTTAGCTTTCGGCAAAAAGACGCATGCATGTGCAATAAAAATTAATTAGTTCTTCGATAGCGCATTGTACGGACAAATATACAATTAGGTTCGATTTCCAGTCCATAAATAATCCTAGAACAATGTTGGAACATCACAATTATAATGTTTATGAGTCTCGACCAAACATCAACAGTAGAAGCAGCAAGTAGGAGCAGCAACTGCAGCAGCAGCAGTAGCAGCAGTGGATGCCGAAAACTTGAGCCTCCCCCCCCACACACGTGCAGACAACTATCGTTCAAGGTAAACAAAAACGCAGCCAATTCCACGAAGCTGAATTAAAAAAGCTTCTAAAAATACAAAAAGCTTGTCCATTAGATACAGTGAATCGATCGATGACGATGAAGATAATTTTAAAAAAATAAAATTGTTATACTTTTTTCAATAAAACAAAAGCAAAATAACTTATAAATAATATCCGTAAGTTTTGAGGTTAGAAGAATATTTGGTATTTTGTATTTTGTATTTTGTAAATAGCTTAGGAGGAACATTCCTGTTCACAAAGTTACAAGATTACATCTCCAGGAGCGTTAAAAAACAAACATGCATCAATGAAATGCGCAACAATGAAACACCGGCAGCAGCCGGCGTTACTGATACTCTGTACGCAGTAAAAATAAAAAGTAAATGGCCTCATGTATGTACCCAGCGCACATGAACCAAAAAAAAAGGGGGGGAGGCGGACTCTTGGGGTTTTGACGACGACGACAAACAGCAGTGAAAGAGAAAGAATACGCGAAAATAGCCTTGTACCACATCGCCGGGAGTCAATGTTTTCAGGTCAGACGATGCCTCAGCAGCGGCAGCAGCAGCTTGACATCATCGCCGCATACTGTCTAACGATGACGCAATCCAGACGACCAACGTCAGACCCTGAGAAAGGATTTTAGAGATCGCGTATAAATGTGTTCACGAGAGAAATGAAGCTGGCAAACGAGTTTGTAAACCATGAGGATGCCATTTCTATCGGCAGGATCTCAATGAACTTTTATCGTTCCGCTTGCCGGTGTTAGTTATCATACACTGCCGCATGCAAATTGACGACGCTGTGCTATATGAAAGCTGGGCTTGGTATCAATTTTACGTGTATATAAAGCTAACTGTAATTTTGAGGATCAATCACTAAGATAAATTATTTTTATTAATTCAACGTTTTCTCAAAAATAACTAGAAAATGCATAAAACGTCAATTAAAATTGCATATTCGTGGTAAAAAAAGTAATTGATCCCATTGGACCAAATGTCAGCAATAAACATGAAAATGCCATGCATATAAGTGCACCGGTGATCCACTTTTTTTTTGTTTATCCAAGCAATAAAGAAGGTTCATGGACAGTACATCTTTTTTAGTGCATGTATAAGTTTAGTCAGTAATTATCGCAATACAAAAGTAAACTCAATGAATTCAATTATAAGCTGTGTGCAAACAATCATTCAATACAAGCAAATTAATTCAGTGTTATCATCACTCTCTTGACCTAACACCTGAGAATTATAGATGTCCATGAAATGACAAAGGTACTGTGTGTACTAAAAAGGAATGAAGTGCTGCTTGTCTGAAGAACCATGTTAAATGCAAACACACAGTACGTGATTATATCATTATTCGAATAAGACATTCACTTTTGAATAGGACTTTTAAGGCCAAAAAGGGAATTATTTTATCAATGTTAATATTATGATCACTGATATTTTGTAAGCAAGAGATATTCACAAGTATTCATATTAAAGAATTGATCCAACAAATCATACAAGCTAAACAAAATGTACCATAAAAATACCTAACACAAAAAATGAGTCACAGTTAATCACAAACATATATATAGTTAATATATTATAACAGCCATTTATCCCATATCACGTGAACCTCAAAAACAAATGGTAGCGCCATAACGAGGTGCGTACAACTTACTTGTTCTTCAGGTCCTCGTTGTCATCCCAAAGTCTTTTGGTATCAATTTCCAGTTTGGCCCTCTCTCTAGCGGTCTCATCGAGCAATTTCCTAGCGTCACCGAGCTCATGTTCGTACATGGATTTCACATTATTCACCTCTCTCTTGTGCGTCTCCTCAACCGTGTGAACCTCACGATTAAGCCTCGAATTCTCTTGCTCGAGGAAGCGCACTTTGTCGATGTAACAAGCCAGCCGGTCATTCAAGTTGGCCAAATCTTGCTTCTCTTGGAGACGAGAATATCTAGTCGGGCTCAATGGACTTCCAGGCCGATGATGTCGTGATGCCGTTGGCATCCCAATGGGAGTCGAGGTCGATGGTTGTGCACTGCTGGTACTCGTTGAAGACGAGGCCGCCTTCTTACTCGTCTTGCTCGACATCTTGACGATTTGTTTTATCGTATTATTTTTTTTTATTACTTTTCTCGGATGAAATTCGTTGTCGAATATGCTACGCGTTACGTATGCGTGTCTGTCTCTGCAAACGGAACCGGAGAAGTGACGCCGAGGCGTGCCGCTGCCGCTTTAGCGCCAAGAATGCCGGTTCGCCACGGTCGTCGCCGCTAAGTTTTATTCTGATTGGCCGACGAGGGCAGCACTTGCCCATGCCCGCCGAGTGTTTGACCTTCTTGTAAAGTAAATATAAGTATATATTTTGCTTTCTCTTATCTGCCTGCCTACGATTAGCGCTAAATTTTTTATCTTTTCATCATTACTGTGCGGCTTTGTTCTTAAAATGCAAGATATTCTTTTCTGTAGTTGCATATTATATTCGTAAATAATCTATCTTTAATTGAAATCTGTATTTATTATAACTTCGAAGAAATGCTAACAAAAAACAGTGACAATGTAATCGAGATAGCTGGGCGATTGTCTTGGCGCGTATAGTCGATAAAGTAACGTTCTATAACTCCATGAGATGATAAAATTTCAGTTGTAATATAATTTTTACAAGGTATCGGTTTTTAAAAATCATCATGACCTTATTAAGGAGTAATTCAAATTGTTCATAACTGATCCTTTGATAATTATGTATTTATTATTATTATTATTATTATTATTCAGTTGTTTTTCTACTCACAAATTACGTATGGATATAATTACGATCTAAAGTAATAAAAGATTGGATTATTATCAAATAACAAAAAAAAAAGTTAATTCAAGTAATTTCATTATATAGCATGGGCAATAACAATTATCTTTCTAATAATAATTAGGTTAAAATTATTTCATCGTTTAGCAAAATAAAATATATTAGTGTGAACACATAAGTCATAAATCAATCAAAATATTATTGAACGTACTTTTCAAAGTATCCATCGAACAAGCCTACGAAAAATACAATTGCCGATCAATATGAAGAAATGTAAAAGATAAAATAATCTTCTTTATAATAAAATGACTGCAGTCCATTATATGATTTGGAAAGTCCATTTGCCAATAGCACGTATTGGTAGGAGAAATTTGCTCAGTTTTTCAGTATCATAGTGAAAATCTTACAAAATTGACTATTGCACGATATACTGAGTTAACCGTCGCTGGCAAGAGCTTGATAAAAAATACAGGTGTCACGTCACACTTTTGTAGGATCAGAATTTGATGAATAAATTTCAATAAAAGATATCCGTTATCATAAAAAATATCTATTCAGACTGACCTCTAATGTTTCGTGAAAATTGCTTAAATGCTGAGGTAGCTGACGGCTTTTACAAGCAAAATATTTACTAGAAGAATAGACTGTTTGTTGATAATTATAAAACTCTTTTTCGATACTGGAAGCCAAACCATTTGTATAAACGGCTAAGACGCGAACGAGCGCTTACAGATAAAAAAAGCAATCAGCGACGGCAATATTTTACAGCAGCTCTTTTCTTTCTAATAATTTAGAATTGTATACTTTGAATGTTAATGTAATCGTGCCTTACCGCTTTAAAGAAGCAATTTGCCATTATATTTGCACAGGACTTTGCGAGAATACTGTAGAACTACGATTTTACTTCGAAGGAAATGATGTTACTGGATTATTGTAAAAATTTGAAGAATTGATGCACGAGCCCATATATTCCGCTGCGATTCTTCGTCTAAACTTAAATATACTAAAAAAGAAAGTATTTGAACTGGCGTGATCTTAAACTCGTATCTCGTCGAAAGCGCTCGTTCTCTCGGAGACGAAAAACTACGCATCTGCAGCGAAGCCGCATGAACGGGCCGAAAGATCGAATCCGTATAACGAACGGACTCTAGCCGAGCATTCGTCGCACCCTCGGCAAGAGCGAGCAGGCGCGAGGTCTAATTAGGAGCGACAGCGCGCGTATCGAGAAAAACAGAGCGCGCACACTGGAAATTAATGCCTCGTCCATCACGGGACAGTTTCCTGCGCACTCCGGACAAATTGAACGAGCATCGATTCGCGGTTTTACGGCCGCCGGGAAACGCGCAGTCACGGGGCCGACGATTCCCTCCCTCGTGATCGATGCCTCCTCTTCTTCCCCCGACGCTGCACGCGCCGGAATGCTTAGGCCGACCAAACTTTTCCGGAATTGCAGCAGTTGCCCCGTTCTTTGCGTCAGACTGCCCGTCGACTTTCCCTGTCGTTTGGCACTTTTTCACGCTCATTCCGCCAGAGTTGCCATTGCCCGTTAGTATTTGCGACGAAGCCCACAATAAAAAAAAATACTATTCATCTTTAGAAAGTTTCGGATTATTACGATGGAGCGTACGTGCATTGGGATCCGCTGTCCAATTATCCAGGAAATGTGTCGAGTTACGAGGGTCTGAATTCTCGTACGTTGGAAAAAAAGAAAATTAAATTTAACGAACACGACATAATAGTAGATTGTATTTTTGCCTTGATGATCGTTGTTATAATTTTCATCTATAAAAGGCCATTTATCTGCGAACGGTGAAAAAGAAATACAATTATTAGGGTAGTATTCAGTACACAAATTTATTATTGCAGCCTATCGCCAGCGTTATACGATGAAAATGCTCGCCAAAAATCACAACTTCGAGTTTCAACGTATATATACAGCACAGTCAATATTTTAGACGGGAAGCACTTTTATCGTCGAAAGGAACGTACGTCGACGGCGTTTGCATTGACAAAACCAAAAAGAAGTCGGATGCTTTCGTCACTCGCCGCAGTCGCAATCAAATAACGAACAGCTCTGACGACAATGCGAAGAAGTCGATGGTACACGTTTGTATACAAAATCGTCGTAACCCCCCGTCGCAAGATTGCTTCGCGGAAAGGTTGCAGCGCTTCTCGAAAGCCAACTGCTCCCATTATAGACAAGTTGTTCGAGTGATGAAGTCACCGTAAGCTAGATATGAAATTTCACGGAGGAAAGAAAGAAAAAATATCTCGACCGAAGAATCGCTGAAAAAAGCCAGTTCGCGTACGAACGCTGTCAATCGAATCTCTCGTCGCTGCAGTAGTCGTGAGCCTCCACGTAACTTGGCGCAAACGCGGCGCGGCATCGCAACGTGTTGCGCGAATATTTACACCCCGGTAATCGACGAAACTCGCGCGCTGCGTGTCCGTTTTGAGGAACTCGCACGAATGTCGTCCAGAATTAGCAGCGAGCAACGCGGTATTGCCAAGACTTTTCTTATTTATTTATTTATTTTTTTTTTTAGAAGTTGCCCGCTGTTTTCTTTTCAAATCTTAGCAGCATAGCGTGGGAGGAAAAACAAGTGGCAAGATTATATGCACGTTTGGCGTTCTTGTCGAGATAGAGAGAGAGAGAGAGAGAGAGAGAGAGAGAGAGAGAGAGAGAGAGAGAGAGAGAGAGAGAGAGAGAGAGAGAGAGAGAGAGAGAGAGAGAGAGAGAGAGAAAGAGAAACAGAGGCGTCGTCAATGAAAGTTCGACTTGACCTTAAATGACTTGACTTTAAATGAAACGCCTTTGGACGACGTTTCAATTTCGCTCTACACAGTCGAGGCTTCGCAACTGTATTGCCTTCATTGAGTGCGAATCGAAATCCAATCAAAGGCAAACTCGAGACACGCGTCGACATTTAATTGGTCAAATCGCAGAGTCTCGGCAGAGTTTCTGATTTTGCAGGTGGCGATTGTTGCTAGTCAACGTAATGGCCGCGCTTATCCGATGGGAAGGTTCCCTGCACGTCGGTGGCCAATTAGCGAAAATAGAAGCGCCGATGCGACAGTGAATGGTCGGGCCGAATGTGTTGCGCTCGGCAACTTTGTCGCGAGATCTTTTGATTACAGCTCTGAACGCGTCGCTAAATCCTGGATTCGCGCACACTCAACTTGGTACACACAAGCCAACGGATTCTCATTCGGTGATTCACTTACGTTCGCGGTAAAGATACGTTTTCGATCGCAAGGAAACAATGACAGGCAGCTTTCGGCGGATGTACAGCGTCGAAAAGCATTTACATTTGATTGCTGATTTCGTTTTTTTATCATTGAAAGTACAAAATTCACGCGTAAATGCATTACTCAAGCGCGTGCAACCTACTTTCCGAACAATAAACTTGCTAATCATGTCGCTAATGAATGTTCAACTGCGTCTCGCGAAGTCGATGAAATTTTCACGAGCCACGTAGCGGCTGCGCGAGAACGTGAACCATTAAAAATTTTGCAGCGCGTGTGCTTGCAACTCTCATCAATCTCGACAAGCGAATAATTTAGTGCTGGCTGAAGGATGAAGCGAGAGAGAGACAGTCAATTTTCTAAATTATACACCGAGGAGAAAGAAGAGAAAGAAGCCTTGTTCATCGATGCTTGCAAGCTCGGTGCAATGATTACTCGCAACGAACTGAACTTTTGCTCTTTGGGCCGGAAACTCAATGTTCTGGATTTGGCCTTTAATTTTCGTTTATTTTGACAGTCTTCGTTATTACTTCCTTTTTCATTTGGAGGCGAGTCTCTTCTTTCCTTTGCATCTCAGTCGGACGAGCGATTCCTTTTCGCACCAGAATGTTTCGAGCAAAACGCGAAAACTTCGCCGCAAACGGATAAGCAGCCTCGTGTCGATAAAGGCATACTTTGCACGCGTGGATTTATTCCCAGTTTGGACGCGTAATCGCGTTTCTCTTGACCAGCGAGCTTGCGCTTTCCAGTCAATTGCGACCGATCGAGAAAAGGGCTCCTCAAGGCTCGTCGCGCTTTGCGTCCAGATATACGCCCTCCGACTCTGGTCGTTAGCTTTTTCACGCCTCGCGTCCACGTGCGCCGATCGTCCACTTAACTCGCTCGTACCTTTTCTCTCTCTCTCTCTCTCTCTCGAGAAGATAAGAGGCTTTTAAACGACGGCACACGACGCGCATTGACTCGAGCGTAAGCTTTGCGCGAAAGATCACGCTGAATGCAGTCGGCATTCCGCAATTTATCCAGGCAAACGTCGATAAAACAAGAAAGGAAAATATTCCCGATTGTCGGACACGGAAAAGGGAAAAAAACATAGCTCTCGACGGAAAAATGCCACGCGAAAGCCCTTGTGTTTCCCTTTCTTTCATTCTTTTTTTTCACTTGGTTCGCTCTCCTTGAACTCGCGTATAAAACGTAGCTCGCTAGGGGCGTGGGGGAGGGAGTCTGCTCTGCGAATAAAGAAGCTGTGCCGCGCGCGCCGTGTTCTCTCGTGGAATCGATCGCATCGGTCTCGCCAGGCTGCCGCAGACGCGCGCGTCTCTCTCCCCGCCGGCGCGCAGCATCCGCGCGCGCGCGCTCGCGCGGTGCCACGCCACCACCCAAAAAGCTCTCGTGGAGCTTTGCCTCGCAAAGCTTTGCTGCGCGACGCACAGTCGCGCGGCCTGATCGTTACGCGACGCTCGTCGTCGCTGGCTGTTTCCGTTGTTTGCACAATGAAGAGCGCGGCGTGAGAGTGCGCGAGTGATTCCGCCCCGTGGCCGCGACGACGAATGTCCACTGGCGCGGCTGCCTCCGCCGCCGCCGTCGCTGCTGCTGCTGCTGACGCGTGAGTACGTTGGCGTTCGCAGCCACGCTGCCAAATCGACGCCCTGGGCCATACGGCACGCTCTTGTCGTTTTCTCCGCGTGATCGGCAAAGCCGGATCGCGCCCCGTCGCCGCTGAACGTACTGCCAAAAGTTGGACTTCCCAGCTGCAGCTGATGTACGTCGCCGCGTCGAGTCGTTTGAAAGTTTGCTCCCGCGTTTTGTGGACACAGCTCCGTTCGCGCGAGAGACCATTCGCATGGACGCGTGTTTACTGATTGTTCGCGATTGTTTTATCCTACTCCGTGTACGGCAGTCGCAGCCACAGATTTGCAGAGTCGATAACGTCCAACTGTCCTGCGCGAATGGAAAGCCGACTACTAATTGCTTCCTCCTCGTCGCTGCTTCGTTAATTGTTTTCAAAATCATCGGCTACATTTCGCCGAAGGAAAGTTATCGAACTTAGCGGACGCGATGATTATCGCTGAAACAACTTAAACGTTTTCGCTCGGTCCAATTATAAAATCCGATAATCCGATATCGCCTTCGATAATCGATCTTCGGTCGAAATTAGCGGCGGCACGCTCGGCAAAGCCGGAACATAATTTGGCAAGGCCAGGCAATCGAGTAGCAGACACGTCTCCGCCGAGGAAGCGCGGAAGTTTCCACCGGGTCGCGCGGCCACAGCCAACGCGGCGATTGGCCCGTGGCTCGGGGCGAGAGCGAACGGGCAGCGCGCGCTCTTGCCGGGGACCGATCGGAAATCGCCGATCGAGAGTCGCGGAATTATCCCTGCCGAGTCCACGCCCACGCCGATGAACGCGCAAAGCGAATCTTCGGCCGAGAGAGAGAGAGAGAGAGAGAGAGAGAGAAAGAGAGAGAGGGCCAAATCCGATGAGCTCGGCTGCTGCCAATTTCCGCGTTCGCGCCAAATCTAGTTGATTACCGAGAAGTGCACTGGCAAAGTCGCTGGCTCGTTCCGTCTCTCGGCCGCGCGCGCGCTTCCTCATCCCGCCTCATCGATCCTGCCGCCACGGCGAATCAAGCATTCAGCGGCTATATCCGCCTCGCAGTCGTCGATAACACCGCCGGAGACTAAATTTAACGGGCGACGTCCGGGAGACGTCGGAGAATTGCGGCGCGCTCGAGCGCGCCTTGTTTTCCCTGCTGTGGCGGGCGATCAGCGCCGAGTGCCGGATCCGCCAGTCTTGCGCACCACCTAATTGACGCCCGTAGACGTCGCCGCGAGAGACACGTCGTCCGTACGTTCCGACCGACGCTCGCCCGTCCCCCTGATCGCGCGGCGACACTCGGCCAACGGAACAGTCGGACACACTCCTCCCCGTTCTGCACCCGGCGGCCACAGTCGCGCATCGGCGAAGCGAGAGCCCCGATTTGGCCGCGCCCGCGCGCTCGCGGCAACTTCTTCCGAGCGAACGGATCGCGAACAGCGGCGCCGATCCTCGTTCGATCGCACCCTGTCGCGTCCAGAATTGAATATCGCGGAGCGCCCAAATTGCCCGGAAAGCCCATTAAACTTGACGCTCGCTCGCGGACAATATGCGCGCGCCCGGCTCCTCGACCCCCCCCCCCCCCCCCCCCATCCTCTCCGGCGCGACACGCTTGCTGGGAGCGATCAATCTGACGTAAATTCGCTGCGTCGCCCAGTAATTCACCTACTGAATTGTCAGGCGCTCTCAAGCGCTCGCAAGGCCACAACAACTTTTGCGACGAATCGCCGGGATCGCGCGTACGATTACAGTGCAGCAGCGGCTGCATCGCAAAGGGCCTCTAATTTAACTTGGTCAAAGTCTATAATACATCGCGACTGTTAGTAACTAACCGAAGGTAGTTTGACACATTTCCCGCGTACGCAAACTAAAGGCTCGAGTCGATCTGCGCGTATCCCGTCGAAGCTCCCTTGATAGTATCCGCGTCGAATTCATCAAGCTTGGGAAAATAAAGCAGCTTATCTGTTTTAGCTATAGCGAGGCAGTCGCCGCGGCCGCTGCTGAGTATACAAATCGAGGGATCAGAGACGCGTACGCGCGCGGAGAAAAAGTGCGGCTGCTCGAGGGCTTCCAAAGTGACGGGGCGTGAAAACTAGGACGAGCCCCAGCTAATGCGTTCTTATCGATGTTCGCTTTTTGCGATGTGGCTCAAACAATTTCAATGTTATTTCGGCAGACAGACGTATTCCTTTTAAATTTTCGATTCAGGACATTGCAACGCATGATTCCGGAACGACTGCCCATTCAATTTCCACCCGGCGATGCACACGCGCGCGCTTTTTTTCTTGTCAGAGATGAAACACGCGAGCGCACCAAACGACACAACAATCTGTGTAAAGTAACATACGAGACTCGTTGTCGGCGTAATTATGTGCGAATCTCACGCACTCGAAATATTGCAATTTTGCGGTATGTGCAGTTTTCGGTAAAAGTTTCAACGCAAAGCACACGCTGGCTCGAGTCGAAACTAGACTACCGACTGTCAATTATTTGCACGGCTTTGCGCTTTCAACTTGCGAATGAAAAAAAAGTAACTTTCCTTCGTGACTGAAAGTTAATTTACGTGAAGTTGAACGCTATAACGAACGCGCAGATGTGCAGTGGGCATACAAAAAGCGCATCTCTCGCGTTAAAACCAGTTCGCACGTTGTTGCTGCAAGTTGCTTTCGTTGCAGCTTTTTCCCTTTATCCGATCAATAAAGGAGTGGGAGAGAGAGAGAGAGAGAAATGAAAGCGCGATGATTACTGTTAAGGAGCTTTTCCTCTGGAGGAAAAAGCGCTCCGCCCGCGACAAATGTGGTCTGTAAAATCGGAGTCGGTCTTCTCTTGCTCTCTGAAAGTCGTCCGTAATCGTTCGCGACGATTATTTCGTATTCCGAGGTGAATCTGCCTCGCGAACGCAAACGGCCGTATAACTTTCGAAATAAACGTCAGCGAATTGTTCGCATCAACGCGCTTTTGCGTGATCGGTTCCACGGCGCACACCTGATCCGAGTTATAATACTCGGATGTCAATCCACTTTCCTTTCGACGTGCCGATTTCGAAAGTTGGCTTTCTCGAGACGTTAAATAGTTTTCGCAAAACAAAATGATTTGAGCTTACGGAATTTGCACGACTCGACAATGCGAATGTAACAGCATCGCGTCGCACTACTCGGATAAATCTTATTTCAAAAATTGAACGAGAGACGAGACGAGATAAACTACTTTTTACACAAGGTTGTTTCTTTCCACTCGTAAATGTTGACGTTGAAGCTCGGGTAGTTTGGACACTGAAAATCTTCGAGAGGAACGGGCAGATAAAAAGCGCGCGCGCGCGGAGCAACATCATGCGCAAGCCGCACGAACGCAGCCGGAAATGACGAACGTGTGTTTCGCAGTCCCCGTCGACCGATCCAGCGCGCAGTCCAAGTTTTGAGCGCGATGGCAAGACCCATTGCAGCGAAGAAAAAGAAGAAGACGACGACGAGGACGACGACGAGGACGACGACGACGACGACGACGACGACGACGACGACGACGCAGCAGCGGGCGACAAGAGCAGTCGCAGCGGCGAAGGCCGGAAAGCGCCAATTTCCGGCAAAGTGACGAAGGTCAGTTAGCGATACGCGTCGCCTGGCGTACGCGGCCGGCTTAACGTAGTTGGCACACCTCCGCCAGTGACAGCAAAGGCGAGCCCGGCGAGCACCATGCGTCGAACGTTGCATCCCGTCCTACTCGTGACGCTGGCCATCGCGAGATGCTGGTCGCTGAGCGGCCTGAGCGGCCTGAGCGGACTGCGCGCCGCGATCAACGCCCACAAGATCTTCGTCCCGGAGAGGGGCAGGTGCGACTTCGACAACGGCTGCGACTGGAAGTGGAACCTGACCGACGACGCGTTCAGGCTCGTTAAGCCGCCACTGGCCAACCAGCTGGCGCCGATCGCCGACGCCGACGGCAATCCGCAAGGTAAGAGCTAGCGCGACCGCAGCGCCCTACCGGATCTCCAAGTCGGCAATGTTTGGCGCGCAGGCCAATTTTTGTACCTGAGCGGCAAGAAGAGGGGCCTGTTCAACTCGACCATCATCGAGCGCACGAGCGTCGACTGCAGCGTCGAGTTCTACTTCTACCAGGTGGACATGGAGCATGGCCGCATCAGCCTGATCATCGAGACGTACAACGGCACCAAGGTCATCGCCAACGAGCGCGACGGCAGCAACGCGCCCGAGTAAGCTCCTCGGCCCGCGAGCGGTCCTCGCGGCGAGTGCGCGCCAACCCATCGCGGCCCCGTTTCTGCGCAGATGGCTGCCGGCCAAGTTCATCCTCGGGCTGAAGAGCCAGCCGTTCGTCGTCATCTTGGAGGTCGAGGCGCCGTACGAAAACTCGAGCTTCGCCGTGGACAACGTGCGCATGGTCGACTGCCGGAGCAAGCACGGGCGCCTGCTGCCGCTCGAGGCCGGCCTCGGCGAGTGCAAGCCGCCGCTCACGTTCAAGTGCAACAACGGCTCGTGCTTGAAGCGCGACCACGTCTGCGACCTGCGGCTCGACTGCGGCGACGGCGAGGACGAACTCGGCGACTGCGGTGAGCTCGACGGGCCCAGACGCGCGAGAGTGCAGCGGCTGTCTAATGGAACGTTGCGCGTTGCAGACAAGGTGCCGACGTACGCGCGGTGCAGCTTCGAGTCCGGCTTTTGCGGATGGTGGAACGAGCCCACTCGCGAGCTCAACTGGACGCTCGATCACGGATCGACGCAGTCCGGCTACACCGACCACACTTATCGCAACAGCAGCTACGGTGAGTGGCGCTGCCAACCATGGAATCGCCGAGCGACGAACTCGAGCAAACTGTCCGTTCTGCTTTCCATCCCGTTCCCGAACCCCCAGGAACCTTCGCCTACATAGACATGGTGAACGGCAAATACGGCAGCCGCGCCACGCTGAGGAGTCCGGTCTTCAACCCGACGCCCCCGTACCACAGCGACGCTAGCAGCCAGTATTACCAAAGCTGCAAGCTGCGCTTCGCGTACTACAAGCAAAGCTCGCACCCTGTCGGCCTGGCGGTGTACCTGGTGGAGCTGCGGGAACACAACAATCACAGCAGTCGCATCTTCTGGTCCTTCAAGGAGCACGCCTACGCGGTGTGGCTCAGCCCGGTGACGCATCTGCCGGCGGTGCGCTACAAGTACTACCTGCAGTTCGAGGCGACCAAGAGCTACCAGAAGGCCGAGGTCGCCATCGACGACATCTCGCTTAGTCCCGAGTGCTTCGGCATTGGTGAGTGTTGGCGAGCGGGCCGCCGGGCCTTCGCGACGAACGCTTGACGGAAACGCGACGTGCGCAGGTGTGCCGCGAGACGTCGTCGGCGACTACAACTACTACAACCAGAAGGCACAGGCGGTGCCGCCTAAGCACAGCGAGTTCGTCAATCAGACGAGTGAGTCGGCGAGGAGCGCGCAGCCGGAGCGACGGGCGCTTTAACGATCGAGACGATGCGTTGCAGTGATCGTGATCGACAGCTGTGGCCAGACCGGCAGGTTCGGGCCCACTCCCGAGCAGTGTCCCGACTCGCACAACGGCACCGAGCAGCTGGACGCGCCGGAGGACGAGAGAGCCGCAACAAAGCTGAGGCCCGTCAAGAGCAAACTCAGGGAAATTGGCATTCGACGCTGGGTCGTGCCCGCCGACGGCCACTACACGTGAGTCGCAGACGACCGCGCGCGATTGCTCCCGCGACGAGCGTACGATTCTCTTTGTTGCGAAGGATCATCGCGACGGGGGCACGCGGTGGCACGGGTGCGCTCACCGTCGGCGTGAGCCTTGGCGGCTTGGTACGCGGCGTCGCCGAGCTGAGCAAAGGCCAGGAGCTGTTCTTCATGATCGGCCAGCCTGGCACCGACGCGTGTCCCAAGGTACGCGCCGCAACCTCGCGTCTCGCTCGCTCTCCGGTCGCGACACCTGCTTTCTCTCGCAGAGCCTGGGCATGAGAAACGACGCCTGCGTCTACCACTCGAACGAGCAGCAGCAGCAGCAGCAGCAGCAGCAGCAGCAGCACACGTCGGCGGACCACTCGCCGGTGCACATCGTGAGAAGAACGGAGCTGAGCGACGGTGCCGGCGGCGGCGGCGGCGCCACTTACGTGTTCACGCTCAACGAGAACGGCGTGCAGCAGCCTCTGATCATCGCGGGCGGCGGTGGTGGTCTCGGTCCCAGCCGATATATCGACGAGGACGTGCAGCACGGCAAAGGATTCCTGCCCAGCGAGAGGAATCCGACGAGCGGTAATTCCGACAAGAAGAATTCCGGTGAGTCCTCCTTCTGCCTTTGCCGCTCGATCGCTCGTGACCGGGGAGTGGCCGCCGTGTCGCGCGGAGCCGAACGAGAAAAAAGCCACCGCGTGCACCATTCGCTTGGTTGATTGCAGGCGCCGGCGGTGGCTGGCTGCCGAATGGAAGCAACGACACGGTGGCCAACGGCCAGCCACTGTCGAAGGGTGGCATTGGCGGCATGGGTTGTGGACCTAACCGAACAAGCGGACACGGCGACGGAGGCTTCGGCGGTGGCGGCGGTGGCTGTCTTCACGGTGGTGGTGGCGGCGGTTACGCAGGTCTGTCCATTGCCTCGTTCTCGCTTCGATCGCGATGCATTTGCCGAACCGCGAGCTTGCTGTCGTCGATTCGAGCGACACGAGCGATTCAAGCGAATGGCACGGGCGTCGAGCCGACAGCGAAAGCTCCTCCTCCGCGGGCAAACGAGTAGCGATATCACGATGGAAAGTTCGTCGCTGACTTGCGTTCCGCCGTGCGCAAGCCTTCGCGAAGCGATCGGCACTCGAGTGCGTTCGACTTGGCCGCCGCGATCGGAACGACGAACGAGAGGATTGCCGCGAGCAACGACGAGCATGAAGACAGAGCACTGGTGGCGCGACAGGTGGCGATACCGGTGGCCAGGAGTCGGGCAACGGCGCCGGCGGCTTTTCGTACGCGGCGCCCGAGCTGCAGTACGTGGACTTCCAGGCGAAAGCCAACGGCGGGCCCGGCGAGGTGATCATCGTTCCAGCGATCAGCCGTGGCTGTGACTGCGCCTCCCACTGCGTGGTTCTGGATCGTCATTTGAGCGACGCGAGATGCCTGTGCCCCAGCGGCAAGCAACTGAACGACGACGACGGCACTTGCGACGAGACGAAGAGTCTGGACCAGACCTACAAGAACCTGGTGGAGACGGTGCTGATAGTCGTGAGCATCATCATGTCGATCGCGCTGTCCGGCTTATGCTTCACCTTGTGTAAGTGTGCGAAACACTCGGGCCCGGAAGGGACGAATCGGCGCGCTGTAACCGGCACGGCATGTCTGTCGAACAGACCAACGCTACCAAAACAAGAAGGAACTGAAGCGGAGGCGCCAGGTGATGTTCGGCAACGGCACCGAGCTCGCGTCGCTGAGGGTCGTGTCCGACAACATAATGACGGAGTTCAATCCGAACTACGAGTTCGCGGGCAACCTCTACAGCTTCAAGGACCTGCCGCAGATCCCCAGGGACAACATCTCGCTGGTCAAGTAAGGCGGATAGATAGCCCGAGAACGATTGCCTCGATCGCGAACGATCCGTGGTGCTTGGTGCGCAGGCCGCTGGGTCAAGGGGCGTTCGGCGAGGTCTACCAAGGCATGTACAAGTACAGGCGCGAGCAGCAGTACCCGGTGGCCGTGAAGACGCTGCCGTCCATCTCGACGCCGCAAGCCGAGGCGGACTTCATGATGGAGGCGCTGATAATGAGCAAGTTCAGCCACGCCAACATCGTGCAGTTCATCGGCGTGTCGTTCGACAAGCACCCGCGCTACATCGTGCTCGAGCTGCTGGCCGGCGGCGACCTCAAGAACTTCCTGCGCGAGGAGCGACCCAAGGCCGACCGGCCAACCAAGCTCGACATGAAGGACCTGATAACGTGCGCCTCCGACGTGGCCAAGGGCTGCAAGTACCTGGAGGACTCGCGCTTCATCCACCGCGACATCGCGGCGCGCAACTGCCTGCTCACCTGCAAGCACAACCCCAACCGCGCGGTCAAGATCGCCGACTTCGGCATGGCCAGGGACATCTACCGCAGCGACTACTACAGGAAGGGCGGCAAGGCCATGCTGCCGATCAAGTGGATGCCGCCCGAGAGCTTCCTCGACGGCATCTTCACGACCAAGACCGACGTCTGGTGAGCGCATGGCTCCGGCCGGCGGCGCGCGTCGCACCGCGCCTCACCGGCCCGTCCGACTGTTCGCAGGGCCTTCGGCGTGCTGCTCTGGGAGATCATGTCGTTCGGCTACATGCCCTACACCGGCTGCGCCAATCGCGAGGTCATGTCCATGGTGACGAGCGGCGGCCGCCTGGAGAAGCCGGCCGGCTGCCCCGACCCGATCTACGGCATCATGACGCGCTGCTGGCACCCGAGTCCCGAGGAGCGTCCGAGCTTCGGCACCATCGTCGAGAGGATCGGTTACTGCCTGCAGGTAAGGCCCGCGACGCGCGCGCGCCCGTGGCGCCGACGCTGAGCCCGCGACCTTGCTGCGCAGGATCCCGACGTGGTCAACCACCCGACGCCCAACTACGACTCGCTGCCCATCTGCGAGCGCGAGATCACGGTCATGCGGCCCGACCCCGAGACCGAGTGCATCAACGTGCATCCGGACGTAAGTATGCGGCGCGTCGCGCCCGCGCGCCCAAGCTGACCGTTCGCGCTCTGCCGCAGATCGACGGCTACGTGCAGCCGAGGGCCAGCTACTGGCCGGTGTCCAGCTACCGCCTCGGCCAGCCGCCCGGCGTCGTCTGCGGCTCGGCGGCGCGCGCGCCCCGGCCGGCCTCGCCGCCGGCGCCGCCCTCGCCGCCCTCGCCGCCCTCGCCGCCCTCGCCGCCCCGCGAGCCTGTCCAGGACGACGACGCCAACGCCAACGCGCGCGCGGCGGCGCCGCCGCCGCCTACCGACCAGGAGGACGACGCCAACGCCAACGCCCAGCGGCGTCCGGACAACGGCCACGGGGGCGCGGACAACGGCAACGCGGACGGCGCGGCCGCCGCGACCGGCAGCCCGGGCAGCGTGAACGGCGTGCGCAGGAGTGCGCTCAAGGCCGCGCTGAGCCTGGACCCCGGCGCGCTGTGCCGCGGCGCGGCCATCCCCTACGAGAAGATCGCCAAGCCCAGCGGCGCCGAGCTGCGACAGGTAGGTGGCGGCCGGGCGCGAGCGAGCCGCACTCACCCGGCGCCTGGCCGCTGCCCGCAGGAGCCGCTGCCGCGCGAGGAGTGCTCCTGCTGAGGCTCGTGCGGCGGGGGCCGACGCTCCCCGGCGTCCGACGGCGGCTGCGCCGGCCGCTGCCACCGGCCGCGCGGCCCGCGGCGCTCGCTCACCATGCCCGCCCTGCGCTGCCGCGCCGTCGCCGCCACCGCCTCCAACTCGTCGCCGCGCTCCGAGCTCTCCTCCGAGGAGACGCTCATCTGACCGGACGCGCTGGCGCCGCGGACTCCACCTGCCCGGATGTCGTTGGCTTTCCCTCGCATCTGCCGGTTGACTTGCGACCGACCTCACGGCGGATTGCAACTCGACTTGCGTTCGGATTCTCTCGTCGAATTTGTATTCTCGGGTTTATGGATTTATTCTTGTTAAATGTGAAGTGTCGATGTGATCGGAGCGATTAAATGCGCGCACAAAGATGGAAATGCACTTGAGAAAGGAACAAATAGCTGAATAAAGTAAAATAAGGGTACACAAAGAGATGATAAAAATATATGTAATTATAAAGTTTTATATCGTTATAATTTTTACAGGACGAATTTACAAATTTTCAGTCGAGTTTCTTTCACAGGTGCAGAATATAGACGTTTTTTCATGCGCATGTCTATGTTCAATTTTTGTATCAGAAAAACTTATATATATGCGCGAGAACTTCCATATGTTTAACATACGTGCGATAAGGTTACATAAGTAGTAGTTCATAGAAACAATACCGAAGGAACAACTTCAATGGATTTGATCGTTTGTCAATAGGCATATGTAGACGAGAGCGAGAGTCTATTCTATATGGTATTTTTCTTTTGCTGACAAGGCAATTTTTCTATACATCTCTTTTGTTAAACTGACACCGTACAAACGTTGGCGATCATTTGAATCCGCGTAATTTTTCACCTTCCGTTTCTGTATCTTTTATCATCTGGTCGAATTCCACTTTTTATTATATATAATCAATGTAAGCGATCGCGCCGAAACATGGAAGTACTATATTACGTGTTATACGTTATTGTTAATGACTCGATGGCGGAATATAATTTGTGCATTTGTCCGTTAATCAATGATATGGTATAAAATAAAGAAATAATAAATCGAGTAAAGTAAAAATGTTCAGTGTACATAAGTAAACGGTGAATAAGACCTAAAAATAATTAAAAATTCTCGCGCACGTGAAAATAAGAAACGGGTGTAGGTCCACTCGTCACCGAGATTCTCTATGTAAATGCTCCGTTATAAAGATGATTAAAAAAAAACATGCATAAATAAATTTAAAGAAAGCTTGTAATCGTAAACCGTGTGCTTGAAGTAAAATAAATAAATTTAACTGTTGGCAAAATAGAATGGCAAGGACTAATTAGAGTAAATTAATGATAATTTTGATGTCTGACTTGTAAAATCGTACGTGGCCCTGGCCGTACCGAAGTGTCCTGCACGCAGGCTCACGCGCTCGTTTCTTTTGCAAAAACAGCTTGCATCGACAGCTCTCAAAGGATACAATCTCATTCGCGAGCTTCTAACTTTCGTACTGCGTTTCATCGTGTCTATTTCATTGTCTTTTAGTCCAAGTGTGACTCGAATTGAAATCGCAACGATTAAATTAGGTTTATTTCGAAGCCATATTCGACGCACGTAGTAAACATAACTTCCATAGGATAAACTCATGATCGTTACATAGTTGACTGATATCCGATAGTTTCAAGCTCTACTATGTACATTATAAATATATTGCTAACAGAACTACAATAACAAATATTTTAATGCGAACAAATTTGAGTCTGATATTCCGGAATTATATTAAGCATCTAATAAGATCTTTTGCATACGAACATAGATGCACATCCACTATATGCATTCACAAAGAAAAGTAGCATCAAGTACAATAGAATGTCATCGTGTTTATATAAAAACTAATTGTCAGAAATTTTCACGTCTGTATACTTATATAAAATAGTTATTTTTAACAGAAGCGTATTTTTTAAACTATCATTAGATTTTTTTATTATTCGCTTAGAGAGTTCTGGTGATCTCAGTATTACACCAAGTATTATTTCAATGGATTTTAGTATAGACGATAAGTTGAACATTCGCTGATTCGACTCGGTATGTCGTACACTGATCATTTATGAAAGATACTCAACGAAGTAGAAAAGATGCATGCTGTCACTTAATGATCACCTTTTGTACAATCTATACACTAATGTTATACGTTCGTAAGACTTTCGTTGTTCGATAGAAAAAGAAAGATACAATTCCTGAAGTCGTGGAAGAGAGTAAAAAATAAGAATTGAGAAAGATCGTCATCGTGTATATTTTCGTTATAAGATTTAACGAGGTTTTATCGTGACAAACAAAAAAGTTGGAATTGAAAATATTGGATGAATAATAACTTGTCTTCAGCCTCATATACGAAGAATGATATGTATGCATTTTATTAGAGATTTGTAAGACACAGCTCAAGCTGAATATTTAAATGTCGAAACAGTATTGTTGCCCTTTTCAATGCGACGACGTGCCGGCGTGTAATAGTAATAAGCGCTTAGGATTACTAAGATTTATCATAATAATGAATAATTAATTGTTAAGGACGAGCGTCGATATGTATATGTATGATGTATTTCAAACCTCCATTCGTCTGGGCGGAAAGTGTCTATAATACATACATATATATATATATTTGGTTATACGAAATAATAATATATACGTAACGTGCAAATGGTTTTACCGCGCGTACATATATTACCAGGCCTAAATAAATACCAAATAGGAGTCATGCAACATAACGTATTATTTTATTTTTTTATTTGTTTTGTTTTTGTTAATTACTAACAGGTTTCGACTATTAGGGATTTCGATGTTTTATTTTTGCAGAAAAATCCACAAAAGAAAAATAAACAAAAAAATAATTAACGAGCTGAGGTAACGTTTCCAAAATCTCTTGATCAATGCTAAATGTGTCTTTAGTCGCACCACTCATCAAATCTAATCGATGTCAATGAAAAGAAACTTTTATCAAATTATTCTTGATAATCCAGTCAAATGAGAATCACACTTGAAGAAACGTCGCACGCAGTGAAAATAATGACGAGCTCAAAAATGTCAATCCCCGTCCTTGCATGCCTTTGTTCTTCCATTGACGTGTGCCTCGGCTCGTTCCCTGTCGTCAAAACGACGCCAGCGAGAATAAGAAAAAACGGCCATTTACCACGACAACGACGACTTGGGCAATGCATTAACGCGATTTGTACATATGATAAGGCTTACCCGTTTGGCCCCTTGATCGTTTCACAATTTTAAGTTGGTTGTTGCATACCATGAAGTTTTAAATGAAAATTTTATTGCCTTTTTAATATTGACACAGAAAAAAAGACTATATAAGAATAAAATTGTTTGTAAAGAGAAGAAAAAAAATTTTCTATCGCGGGAGAAATAATAATGATAATAATAATAATAAAAAAGAAAATACTCTAATCAACGAATTAAAAAAGTTAACATTTAGAAACGAAGGTCGAGTCTTCTTTTTCTGTGTTCAAAGAAAAAATTGAATTGGTCCGTTGGCTTTGATATGCATAGAAATATATAATGTTTGTCGCAGGAAAGTAATTTAACGAGTAAAAATACTCAATTATTGTTGTGTAATACCTTTGAGTCTAATATTAAAATTGCTCGGACATGTGATTATTTACGATGTAAGCATACCGTTATTGCTATTTATGTACTCCTTGTTAGATATATTGACCATTAAGGTTATAGTAGCCAGAGAGCAAAAGTGAGAAACACAAGTGCGGGAGCCGTGTCTTTTTATTTATTTTCTATCGTAGCCACACATCGACACGTTTTACGAAGATAGTGTATAAGCACCTCATGTACGATAAGAATAAATGAATAAAGTCATCGAAGTAAAGAGATTTATATATATATATATATATATATATATATATATATATACATATACATATATCGCAGCCCGATTGTTGTTTCGTGTACATCTCATATTGAACGCGAGAACAATGCTGAACGAAGCTCAGGAACGTCGAAAATATTGCCGAGGCTGGCTTGTCGTCGACGCGCGCGGCGAGCTTTCTAAAATTAAGCCCCCGTATCCTCTGCTTCTGCCGTTCGTATCTCTCGAGCGTCCCTTTCTGCGTTCCGCCGTGCTGGATAGTCGGGAGCCGCGTGGCAGCGGGACGTCGTACACTTGGCCACCGAAGTATGAGCAATTACTGCTTCTACTATGCGAGGGAAGTGCAGCTCGAGACCAATGGACTCACTAGAATCGACAAATTCTTCAAGGGGTGAGTTTATCCGCTCTCTCTCTCTCTATATCGCTTCTCAGCTGCCTTCACTTTCTCTTTGCTTGCTCAGAAATCCAAGGCTGCTCGGATTAGCCGAGGACGCAAAACGGACTTTCGGAAAGTACAGACTACAGGCTCGACCATTGAAAGGGGGCTTATCCGGTACCGGAGACGTTCACCATCCAGCCAAAGTTGTCGTCAAGGTTCTCTCTCTCTCTCTCTCTCTCTCTGTTCACTCGCTATTTCGCAATTTTACGATCGTAATAAGCCCGTCTCGCGCGATGCATTAGTCGCGAGTAAACGTTCACGGTCCATAAAGTCGCAAAACGGCTCTGCAACGCGCCATTCAAACAGTCACGCTCTTGGCTGTCGCTCAAATCCTCCATTCTCGCAAAGTCAAAGCAGCGTCCGTCCGTGGCCGATCGCAATCGAGTAGGTCAGTGTGGTAAAGCCCGTGCTCGGGCGAAAGGCAAAAGAAAAGGGTGAAGAACGAAACTACGTCCAGTCGGACGCGATTGGCCTCGAGGCCAGCCTCCCTCGGAGCCATTCGAAGAGCAGAGCTCTTGGACGCGCGCCAAACGCGCGCCAAACGCGCGCCAAACGCGCGCGTTCGTGCATTGCGAGGGAACGCCGGCGAACGCGAACGGACGACTCTCGCGCGCCCGGCGATGACTGGCAGCACGCCCACGCTCGCCGAGCAGACGTCGCGGGTCAACGACGCGCGTAGCTCGATCAACGAATTGCCGAAGCCAGAGTCAACGTGGGCGACCAAGCGCGCTTACGGAGAATCACGCGGACGCCCAGCGGACTCGCGGGCTCTATCAATTCGCTGCAGCCTCGCTGCACCGGCGCCTGCACCTGCGACGATAAAACGCTGGGCTTACGTAACAGGCTCTGCGTGGCATATTCGTTTGTTTCCTGGATCTTACGATACGACGATACGACTGCGTGTCGCTCTTTTCACGCGGCTCGATGTGCCAATAGATGAAAGCGGAGCAGCTTATAGATTGACTTTACGCTGTAGAAGCTGAATTTCCCTTTGATATATCGCGTTTACCGATGAGATTCGGAACTCAATTTGTTTTTACAACCGCGTGAAGAATGTTAATTGTACCGTCCAAATTCGTAAAATCCATTTAAAATTCCAGGCATTGAGACAAGGCATATTTTTCAACTAGCCAACAAGGCAACATCATCGAAATCCCGTTTTCACGTTACATTCCTCCGATCGGCGCCGACGTTCGCTCGCAGACACGCGTACACAGTACACAGATTGGATCGAACAAACCAGTTTTCGCGTATGATTCGAAAGTGCGCCTCGTAGTCAGAGATGCTTAATGGACTCCCTGCTGCCTGGGCGTCTTCTGAGCCCAAGTAAAAATAGTCGATGTAGTCGCATAGACACACAAGTGTGTTTCGTGTGAGATCCGTATGCTTTCATGCTTCGAAAAATTGTGATTCTGCTTTTGAAGCCGAAGGAAAAACATGGCTGGCTGGGTGCGTTGGAACTCTTTAAAGACGAATTCGTATTCAATTAATGCATTTTTCACTTCGATGCAGCCGCGACTGATAAATTGTTTAATCGCAATCACGTTCAACGAAGATATTAACGACTATACGAAAAATTACAGATTTTATTTTTCGCTTCAAAATTCAAATTTTGTTTGAACAACAAAAAGAGAAAACTACGGGAAAGCCTTGCACGTATTAGCGGCACCTTCGTTGATAATTTTATTCGTTGCAGCATACGAAGCGTTGGCTGCATGTTAATAAAAGTCGATTCCACGCACACACGCATATCTATACATACTCGCTTGGGGTGACCTCGTGAGACGCTCCAGAAAAAGAGTCAGTCTCGCGAACTAACAGCAGCGCACCGGTAGCACGCTAACCAACTGCGGTCGCGACTTTCTTTTGTGCAGCAACGTTTGAAGTGTTTGGAAAATTCTTAATATTATATACAAGTGGACAATAAATCGTTAGAAATTATACGTTAGTATTGATTTGTGTACTGTGTTGAAAGTATTCGATCGTGTCTGATAAAGGATTATGTGATGTAACGGTCAGTTGGGTTCTTGAAAAAATTGAGGGTTAGGAACGAACAGTTTTTTTTCAAAAATAGCCGAGAATAGCTTTCCTGCATTGCGCGACGAATAAGTTTCAGCAGTTGTGAAAAAATAATAATGGGCATTGCGCGATGGTGAGTAATTACTTACACACGTGCCATCGGACTTGCGTTATTTTTGTTTCAACGAAATAAATCGCGTTTGCGCTGTAATATTTTTGCAACAACATTTCGTCATTTTTAGACTGTTGAGGCGAGAAGGTAAATTGTCTTAATTGCTCAACATGCTTCAGTTTAATAGTCACAACTTATCTCCTCTTCAAGCATCTTTCTGAGAATATAGTCGTTTGATGTAAATAAATAAAATATGTGCACGTGTAGTTATCGTTATAGTTTTAGATTATTGGATATTCTATCGATTCACCAAAGTTATTGTCATCTAGCAACGTCGAGCTATAAAAGCGAGTTTGTAATTTACAATTGCTTACATAATTCATGGACGTTGTGTCGTAAATCTCAGTATTGTCAACATTTGTGATAGAAAATCAAGTATAATTATAAAGCGTCTAATATAAATTAAAAAATGGCCAACTTCTACAAAGCATTGTTGTAAAAATCCCATTGATGATTGTTTTCGTTCTTGAAAATCATAATCAGTCGACGAATTTTACTCGAAAATACCGCATGTAACCATCAATCTGTCGGCTAAACGCTCTTTCTAAATTGCATTCATAATGCAGTAACCAAGAGCTATTCCGTCGAAACACTCGAGACGCACTTTATAAATACAAACTATAAACAAAACGTAGTTACCGCATTATGTCAGCATCGACCTTTATGGGACAACGATCGATAGCCATCTAAGTCAAGGTTACGTGTAACCCTTGATTACTCCCTTTCCTTGCGAGAATGTTCATGTAAGGATTGGTTTTATTATGAAGATAACGTGATATTACGATACGTGAGATGAATCATAAGGATAATCTATATAGAGCTATTTATCGCGAGTTGATGTAAAGAAAAAAAATTATTTTTTTTCAATGCTAATAAGTTATTCTTTCTATAATATCGTTGGTAAAGAAAGTTAATTATTTTTAGTTTTCGTAATAACACTCGTCTTAATTGCTAGCAAAGATAAACATGCTAAATTCTGCAGGTTTAGGGGACAATGTATTGCAAATAATATTATAGTGAAATCAATATCTGAATATGAATGGAAAATTTTTTTTTCTTCGGAATGTAGACCCTACACGGTAAAAGATCCATTTCAATTGAAATGAAATCTTCAGTATAGTTATCATTGCTTCAATTGTCCAAGCTGTTCTTTGAAACCTACAAAATGTGCAACACTCAACGGCACTTCTGAAAACTTTTAACGAGCGATCACCAAACTCAAACGGAAACTGAAACTGGTGGAAATAAAACGAAACACTTGATGACGCCTTGCATTATGTGACTCATCGTGTCTTTAACCAGCTTCGCGATCCGAATCGAAAAAATTCGTTGGAACAAAAACGCAGGCTAATACTCCAATTTGCGTCATTATAAAAACAAAGTTTTTCATTACACACGCACGGTTATTATTAACTCATTGCCGAAGCTTTCTTCGTTGGGATTTAAGGAACATTATCGTCGTTCTCATTAATCACCGATAAAACATCGTTATCTCTTATTTCTCATGATTTGGCGGTATATATAACAAACCTAACTAGTGTTTAATCAGACACGAGCGAAACTATTCAATATTAACACAAAGTAAATACAACATCTTTGTACAGGAATTGTACAAAAAATGTCAATGTTATGACGAGATAGAAAACGAGTAGTTTCATCCGCAAATTAGTCGAATAAACTTATACTTAGCCTATTGGATTTGGGAACAAAAAACGAACTATAAAGTGTAAACATGTACTACAACAATTCGGGACCGAAGCTGAATTATGGTTGGAGTCAGCATGTTGTTGAGGAACCGCAAATTGTTCGCAAACAGGCTAAGCACATCGAATCTGTAAGTACTTACACTGTCTTTACTAGTAAAAATTTAACGGCCAGACCTTGAGATTAGATCGTAGTGTAAAGCGGGAGTTACGTAAGGTATCGGTTCAAGGAAAAAAGAGAAAAATTGAATTTTCGCGAAAAAAGCGTGGATAAGTCGTGTCTCTTCTTTATCGATGTGTTTTGAAAATAAAAAATCTTATTTACCAACAGGTGTTATGATTAATTCATGAAGATGACTCAATTATTAATATATGCGCGATCATTATCTTCTAATCATTCTTCCTTCATTTCTATTCATACAAGCGACGGATTATATCCAGCTGCCAATGATGAGATTGACAATAAGTACATTCCTTTCTCTACGCAATACTAAATTATTGCCTGGAAAACACATCCAAATGAATCATCCCCTGTGTTGGTCGATTACGCTTCAATCTCATTTTTTTCACCGTCTTATTCGTAAATCTTATACTCCAAGTCGCAGGCGTAAAGGTAAACTGAAAAAAATTAATTACCTCCGACTCTTATATAAGATAACTACAGTCCACTAAATAGCAGCAATTCAAGGTCTTTGAAAGTTAAAGTCCCCTCGCTTCCTCGTCAATTTATCCATCGGAGTCAATCAGTCAATCAGCGATCGGAGCGAGAAATGCACATAACCTAAAAGCCAAAACACGCAGCAAGAGACGATGAGAAGTGAGTGTTCGAGCCGGCGACCTTCGCGTGTGCTACTCGTGACGAAACAATCGTACCGCCGCATTAACCCAACAACAAAACGGATGAGCTCACTGTTCGATGGGTGAGCTCGAGCGCGTAGAACAGTGCACCTTTCGCTCCGATTAGTTTGTTCGCGACGTCGAGCGATTATAATCCGAAAATAAAGTGCTATTTACTAATTACGTGATTCGGCTTTCGTTACGTTCGCTCGCAGATGTGCTTTTCCCGTACTCGCAGTGCAACAAGTATCTCGTTGAACGCGTACTATAATTATGCGCTATAGTGGCGAGCGATAATTCGCGACTGTTTATTTCGTTGACAAGAACATCAGAGTAAAAACGCACGGAATTGCTAATTTCAGCGTAGCCAGAAAATTAACGAGTTGTCTAAAATAAAAAGAAGACACCACTTGACAAACGCGCAGCAGCCTAACGGTAAATCAAACCCACGTTAATTTGGTCTCACCCACGCGGAGAAAATGGCCTTCATGTGTCCTGATCAAGTGGATCCAGCCGAGCTGGAAGGCTACGGTCATGCAACACAACCTGGTCTCGATGTCTTCATCAAAAAAGCTGTCGAAGTTAAACGCATCCTACCGTCGCTTTTCAACATCAAAGTGGTACGCTTTATATAAATCTCCCGGAGGAAACAATTTATTCGCGTGATAGGAAGTGTCGGATTGACGGATTGGATCTGTTTACAACTGCATTGATGTTTTATTCAAGAATGCTGTGTATGTGAAAGATACGCGCGTCTTTATTCCGAGAAAGTATCAGGATGACCGAAGCGCTATATTTAGCGTGTTTTTAGGGAAACTCTGGCATTTACTCTAAAATCATCAATTTCTTTTTGACTGTTGTGCGAATTCCCTTGAATCTGACGCGAGTTTCATTGATTTATTGTGACATGTTATTCATCCTTGATAAAGGAGATGATGTTTGTAAGAAATGAGTAGATAGGAATAGAATTCGAATGTAAATTTAGAATCTTGAGAGAAAATGTAATTTTCCTTCATAAAAGAAGTTACTAATCAAACTACTTAGAAAATATTATACATTTAGGTACACCACTAAGTGTATAATATTTATTAGGGTGCAAATATAAGATAATTTCAAATATTTTTGTAGTATTTTTTTATTAATTCTGAAATATTTCAACTATGTCAGTGTTAAAAACTTTTCTCATTAAATAATACAGCTATTAAGCACTTTCAATACATTTACTTATTCTTTACTCTTCAAGTATTACACTGCGCAAACATACCATTGTACTAAACTAAACAATAATAATGGGCTCATAAAGTAGCCCAACCCATGATAGCTATTTGATTACCTTAGTCACACCCTCCAGCCAAGGTATTCTCATTTACATTAGTACCACTCACTCATTTGTCAAGGTCAGTACAATTTCATTTAGGGAATCCATTGAGGAAATGATAAATTTTGCTTTCACTCTTACTAACAGTATTAATGGCCAGTTTTAGATCAATGCAAAGTTTAATAGGCAGCTCAGTTGTGCATACATACCATTGTATTGTACACTGAGAATAACAAAATTTTGTTGTAAGGTTCAGTGATCATTTAAATACAAATTACTTATATCCCTTGCATTTTCTATAAATAAACCCATTATTACATATTTTCTGATTACTTTTCATAAAGATAATTGCAGCCAATTCTAATGTTATCATAACTTCCTTCCTGTTGATAAAACTTTTGAAAGATATTCAGTATCATTCAGTTCTTTGACACTTTCAGAGGTGTAGTTGGTGTAATTAAAAATGGTCTCCAACCATAACACTTACAATTTGAGAATGGAATATAATTTTTACAGAAAAGTACATTAAATCTTTTATTCTAGCTTGGTGACCGTGGATCAGGATTCAAGAGTAAAGGTCCAGTGCAAGATTTCAACGAACTGAGACAACAATGTCTTTCAGAGGGAAGGCTCTTTGAAGATCCAGAATTTCCTGCCATAGATTCTTCATTATTCTATTCAAGAAGACCAGATAGATATGTTGAATGGAGACGTCCAATGGTTTGAATGAATTTTTTCTTCGTTTACAAATATAATTTTAGAAATTGGTGATTGACTGATTCTATATTTGTTTACAGGAAATAGCAGACAACCCTCAATTATTCATAGAGGGTTACTCCAGATTTGATGTCCAACAGGGTGAACTTGGTGATTGTTGGTTACTTGCTGCAATAGCTAATTTAACATTACACCCAAACTTATTCTTTCAAATTGTACCTGAAGACCAGAGCTTTGAAGAGAATTATGCTGGTATATTTCACTTCAGGTACTGTTAATTTCTTATATTCTTTAGATGTAACTATCATTGATTTGTTGTGTTTGTTACATAAATTCATTTGAAAAACAATCACGACGTATAATTGAACGAGTTGAATGTAAATTGTTAGTAGCATGTACAATTGAAACGTTAATTTACAATTCATGATTCTTGACAACTACATATACTTGTAGACTTGATGAACAAATTTAGTGAAAAAAAAACATTTTCAAGGTTTTGGCAGTATGGCAAATGGGTCGATGTAGTAATCGACGATAGACTGCCTACTTATCATGGCAAACTTCTTTACCTGAGCTCAGCTGAGCCAAACGAATTTTGGAGTGCACTTTTAGAGAAAGCCTATGCTAAACTTCATGGCTCCTATGAAGCTCTCAAGGGTGGCACAACATGCGAAGCTATGGAAGATTTTACAGGTGGTGTCACTGAGATGTACGAGATGAACGAGACACCGCCAAATCTTTTCAGTATTCTACTCAAAGCTTACGAACGAAACTCTTTAATGGGCTGCTCTATTGAGGTAAGCACTTAGACTAATGTTATTTATTCATTATGGTTTACTTGGAGTGAATAATAATTTTAATCGCTTTTTATTAATTACAGCCAGATCCAAACGTACTTGAAGCCGAAACGCCACAAGGCCTAATCAGAGGACACGCTTACAGTATCACACGAGTTAAATATGTAGACATTCAAACACCTAACACAGTAGGAAAAATTCCGCTGTTAAGATTGAGAAATCCCTGGGGTAACGAAGCTGAATGGAATGGTCCTTGGAGTGATGGGTAAAAATAAAATTGATTTGAGTTTGCTTTTCCGATATTGACTTTAACTGAAAGCAAACTAATAATTTTTCTTCATTCAGATCCCCAGAATGGCGATTCATTCCCGACCACGAGAAGGAAGAATTGGGCTTGACTTTTGACGTTGATGGAGAGTTTTGGATGTCCTTCCAAGACTTCAAAAAGTATTTTGAACGAGTGGAAATTTGTAATTTGAATCCCGATTCATTGACGGAGGATGATCTCAGCCGTGGCAAGAAAAAATGGGAAATGAGTGTATACGAAGGCGAATGGGTTCGAGGAGTAACAGCTGGTGGTTGCCGTAATTATTTAGGTAATACAATTGTCATTGGTTTCAATGAAAAAAATGATTATTTTTTTTGGAACAAGAATAATAGACGTCATTTTTTTATTGTAGAAACCTTCTGGCATAACCCACAGTACCGTGTTACCCTGGAATATCCAGACGAGGATGATGATAAATGCACTGTCATTGTAGCGCTCATGCAAAAAAATAGACGAGCACAGAGACGAATGGGCGCTGACTGTCTCACTATTGGCTTTGCAATTTATCACGTGAGTTTAATTAACTCTTCTTTGAACTTAGCTATTCGATTTATTGTTAATTTATTACTAATCTACTTTTATTTTACTATAATAATAATAGTAATAATAATATAATAATAATAATTATTATTATTACTATTATTATTATTATTATTATTATTATTATTGCTATTATTATTATTATTATAGTATTATTATTTATTAATTTATTTAAACGATGAAAAATCGCTCTATACGAAAGTTAATCCGTATTACAACTACCTTGAAGAATTTTAAATGAACACTTATATTTTTAATTTTTAGTTAGAGGATTCAGAAAGACTTCCAAAACCGTTAGATATTAATTTCTTCAGATATAATGCATCAGTAGCTCGATCACCATCTTTCATTAATTTACGTGAAGTCAGTTGTCGGTTTAAACTACCGCCTGGAATTTACTGTATAGTTCCTAGTACTTTCGATCCTAATGAAGAGGGAGAATTTTTACTTAGGATCTTCTCTGAAAACAAAAATAACATGGAGTATGTAAATAATTGTAGCTAGTGGAATACTCAAATAAGCTATATTTGTTACGATCGATTTATAATGTTACAGAGAAAATGACGATGAAGTAGGAATGGGTGATGTTGATGATAGGGTATGTATAAAAATGAAAAAAAATGAATACGCAAGTGTTATAACGGACTGCACTAAAAAAAATAACAGCTTTCACCAATAAAAAATTATTATAAATATTTTTAACTTATATAAAAAATTTTTGTTGCTGAAGAATAACTTTTATAATAACTTGCTGCTCACGTATGTCGCTTAGCACAAGTGTGCACTAGAATAAATATGAAAAACTAATAAGAAACAGCTGCTAATGTTCAGTGTAATATCATTGTCTTAAATTTAATATTTCTTGCACGTTATGTTGCTTGGCTTTTAGGTGAATAATCCTAGCACTGATAATAATACTGGTGATGGTAATGATCAGGTTCGTAACTGCTATAACTTCACTAACTATTTTTTTTTAATTCACTAGCTATTAATAATGTGCATATAATAAGATCTTATTTTTTTCCACTTTCGCGTTTCTTATATCATTTTAATTTTTAGGTTCAACCACAACCCGTTGATAATAATAACGAAGAGAAAGTGCGAGAGTTCTTTAAAAAACTCGCAGGTGATGATATGGAAGTTGATTGGATGGAATTGAAAGAAATATTGGATTATGCCATGCGCAAAGGTAAAGCTTATTTTACAGGCTAAATTAGTGTAATAAATTTGAAATTCCTAGTATACATATCTATTTTATCTTTTTAATTAGTTTATTGTTTTCTCCACGTCAATTATGTTTATTTTAAAAATTTTCATGTTAGTATTAATTATAAGCTCACACAAATATTTATTTAGCTTTTTATTCCACATAAAATGATTGATATTAAAATCATAATTATTTCTTATCATTGGAAAATTCATGTTTTCAAGTTTAACACGGTGATGGTTGACGCACATCTAAAATAATGTATATACCTGTTGTGCATCTGTTATGAGTTGCATTTTGAAAATCCTCCAATTGCACGAACCGCGAGTTAATAACATTAATTTATTGTTTTATAAAAATAATGCTTGAAGGTAGAGGTCCATGGCTTGAACCTAGAAATAGTTTTTAAAAATAACTAATCATGATTTTTACGATAATAACAAATCATTGGACTTTCATCATAACATTGCTACAATAACAGCTTTTGCTATACTAATGGTACATAAATACATTTGGGTCTGCCTTTGTCTGTTGAAACATTTTTTTATGTTCAGGAGATTTCTTACTTTTAACATTTTTAACAACTGTAATCATTTCAATCCAATATAAAGTTGGATTTGTATTTGAAAATTGTATATGAAGCATGGGCACCTTCCTTTACTTTGAGATAAATGTTTAGTTGATATAGACTTTATATTTATTTTTATTTCGTAATTGATGTAAATATACTTTTGTCAAATGTGAACAGAATTGGTAACGTTTAAGAAAAAATTTTCAAAATCACTATTATTCATTTTCCTATTTTGTTTACCTATTGGAACAGCATGTCAAAAAGTGATCAAAATGCTTAAATTCGTTTTTTTTCTCAAGATTTTTCAAATACCATAAAACTTTTAAGTAACAGCTACCACGACAAAACAACAGTTTTTGCACCAACATCGTTTATACCGCAGCAAAATAGTCATTTGCAAGCTTTAAAAGTTATCATATTCTCAATAATTGCATTAGACAGTAAAAGTGCCAATTTGTGAGTTGATTTCATTTATTTCGACCAATGCGATGCAATTTAATATTGATCAAAAGCTCTACTGTGCTCACTGAAGTTTATATTAATCGGATTTTGTTGCTGATGCATAATGAACGACAGGAGAACTGAATTTCTGCATTTTGTTCGCTAACTCTATACGCTTCCTGAGAGTGACTAAAATGTCGTGAGCAAATTTTTGGTACGTAATTATTATAAACAAAAAGAAAGATTCTGATCAAACTATTGAAAGGTGACCAATAAATATACGTAATTTTATATTGTATTATAATAGACGCTAAATAATAAAAAAGGAGAAAATCCGATATAATCCTATAAGACCCAAATGCACGTTATGTACGTTGGTTAAATCTTAACATGTAGCTGTGTGTGTTGCGGGTTAGAATTGCCGCCGGCACGTCGTAGCGAGGCTGCTAGTAACCCTGATAGCCCGCAAGAAGAGACCTCCCTCATCGACACACTTATCTCCCTGCTCTGTGGTATTATTTGTAAGGATGAACAGGCCAATAAGACTGACCTAGGTAACGTATATATCACACGTATCATGGATGGATATATCTTACAAATAATATCACACGCGTGCGATTCTTAATTTTGATCATGCATACTCTCTGCACTATACATTGTAAGATCATCTGTTTCTGTTTTTGCGAGAGTTCGTAGCTTTGTTCGTTATACCATTGTACTTGAGTCGTTTATTTTGTTTTTATCGTCGTCTGCTTTGTTCTTGGGAGGAACAATATACAAATAGCGCAGGATTAAATTTGCGAGTATTTTTCCTCTCGGGAGAGGTGACGAACTTGATTTGCTTGATCATTCATATTTTTGTCATAGAAATGAACAATCAAGGATTCAGCAAAGACGTGTGTCGAAGTATGGTTGCAATGCTCGACACTGATCACTCTGGTAAATTAGGCTTCGAGGAATTTAAGGCACTTTGGAACGACATTCGTAGCTGGAGGGTAACTGTGAAATTAATTTTTTTGATATTTTGGTTGGCAGTCCAACTAACATAATCCTTTTCTTCTTGCTTTTCAGTCTGTTTTCCGGCTTTACGATAGAGACGGCACTGGTTACCTGAGCGCATTTGAGCTAAGACAGGCATTGAATAGCGCCGGTTATCGATTAAACAATCACGTATTAAATATACTCGTACATAGGTACGGTACTAAAGAGGGGATGATCGCGTTTGATGATTTCATTATGTGCGCCGTCAGACTAAAGACAATGATCGGTAAAGATATTACGGAATATGATTTTCTAGACCATCCTTATGATCCTCAAGCTATGTAGACATATTGTGCATGAGTTTTTTTTTCTATATCTCTTACTTTTATTATTTTTTGAACGTAAAACTTTTAAATTGATTTTACAGTCATGCAAAGCTTGATGTTAATGTATTTTTGCATAAAGAATTTTATTGTTCTTCGCGACTTTTCATCCCTAAACGCGTTGTAATGAAGGTTTTGAATTTCTATGGTACTTATATAATACTCAGATATAACTAACAATATTTTTAAATCATGTGATTGTAGAATCTTTTTAGAAGTTCGACGTTTCTGTTAGATCATTCGTTATAGTTAGATTTTCGAACAAAAATGTATCCTGTTGTATATTTTTTTATTATTATTATTTTTAAACAATAACAGATATCTTCCGAGAAAGAGATCCAGGACATACGCAAACGGCAACATTTACATTAGAAGAGTGGGTTGAGAAAACGTTATACTCGTAAATCGTTGTAGTAAAAAACCATAAAATGGCGAAAGATATTACGTTGTCGAAAAGAGATGATTGCCAACTTACTGTGTGATAAAAATATCGATGAATCTCCAAAAATTAAACATTCGATGGCTTCTATACTTACATATTATACCGATTTACGATGAATTTCACTCAAAAAGTTAGATATATATTAGATGAAGATTTTTTAAAGTATATACGACAGATTTTATATTTTTGACAGTTTTTGAAGAGTTGGAACTATGGAAATAGTTTAATCTGGTGCGTAAAAAAGCTGCTATTGCGAATGACTGATTTTTACTATATATTTATATGTTATAAGTCTTACGTTGACTACTGATTTTCTTTTCTTTTTTAACAAAGTATTTGGTACACTCTTCAAAGAAACTTAAATTGTATTATGTAGAGTATAATTTAATTTATCTTTATATTTATACTAATATAAAATGTAATTTTTAACGTTAATGTTACTTAAAAAGCATTAAAGTGTTGCATTTCTTCAGAAACTACGTGTTATTGCTAATATTTACTCTATTTCTTTCCTTATCAAGAATTCACATCATCCTTAGAAATACCAAATAAAGTTTTTTCAAAATGTCAAATTAATTGAAACATACAAGTGAAATATTATTTATGAATGTAAATGTTATTAAAAGCTTCAATATAGCAATAATTGATTCGAAATTCGAAATTATAAATCAATTTATATGAATAAACTAGCACTCATCCAATAACATGACTGTCGATTGGTTGATTCAGTCATTGTACATGTATACAAACGAGAGTATATACATCAACAGTTGTCGAGACAGTGCGCGTTCTGTCGAGCTGACATGCGATTCAGCTACGCCGCCGATTTTTCTGCCAAGCATATCGCAAGAGTGAAGAGTGCACGAACATGTCGGACGAAATAGCTTTCATCAATTTCCCGTTGCAGAAAATTATAAAGTGCGAGCACTGTCATGAGCCGAAAATAGCGATATTTAGTGCTGAATCGCGAAAAAATAATTTTTTAAAGCACTTGCAGAAGAAGCACGGTATACGATCGGAGAACACGAAAATAAAGTGCTCCGTTTGCGGGTGGATCAGCAACAAGTCGAGGCGCATGGCATGGCGTGATACGCAGGCGCACCACCGAAGTGAGCACTCAAACAAGACTGCCGTTATGACAGAAGCTGGTCAACCACTGCCCGTCGGCTTGCCTACTGTTGATGATGCTCCGAGGTTCCAGTTTTTTTCTAACATACCTTCAATACCTTGATCGCGTAAAATATTCTTTGCTGGATCGCCATTCCTTTAAAATTTCTGCAGCTTTTCTCGAGAAACAAATGAAAAAGTCTCCGCGCAGTCGTTGAATTCGTTCGGTATAATCGACTTATCCAAATCTCGTGGGACTGTGCGAACGACAGTCACGACAGTTACGAGGACAGGACGATTAGTGCTTCCACCAGCGCCGATCACTTGGTACAAAGATCCCTTCCTCAGCGACCTGGTTAAGTAAGTCGTTTGAAGCTTAGAAATACTTTTATTCGCTTATCTACCCAATATCTTCTACTTACCGATTGCAGCTGTGTTGCTGATACGCCAACCGTGGAGAGACTTGCAGTAAAGAAACAGAAAAATAGCTGGCAGTTAACATCCAAGATTATAGCGGCTGTAGACAAAATGTTCAACGTGGTTAAGAGTACCGCAGCAATTTTCTTATCCTCTTTCCTACCGTGTATTTATTATCTCATTAATAATGCTACTGCAAAATATGTCGTTTTGATTGATCATAGTTTCGTCAATTAGAAAAGCTTGAATAATTGAGCTTTTTCTCAACTATACTATAACATAAAATAACTCGCGAGCTTGCAAGTTCGCTTGCAAGCAGCTTTCTAACGTAAAAAAATAATCTTTTACAATTATCTTACAACTATCCTTTTACTTTTTGATAGATTGTCAACCAAACGTGATTGTCCACTCAACACCAGAAAAGAAATCAACTAATGATGGTAAAACAGCACCGACGACGCAGCCGAAAATATTAGCAAGCAACTCATCGAGAATCAAGCCGAGGGCTCGACCGGCTCTTCGGAGGTCTGGAAAGAGGCATGTGTCCAGTCCTACACCAATTTCGTTTGCGAAAAATGTCATACATGTGGGGAAATTTAACATTTAAAGCTTAGATGTTGTTTCATTTTTAGATGCGTTTTATTGTTGTATATATTTTTTTGTTTATTTTTTCTGTTTTTTATTTAATTACTTGTAATAATCACAAGCTATTTATGTTTCGGTTTCTGTTATATTATTTTATTTAGATAAAATGAACTATAACTGTTTAAATAATTGGCGCATTCACGCACAATTTATGAATTCGATATTTTATTCAACGATATTTTGTATAAAGAAAATTAAATTACGATTTATCACAAAAAATTCACTCCAACCATTCACTCGTCCCAAATAAAGGTGTTCCTTTTGATTGCGCGTGTTGCACCCTCGCAATTAGTTCAGTCGTCGTAAAATTACAGTCGGTAACTTAGTAACCTATGTAAACCTCATATTGACTAGCGTTTGTTTACGTGACAGAGCCTCTGCAATTATCGTAATTCAGCGCGCGCGCTCAGTGCATCATATCCTGGGGTTGTGTATAAAATGAATCACACCCTTCGCGATGATTATTAATGGGCAAATTGTGTCGACGCATCACGCTAGTCCGCCAAAAGTATATATTGTACGAGAGAAAGATTCAAGTGTGGAAGAAATGAGTGGGTGTTGCAAGAGAGCATACGCGTAAATCGATAAGCCGTCAAGTGTGAGTGTGCAGTATACAAGTTTGTATTTTCTGCGCGCGTGAATATATATCTTGACTCGTGAATAAATTGTTGCGAACTCACTTAACATGACCACATCTACGGTGACGAGCCCCAAGCTTCAGGACGATATCAATAGTATTCCTCTTGCTGATGACGATCCTCAAGGTATTGCTAGCCTACACTGCTTCGCCTAATTGACCTATTTTAATTCTTTGTTAATTGCTAGAGTTTACTTTACACGTAATTGCTTTGATAAAAACTGTATGTGCAAGAATAGAGTTATTCTGTACAAGAGTGTTGAGTAGATGTTATTTATTTTTCAGTCATCATACCAGAAGAGGAAAATAACACAGAAAACAATTCTAAGTCGTCTGATCCTCTCAATCATGGACAGAGTATGGATTCAATCCTGTCGAATTTCACAAATGACAGCTGTAGTCCAAATAGTGAGTATATTGATCATAATATTATGTTTGCTTTCAAGTCATGTTCATTATCATTGAAATCGAGCTATCAAGAAATGCACATCATTTAGGAACACACACTGTACATTTAGTTTTCTCTTCCAAGTGAATAATTTATGACATTTTAATGCTGCACACTATCTGCTTGCATTGATTATCTTTGGTATCATAGGAATCATCAGTGAAATATCATTGGTATAACGTGTATGAATGCAGATAGCTCTGTGTCAATGAATAATCTATATGAAATTTTGTTGTCTACGTAGGATGTCTTCTAGGTTTAGATCCTGATATTAGCCCCGACGAACAACAAGAAAAAGCAAGATTAATTGCCCAAGTTCTGGAACTTCAAAATACTCTTGATGGTGAGTTTTGAAATTTTTATCTCAACGAACACACGAACTGACACGTTTGTTTTTTTGTTATTTTAGATCTATCACAAAGAGTAGATGGTGTTAAAGAGGAAAATTTAAAGCTGAAGAGTGAAAATCAAGTATTAGGACAGTATATAGAAAATTTGATGTCTGCATCTAGTGTATTTCAATCAACAAGTCCTAAAACAAAAAAGTAGTTAGTTTTCTGATAATTTTACAAATGGATATAAGCTAAACTTTAAAAGTTGTTAAACTTTTACATGTGAGAAAGTATGTGCAAGTTCTCGAATGTTTCTTTTAGTTGACATTGACCATTTGTTTTTTTTATCATACATGACATGATAGGAGAAATATTTTGCATTAGAAAAGTATACATAACATTTTAATACCAAAGATCTGTTAGGCTTGATTTTTAAAAGCTTACTTATGACTGATATTCATAATATTTTATATTACCTTGATTTCTTTTGAACGTGATCTATTGTAATCTTTTAATTTTAAGACTAAATTTTCAGTTTTAACCAGAATGTCTGAAAAATGTTTATATAACAAAGAAAAAAATGTTGAAACTGATAAGCCAACATTGTTCTTTAAATCTTTGTCGAATTTGAATAATTTTTTATCGTTGACATAAACAAACAAAAAAGTCTTATTTATCAGCCATGCATAATAAGTTTCATTTTTTACTACTTATTACCGTGTGCGCTTGAAGCTTGTGGTGCGAATAGCTAAATAAATGCAATGTTAGATAAGTAAATTGTATGTAATTTAGAAAATTGTGTATCTCGCATGTACGAATTCTACTTTTATATTTCTAATGCAAATAGATATATAATAATCATATTTCTGAAGGCATTTAAAATTTATTATGAAATTATAAGTAAAACAAATGTGTCGTCTCGGTTGATCTATGAAAAAAAATGTGATTTATTTTTTTACAAAACTATTGTACAGTCGTCGCGTTTACAATCTCATTATGGAAGATAAATCACAATTATTGCGTAGTTAAAAGCATAAAACTGAAAATAAGTCTCTCTAACAAGAATCTCAAACATATAGTAATTTATGTTGTGAATTTGATTTGCTATTATTACTTTAATGGTATCTAATTAGTTTCTACTAAAATCGAGAAAAGAATGCATAGGAATGCTTGTAAAAATTGTAATTGTTTTTATAAATCTAGGAATTATATAAAATTGCAGCGAAAAATGTCTAAATTATTGATTAAAAAAGCACTTGGTAAGCACGAAGCTTTTGAAAACGAATACTGCTGTGCATTTTAAATGAGGTATATTTGTTAACATATTTGATGTTACAATTTTTAGTTGCGATTGCAATAAGTACCTAACATAATCGTGAAAGCACAAGTTTTGTTATACGTGACATTGCAAGATTATAATAAACTACTTTATGTTAAATGATATTAATCGGTGATGTTTTTATTTCAAACCGTGTTCCAAATTTTGTATGAAATATAGATAGCAACGTTAATAAATATGAATACAAATCAATTTAACAAAAGCTGTGAATATTTTATTATATGAAGTTCTAGAAACTCATGAAAATCATTTACTATCACGTTATTAACGAACTTTGCCTATCATTGCGACGTATAATTTCTATAACAGTATTCTTTCCCATATGGATCTCGGTGATTTTTACGTCTTTTATTTAAAAAATGATCAGATACTTTAGAGTTGCAAATATTTAGTAATACATAAATAGTAGTGAAATAATTACTAGTAAACAACACGATTGTAATATTTTAAATAATAAAACCAAAAATCGCAAATTTATATGAGAGCTTTAAGCTTTGCCGATAATAATGGCCGTATTTCGAAATTTTCAACCACTCCGTATTTAAGTTGTATTCCTTACAGTTTGCACACACCAGAATATATTTTAAAAAGATAATGAAATTCAGCATTCTCGTTTGTGCATTTTTAGCCGTGGTTGATCCTCGTGATTTTTGTCAAAATTTCTTCAAAAAAATGAAGTATAATTGTCGTACAGATACCTAAATCCATCCCGATTTAAAACAAAAAACTCATCTCATCGCTTTCGCTTCAAAGATCTCAAATTTCGCAAGGTCGTATGTATAGGACAGGTGTCATATCTTCCCGCGGCGCCTAAAACTCCCTCGCCCCACCCGCACGCATCTTTAGCGGCGGCGGCGTTAGCGGCGCGACAAGAGAGAGCGAGAGAGACGCATCATCACACACCAGTGTCGCAGAAATTTCGCGCAACTCTTCTGCACTGCTGCCCGTTCGACGCTCTTCTCTCCTTTTTCTCTTAGTTTTTTTGTTTACTAAGGTATCAATTTTCTCGTACCCGGATAAAAGCTCAGCGTACACGGAAGTTTCATCGGAGCTTTGGACTCGGTAGCTTTACAGATGGTGAGTATAGAAAAGGCCTATGCAACGACTAGCGAATTCTTTTATGTGGTAGTGTAAACACCGGGCGATTCTTATGGGGTGGTCGTCGCCGCAACCGCGCGCTGGACGAGTTCACGTGTGTGCATCGCCGGGATAATAAAAGCGCCGGCGTGCGAGCTTCAAAGTCAATATACGTCGCGCGGTAATCGTTGCGTTTTACAACGAGAATGTCTATTCCCGATGATCAAGCTGCCATGTCCTAGCAAGATAAAATCCGCATTTATACGGCGTTTCATAACCTCCAAAATCGCGTGTATGTGTGCGCGCGCCCTTTCTCTCTTTCTCTCGTTTTTCGCAAAAGGGGGATCCGGTTTTTGCGAGAGTGTACGGCGTCTCCGCGCGCGCTTGCGTATACGTGTGTACATGTGTGCGTGTTCGTGCGAAAGCCGGTATCGACTCCTCCTCGACCCTTCTTTTCTTTTTTTTTATTCTCTTCGTTGCCGCCGCCGTCGCCGCGTGTCCTGTGCGACTTTTGCGGGGGTGCACGAAATCATATCGCCACGGAAAAAATGGGAAGGGGGCCGGGAATGATTCGCGAAAGAGTGACCGTGCAGATTAATGTTATGTAGTTTTCTAAGGGGCAAGGGAGGGTAATTAATTTTGCCCTTTACGAATGTGCATGAAGATGCTCCGATGCAAACGCACTATAGCAATTTGTTAACGCGGTGTATTGTTGATCATGATTAATGATACTGCGTATGCTCGTAAGAAGGATGATTGTAGAAATATTACTCTTTTTTTTATGTTCTTGTTGTACGTTAAGACTCAGCTAAATGAAATTCCTAATGTCATGATACAATTTGTGAAATTAGAATGTCATTGATTTCGTATATTCTAAATGACATTCGAACTCGGAATCTGGAGCGTAGCCAACTAAATTTCAATATAAAACATTTGTTGCAATCGAGTATACATAAATAGTTCTCCTTTCCAAAAGAAGAGACAAATCCTTTTCGTCCGCCAATAAGGATAGTCTTCGTTCGCCGAATGTTTCTGCGAAAAATGAAAAATATTGCCACTGCTCCGACACTCATCCCCCGCGTACGATGCATTGCAAGACGATCAGCTCTCTCTCTCTCCGTCCCCCCTCGCAGTGCTTTCTCGCATACAGTCGAGCCTTTCGCGCGCGCGCGAGTATTCAATTCTCTTTCCTTCTGCCCCCTCAGAGCTCTGCCAACCCTGCACCCTCGTTTCGCAAAAATCCAATGCAGATTGTCGGCTACGAACGCGGAGGCGTGTAATGCGCGCCGATGCTGCTGCTCGTCTTTTGCAAGCTCGCCGTCGACAACCAGCTTCGCAGATTTGTTCGATTGGCTCTTCGAACGAGTTGGTCGAAGTTGGTCGAGGCATCACGAAAAGGAAGTCCAAACGACGATCGCGAAGGCCCGGAGCGATTGCGAGCACAGGTGAAAGGAGGCGAGCGGGCGTCCGATCGACGGTATCGGCGCCGCCTCCCCAATCAGACAAGTGTAAATACGAGCGAACGCGTGCGCGTGGGCGAGGGGGTGGGGAGAAGGAGACGTGTACACCGGAGGAAGTTGAAGCGCGGGGGTGCGGGTGGCCATTGCTGTGTGCGAGTCGCGGCTGCGTATCGTCGCCGGCGCGTTCTTAATTATTTTCCCTTCTTTTTCGCGCAGCTTTGCGTCGCTCGCTCGCGGTTTTGCATAGCTCGCGCGTCGCGCACGTGCGCCAAGCGGCTCGTCGTCGAGCGCGCGGGGACACGCGTATACGCGCGCTCGCGGCGGCAAAAGGGTTATGGCGCCCATTGTTTGCGCGGCTGGTCAGACCGACAGTGCCGAGTGCCGGGGCCGCAGGCCGCGAGGAACGGAGCGGGTCGCGATTCCGATCCGCTTTTAGGACGACGGCTCTCTTCTACGGTCGCAAGCTCAGGTTCCGCGAACAAAAGGACGCGCGAACGCGTTGCGCGTCGGAAATGCGTGCAACGGCGTTGCTTTCGCCGAACGCTACTAATTGAGCCAACGTCGCTGCAGATATCCGACTGACAGGCAACAGCATGAATTTCCCACCATTCGGAGGCCACTTTCCTGGCACGATACCGAGCATTCATCAGTTCACGACCGAAGGCTCGGGCGGCGCCAGTGCACGCTATGCCAATCACTTTCCAAATCAACCACCCATCGGTGTGCCCGTCGTCGGCAAATACAGGCCTGAGTCTAACAGTGTACAGAGCCAGTCTCAAGTGATGATGAACAACAAGGCTGCCTATTCCAATAGCAACGTTCACCATTATTCCAATGTGCCCTACTCGCAAGCTCAGTCTGTGCAACAGAGGCCTTCCAATTCACCAAACATGCAGGACAAACGTAATTATCATCAGGTTTGTACGGAAATTGCATTGACCAGCTGCGAGATAGCTAGATAGCTTCTTGACAACCATTGCAACTCTCTTGCCATTAACTCTCATCCTACAGAGCACGGAATCCATGAGCCAACAAGTGTGTAACTTGCTGCAAAGCAACGCCGATAAAGAGAAAAACGCAAAGGACAAGCAGAAGCAAGCAGCCGAGGAGCAGCAACAGAGAAGCAACGGCGAAGCGACAACGAACGGCCAGCAAGATTACATGCAACATCAGCAACAGCAGCAGCAGCAGCAGCAGCAACAGCAGCAGCAGCAGCAGCAGCAGCAGCAGCATCACGCGCATACGCAAACGCCGACGGCCACGATGCCAGCCACGTGGCAGTCGCTCGCCACACCGGGATCCACCGTTGCCGATTACCTCAGTCACTTGCCCGCCAGCACTCTGCCGTTGAGCTTGCATCATTTCTTGAAGTATAGCGCGGGTAGCATCAAGAAAGAACAGGAGATGGCACAGCAAACGACCACTGCCGTAGCTGCGGCCACCACCACTACACCTAACATCATGATGTCGCCGAATAACAAAAAAAAGAAGAAGAAGAAGGCGCCTAAGGAGAAGAAACCTCGGCCTAAGCCTGGTGGGTATATTGTTCGAACCTTCGTGGAGCTCCTCTACAGAGCATTCAATATTGATATCGAATGATTCACAGGCGAAATACGACTGACAACCGCACTGGATGGCTCAACCCTCTATTGCTGTCCTGAATGTCATATGGCATACCCGGAACGCGAACTTCTGGAGCAACATTTGCTAGGCCACACGTTAGAGCGACGATTTGTATGCGACATTTGTGGTGCGGGCTTAAAACGCAAGGATCACTTGACGCGTCACAAGCAAAGCCACAATCCCGAAAGACCGTACGTGTGTACAGTGTGCCTGAAAGCCTTCAAAAGGAAGGAACAGCTCACCTTGCATTTCGTCATACATAGCGGCGAAAAGCGTCACGTGTGCACGGAATGTGGCAAAGGATTTTACAGGAAGGATCACCTGAGGAAACACACCAGGAGTCACATTGCGAGGCGTGTCAAAGCAGAGCTTAGCCAAAACACCGGTAAATATCGACCGACTCGCTGTAAAATGAAAAAGAGTACAACCGCTAATCTGTATATATCTGCGTGTGACAGGCGGCCAGCAGAATCAGCAGCAGAGCAACGTGACAAACAGCTTGCAAGGGGGCAACAGCTCAAGTAGCAGCGTTCTCGCTGGCAGTCATCCGGGTACTTTGCTCTCCTGAGCCCCGCCACCGGGGAACTTTCAAGTTCCCAATCCGGCGAATCTGTTGCATTCCACACCACCAACGACAAGCAGCACCTCGCCCAGCAATAGTAGCAGCGTCGCGCATAGTCTTGCAGCTCATCATCATGCTCAACAATTGGCTGCCGCAGTTGCGGCCGCAAGCTCGAATGCTGGCTATCAGGCTGCAGCTGCGGTCGCTCACGAGCTCGGTACTTTTTTGGGCGCTCATGCTAAGGATTTCTGAGGTCGGCCCATCACCTCTAAGAGGTAACCGTTTTGGCAAATATGTTGTTGCTGATTATGGGTTTCCGACTTGATCGACGACTATCGTCGGGCTTTCCTGCAAACGTTTTCCACACGGATTTTTAATACTTTCCGGAAGATTCTACGAAATTTTAACATTTCAATCTTATCTAAGTTTTCTCTGGTATATGATGAATATTATCGAAAGCTTTTGCGTGAAAGTTTGATAGTAGAGTCGATTACAATCCGATGCCTTAAAAAACCAAAGGAATACGAAAGTGACGGTGATGATTGAACAATCTATGACAAAGCTATAAAAGTAGAGCCAAGACAGGAAGTGCGTAGCAAAAAATATATATGTACGCCGGATAGGATCCGTAATTTCACCACATTGTCGAGGTGTATACGTGTATGAAATACCAAATTTCTACATAGAGATTTAACTTAGGGAGCCTGAAACTGAGAGCTGAAAAGAAAAATATTTTTATGCTAAAAGCTCGGCGCAAACTGGAAGATTTTTTCCTTGTACGAAGAGATGACGGAAAGCTGGTTTATCAGTGCGAACATAAAAGTGCAACACTCCGTGAACTTGTTCTTCCTTTTTTTTTTGATAATTTTTTATTCTACTTTTTTCGTTGTTGTACTAGAGTGCGTTCTAGTTTTCGTTCTTTTATTTTACATGTGTATTGGAAAAAAATACATGTCTAATCGTTGATAATACTTACGTTTCGATCTTAAAAATATTAGTTAACTTAAAGATCTCTTAGATTTATTCATGGGCATTTCTTTCTTTCTGTTACACATCACGTTGGTCGACTCACTATGATTTCGTTTGAAGTTAAGCCGTTGCAGTTAGGAAGAATCATTCTCAACTCGTACTCATACAAGGCCTTAGCACAGTACTATAAATAGTATAGCGAAAGAAAAATGACGAAGTCGTGGCAATATTTTTTTAAGATCGGAAAATCGACTTCGACCCAGCGTGCGCTCCGATTTTCGTTCTTTTTTTATCTACGTTTAATCAATGTATATGGCGGATAATGTTAGTTGACTGCAGTATTTTATACTTTACGCTCTAGTGTTTCGATGAACGTTTTTGTCGTCCTTAATGATACTTATTATATATGTAGCATTGATATTGTATACATATTAGACTGTAAGTTGATCATTTTTTTATGAAATAACGTCCAGAGTGATTTTTTCCTTTTCTCTTGTCATCTTTTACTCTTTCTAAACACTGTTCAACTTTTTTGAGATCCCAGCAATTTTGAAAATTGAATTCTCTGTCTAGTAATGTCGTTACTAATTTGTACTTAGACACGTGCCATTTTTTAATCGTTCCTTACGATTCCTGCCCCCATTTCATACTTTGCGAATAACTTTATTGAAGTGGTTACTATATGTAAACGTACTGCCAAGCATCACAAGGTTTTCTTCAATAAGACTTTTCCGTCTAAGTGATATTACTGTCTGCGTGCAAAACCTGTTGATCGAAATTCGCGAGAAAAAAATTGAATGATTGCACGACCGTGACATTTCACGTTTTACCAGTAAGCAAGTACCATTATATATTTATTACCTCCGCACATCCTATACAATTATCACACCTGCACGCGCGCAACGTTCAGCCGTCGTACCGTTTTCATTCTAGTCGGTCGGCAACTCGACGCAACAAACGCGATTTTCCTATAGTCTATTACTGTCTGCAACCGTTTAATTTGCCTACGTATACGTGCAATCGAACCACCATCAAGAATTTTCATTTCTCATTTTTCGACACGAATATAAAGAGGGCGATGCAGATTTCAGGGCAATTCAGGTTTCGTCAGATCTCAACGTTGAAAACACGCTATGGCATAAAAGACAACTAGTTTAAGCATATAATTTGAAAAGCTGCATATTGGTTGATTAGAAATACTATCTGAATATAAAACCATAATAAAAGATAAGTGAGCCGTACTAATCTAATCCACCGACATTTTTAATCGTAAAGGATTAAAGTATGAGGTAAGAGAGGAGAAAAACGGTACACCTTAGATCATACGATTAGAGAATAAGTTTGTATACAACGTTACTTCATTAGCGAGCGTGATAAACTTGTACGATTGAATGTTTGTATATGCGTGATTGTTTCGAGCAAACACTAGACCTGTAGTGGATTCATTTTGGCGTGTACATAAGAGAAAATACGTTTCTGTGAACATAAACAAGCTTTAATATCGATTATTTTCGTAACGTAACTTTAGAATGCTTTTGCATGTGATAATTTATTTTTGGAATGCGATGTGCAACAAACGAGAAAAGTTTAGAAGAGCATCTCCTTGTCCATCCGATACACTAACAAATAATTTTGTTACGCGTGAAACAAAATCGATGCAGAGGCAATTGTTGACAAGGAGAATCTATGGTCGTTTTGGAACGACGATGACAATGTGATTGCTAATATTTGTTCTTCCTTTTGTATTAGTAATTATTTTCGCGATCTACTTTCATTTTGCATTGCACTTGCTGTCCGTTATTTTTTCTTATTGCACGTGAAAGCTCTTATGTATAAGGATATAAATTCACTAGATGTAGATTAAGTATTTTTAATAAAAGTACATGAAAATGAAGATACTTATGTGACTTTTTGAAGAAAGAACTATCGTGGCTTTCTATTTTGTAAAACCGAAAGTCTGTATTTTGTAATAACGAATGAAAATGTGTTTTTGTATGCTTTTTCCGAAGCATCGCGCCTAAAAACCTTCAGTCGAATAATATTAAACATTTTATCCGTGACAACATACAAACAAAAGTCTTTGATGGTCAATTCAACGATTTGCTCTGTTCGTTTTTGCTAAAATTTTGAGAAAGCAATGAGCGTCAGATTTTTATATTTTTCGGTTGTATGTGAAAAGTGATTCGAAACTCTGTCGACGGGCTTCGATGACTTTCTGAGCGTGCGAGTGGAAATTTATAATGGAAAAACATATTTTTCTATGGTGTCAAGATTCTTCGACGAAACGATAATAACTTGAATAACTTGAAGGAAAATGGCAAAAAAAGGGCAAGAATCATTCAAATTGAATTAAATTTTCTATATTTGGAGAGAAATCCTTTCACTCGTCTAATATGTTAAAGCGCTTGAATGTATAAATTTACAAGACCAAATGTATTTTTAGAGCACAGAAAAGTAGGTATATATTTTTTGTAAAAATCAATTCAAGTCAAATTGTTGCATTTGCAAAGTAGAATAGATATTTTACAAACTCATATTGCTCTTTGCTTATATTTGTTTGCATAAATCAAGATTGCAGTAAACGGATTTCTCGTCGTTCATCAAACCTTTATTGTAAACAAATAATCTGCCAGCAATATTTTTTATTTTTTGCAAAAATACAAACGTAGAATGGTCGACAATAAGAACGCATATTTTGAAAGATTTCAGCTCGTTCCTATTTGCCATTCTTTTCAGTAAACTTTTTGATTTGTTGAACAGATTTTCGGATGCAAAAATACCGAAAGATAAGCACTTGAAAAATCGAATGAAAAAATCTGTAAGTGAAAAACTAAAATAATAATAATAATAATAATAGTAATAATAATAACAATAATAATAGTATTAATAATATTATTAATAATAATAATAATAATAAAGAATGAAGAAATGATGGAATGAATAAAGTGCGAAGCTACACAAAGTCCTCGACATAGTACAAAGCATAATAACTGTTTTTCAATAGACTAGCGTGTAAATGGAGAAAACTAATGAACAATAGTAAGTGAGCAATAGCTTATTTGTGGAATGCCTTCGATGACGAAATGCTAGAATAAACTGTGGATTGCACAAAGAACAAACAGACAGAATAACAATTGGTTCGAGCATGATTTATAACGATAAATAAAATGATATACTTGTGCAATCATAATCTTGATTTCTAGTTTTAGTAGATAAAGATTGTAATCGTGTAAGTTAATTTAGATTTAAAGTGACGTTTGGTTTCATTGGTGATGTTGCCAATAACACGTTAATTTTTCGGGGGTGGGGGAGGGAGGCGAGAGAATATCATAGACTACAATTTGGAAATCCAGGCAAACAAATACGATTTTTTTTAAAGTAGTTTTTAGGATGCGTCAAGCGGGTTTGTTAAGGTTTTTCTAAATGATTCCTCCACTTCTGCTTTATGTAATGCTCTATACATAATATATCTAACAGCATATATATATATATATATATATATATATATTATATATATATAAATAAAGAAAACTGTGAAAAAACATGATAACGTTTCATTATTTTACTCGTACCTATCAATTGAATTTTGTTTGAATCGAGCGAAAGATCGAATTCTGTGAGAACGATGTCGAAATATTTTGCAGGCGCAGCTTACTTGAGTATATAAGGTAAGTCGCGGGAATATGCCACTTTGCTATATATCTCCTATAATTATAAGTAGATATCGATATAAGCAATATTGAGGTGTTTATTGTGTACAGCTGACCATGCTGCGTAAATACTACATTATACCGACGTAGTTTTCAGTTTCTTTCTAGTTGGATTAACTTGGTGAGAATCTAAAATTTTCTGTAACTTTAATGTTCATTTTCTATCGTATTTATACGTTTTTCTTAAAACGAGTTTTTGTATATTATGTAGAATTAATATTTCATAACGGCACTGATTTAAAAATATAATACAAATAAAATTTTTATCCACACCGTAAAAACTATCAGAAACTAATGATGTACTGCCGTAGATGCAAAGCTGTCATTTACACGAATCAGCGGCATAACTGGAGAAGACGAAGTCGAATCGCCTTATTTAGTGATAAGTTAACCACTCAGCTCCGGTAAGCATCATGACCTCCAAATTGTTCGGCCGTTAGCCACTGAGCGGACTACGTTTAGTTAATGGCCGAACATCGGCAGCCTCAAATCTCGAGGCGACAGGCTGATCATCTTAAACACAACTCGAGCATGTTGTAGCAACAAGCTTTAGTGTACGCGATTTTCTGGAGAAGATGCGTATCCCAATGACAACGTCGGGTACAGTTGCATGGTGATTTATACAGATTTTGATTTAGATGGGAAAAGAAGCGGGACTTGTTTTTCACGAGCTCTGCGAGGGCACCTTTTACAGGTAATGCACGCACACGTGCCCCGACCTTCTGTCATTCGTTCTTTGCTCAAAGGGCCCTGAGACCGTACATCTACAACTGGATAATGAGCTACTTTGATGTCAGGCGCAAGCAACAGGCATCCTTGGAGGTCATTTACGAGACTATCACAAGCAGAATGATTACAAGGATCTCGAGAGCTTCAACGAAGATTCAAAACTGTCGGTACACGATGAACTAGACGACAAGCCTAATCCAATAATTTTTACGTTCACGTTTTTCATGAACGACGATCATTTTCAGTACCAAATAAGAGGCTGACCGTTCTCGACTTGTTACTTGTCGGCAAAAGAAGTGAACTGATCGACGAGCTGGTATCCGAGAGGAAGTTGGAAATATAATTGCTGCAATGAGAGGGCAAATGACCGAGTATGCTTTTTTCATTTTTTTTTATCGAAAATCATTGTCGTTTTTGCAGGGCGACAAGACCGTGGTGTGTCATTGATCTTTACTTCGATGTTACTAGCCGAATATAAAACTATTCAGGTACAAAAAAGCAACGCCATTTCTGGTTTCTCAGTTACTTAATTTTTCTTTGCAGATGTTCAAGGAGGATAGTCAGGGCCGAGGTGCTGATGACGATCGACCGCGGCGGCGGTGTCTTGACCAAGTTCCATTACTTTGAGCGAACAATCAAAGAGCCGCTCTAACTGTTCACATCCGCTTACATTATTGGACAGCACACTACTAACGAGTTGCAATTAGATACACTGTTGTTTACATATTAGTTTTCCTTTAGTCGTAACGCAAACGACCCTCTTTCAGACAAATATAGGGTACCGGTTAGCACAGAAGTGGTGTTGAAGTTGTTTTGCGTGCATCGGGATCCACATTTCTGGCCGTGACTAGAGACAAATTCGATCCAGATCGATTTTTGTTGGAAAATTCAAGGTAACATCGTCTATTCTCTTTCATATCATTCAGTGCGGGACCCCGCAATTGCATCGGCTAGTTATCTACTTCTGTATATGTGAAATGCCAATTTTACTTAAATGATTATTGGATTGCAGGATGCAATGTGCCATGGTCAAAATAAAAATCATTCTGGCACATATGTTGGCAATTTTCTATCTTGAATAAGTTCAAAGGACTAAGGAATTATCGCTTCAAGACCCACCCAAGAAATTCACGCTAAGCTCGTTGTTATCGAATGAGATGTAGTTCTTTTTATAGAAAAAGGAACAAGCATATAAACATAATGAACCATTTTTGTACCTCTCCTGAATAAACAATGAATCTTTAGTTAGAACTGAAGCAGGATTTGATGAATACTAAAAATCTCATTGATAATATTAATTTTTTAAGTTTTTATTTTAAAGAAAGACCAAGTCAAATTTCATAATCATTTACAAAATTACAAATCACCGAAATTCACCTTCAAGTGAGAAATTATTTGCTATACAATAATAACGAAACAATCGCCGCAAAGAAAAAACTCATGTGGACACACACACGTAAAAAAATTAAGCTCCTACATTTGTTTTTTCTTTATAAATATTTTTCTTTTATATATATATAATTAAAAAGGCAACCTTAACGATATTTTGTCAATTATGCGATTGTTACAAAATAACTTGCATAGTTTCTATAACAATAATGCTACAACGGTATAGTTTCCAATCGATCAATCAATGGGAATATCACTGATTTCCTATTTGTAAATAAAGCACTTGCATCAATTATATCAAACAAACGTATTCAATTTACACAATAAGGTTTGATTTAATAAGGACGTTTAACCAAAATAAATTTATACTTCGGCGCGAATTCCCTTCTGTTAAAACTACTTTTTACACTATAGGAATAAATAACTATAATAGTTGAGAATCCGTGTATTTATCACTTACATCTTTCGCAACTTGTTACGAATTTGCTATTCACCGACCGAATTTATATAAATTGAAGTTGAATAAGTACCATTTCTTTTTCCTTTAATATAATCTATTGCGTAAACTTAAAAATAATGTGAAATGTAAACGAAATATTCTGCTCGCAAAAGTAAAGATTAAAAGTAGAAGAAAAATTTGGCAGTGAGTTCACTAAAGATAACGCAAATAATATAGGTTATTCACGTAACACCTTAAAATAAATAACCAAATAAAAAGCAACAGTCTACCGATCAAAATGATTATTCGATGCAAAGTTGTATAAAAAAGAAATAAAAGAAGAAAACAAAATTGGCTATATAGATAATTAGTAAAAATTAAAGTCTGAAACGTCTTTGTTGAAATTAGGTGTGCCGGAATTCAATACTCTGCAGTAAACGTTCTCACTCGCGTGAAAGTGTGTGTGCACAACGGGAGGAAAGAATAAATTATATACAACAAATGTGGAATTGGGCCAAGTGAGAATAAGATAAACTGCTCTCGATCCATTCGTTCGAAGAGAACTAGCTAGCTTATTAGGTACGTAGAACGGAAAATGAAGGAGGACCAGCCTGCCTCATCATCATGGCAAAGGTACTTTCCTCCTGATGATTATCGTGCTCAGCCAGACTCTTGCCGGCAGTCTTACTTGTAGCGCCAGTCCCGCCTCCATGGCTGAGTAAATGTTTCTTTAGATGATCCTTCCTGTAGAATGCCTTGCCACAGTGTGGACAAACCTGATTCTTGCTACCCGAATGCGTGACCATGTGTCTAGCCAAATGCTCGTTGCGTTTGAATGCCTTGCAACAAACGTTACATTGATACGGTCGATCTTTGTTATGTCCCTGCTTGTGACGATCCAGGTGCTCTTTGCGTTTTAGACTTGCACCACAAATGTCGCACACGTGAGGTCGTTGTTTGTGCTCCTCGAGGTGGTCTTGTAATGCTTCGCGGTCCTCGAACCGATAAGCGCACTCTGGGCAGTGATATACCAGCATTCCTACACGAATAATTCGTTAAACGTTAGTAAAGAATTGGTGCAGCTTCTTTCTTACGTTGATTCATTTACGTATTTAATAACGACGCTGCTTAGTCCATTATTTATTCTTGTTATAAGCTGCCAATTAAGATGCAGCCTTATAATTCTAAATCTTTTAAGCAAAATTCGTTTTCATAGTTGATTAATGTTATTTCATGTCGAAAGCTTATGTCAAAGAATATTTTTAGAGGTAAAAATTTGACTCTCGCAGAAAAAGCTATTTCTTTGAACACTGAATTCAAACATAGTGCATAGATAATTAGATAAGTATTACAAGTAAAAGGTGACTTGTACCAACCATTAATTCGTTGAGGCTCTGGCATATCATACTCAATCTTTGGTTGAACATCTTGATAACTGTGGACAGTTGAATTATTGCTGTTATCTTCGTACTTGCAGACGTAAGGTAATCCAAGAGTATTAGAACATCTAGCCAAATATTCAGAGGTCAAACTAAAGTCTATCCGCAGTGGGTCAGTCATGGTAGCTGCATCAACTTTTTGAATAGTCTGTGTACCTAGTGATTGATGAGAAACAGTGGAACATATCTCTTTGTTACCACAATGATTGTCATTTCTGTTCTCATCAGTTCTGTGTGGTATTGGCTGCATCATATGATGACCAGGATATGGATAATGTGTCATGTTCTGTGGATGGTGCATCTCTGGTGGATACTTCAAATGTCTTGGATCATATGCCATTTGTGTTTGTGGTGTTTTTATCTTGCTTTATTTAAATCGAAATTCGAACATCTGTAATTATAAATAAAATAACTTATCTCATTTTTCCCGTATTTTTGATGGTCTGATTATCTAGATGATTTGTTTTTTCAAACAAAATTATCATCTATTACAAAACTTGTGATAAATTCATCTTATTGAGGAAAGTCATTGCTTCGTCCACGAGCTATCACAAATATTTTAATCCCACGCAAAACAAAATTTGCTATTTGCTCAATGAAGTGTAATAATCAATCTACCGCGAATCAATAGCAAAAATTACGAAACGCCTCCATACTTCAATTCCGCAGTAACATACTACGCCGAGCGTGTCGGCGGGTCATTAAAAAAAACCACCGTGTGAGCACACAGGTAGGTAAACTCTCGCGTAAATACACTATCAACGATGAAAGGAAAAAAAGAAATTACCTTTCTGTCTGTACAATCAGGGGGGAGGAAGGGGGGGGGGAGAAAAGTAACGGAATATGGCAAACATATCGTATCGATCAGCTGCTGCTCGTTTTTTACGCCCAAACACACTACAAAGAATCTAGTTTTTCCGTTGTCGAAGTGCGCAAGGTTTAAACTCGTATATATTTTGAGCACATGCAAGTGTGAATACTGCAACTTACCTTACGACTCTGTTGAACCGTTTGGATTAGTAATACAAGACTTATTTGTTTGCAGTGGCAACAGCCATCTTTGACATCAGCTGCTTATACTGTGTGCTGTCTTGTTCTACGTGCCAAAGCCCGAAACGCACTCACCGATGGCCGGGCGATGATGTTTTTTTCCGCGCGCAGTGCCTTTGCTTCTAGGTGCACTACGATGTGTCTTTGATCCCTTCTCTCTATATTCTCTCCCTCTCTTTCTCTCCCCCTCTGCAGGGTGACGTCTGAACTGAATGCACTTGCGAATCGTTTGTCCCTTTAAACGCCGATTTACTTTCTGCATCACTTCGCTGTTTATGCTTGTATTTATTAATGTAAATATTATTATGAAATGATTAAGTATTACGTATATCGTAGAAATTTGATAATTTTGACAATATGTATGATGCTCAAACGAAGGTAAATAGAAAATAAATGTGATTTTTCGTTTTGTGGCAATGATAATCAACTATATGTATGTCATAAACGTTTTTCGTGAATGCAATTATAATTAAAAATTATTTAATAAAAAAATAATTATGAACTTATATATTTCAAAATAAATTATATATTTCAAAAATATACTGCTATTTTAATATACTTCTATATAAAATATTTTTTCATCACGTGCAATACATTAATTTCATTCATAAATTCATAAACTATACAATGAAAATAGATATAGTATTCGCAAATATTACTTTTGAGTTTCATCTATAAAAAGAAATCAATCATTAGTTTACGTAAAAATAGTTGCTAATTGAATCATATCGTAGACATAGGAAACTTTTGAATGACGTTAGTTATACAATAATTCAACAATGACGACGATGAGCGTAATAAATTATAACTAGTCGATAACAAAGAGACTGATGTTTCCGTAAAATGTCATGTGTTGCGCGTTATCGCCTTATTTTCGTCGTCTTGTCAAATGTCACGTGAAACTACCGAGCAAATAAACATGAGAAAATAAATTACGAGATTCGTGATTAGCCTCACAAAACGTAGGCAAGTCATCCATTTTTTTAGTAGAAGTTGTAGCTTCCGTTTTAAAAAATCCATTCTCACGCACTATTCCTTCTCTCGAGGTTATGTCAATGTAAATGAAGAAAAAATGTTTTAGTTCTCTAACGAAATTTCACGTTTTGAAAATGGTGATTCCATTAATTGTTTGCGGTAAATTAATCATTAATTTTTATCGCAGGTGATGTTAAGAGGGCCAAGAAAACGTCACAAAATCTCGATGCTAGAGAATACTTTACAAAGATGAATGCGGTGATAGCATTATGCACTTTTTGCGAAATGCACGGCCCCAAAGTCATCTTTACCACGCAGACATACAAAAGTTTTGAAAATCACAACAGTGATAAACTAAAGTTCTATGGACCAAAGGAAGTGTTAAGGCAGGCGCAAGATTTATGTACTGAAATGCAGTCTAATTGCGAAGGATGTCACAGCTTAGGTAATCTTAAATATTTGAGCAATGAACATGAGACCAGGACTTCCTTTCTGTCGGCTCAACAGTCTTTGATGCATGACATCGGAACTCATCTTAAACATGCTTGCATAAGGTAAGCAATCAATGTGCTTCAGTAACAATCAATCGACTGTGAAAGACACTTCAAATTGTATTGTTTTTCTTTTAAGGAGTCTAAGCTGTGAAGTACATCCTGGCAAAGAAGGTGTCTGTTACTTTGGAGATGAATCGAGGGGTCATGTTTTGAGTCACACTTTTTCATTGAAAGATGCACAAGTATGCAGTGTTTTATCAAAAGAACTATCCATATGTTTGTTATAATTTTTATTAAAAAAGCTTTCTATTGCTGTCAGGCTAGAGGACTCCGGAGGTGGTGTAGTTTCATTGTTTTTATGCGAGACAAGCAATTTTTATTGAACATGTGGCCTTTTCTGGTAGACAATCTAAAGGAAATAATCAGGGAATTACAGGAGTTTGCTGAGAAAAAATACAATGCTGAAGAAGCAGAATGCCCTCAAAGGGTTGTTAGAATGGCTACAGTTAACAGTGGACCAGCATTGCAGTCTAATTCTAATAAACAACCACGTGGTCTTAGTGAAATTACAAATGAAAAGCATGTCTTTGTAAGGTAAATAGAAACTAATTTGCAAATAAATGTATTTGTAATTGAATCGATTGAAATTGATAATTTTCAGAATACACATGTGGTTTGTATGGATACTGAGTGCAGGAGCACGACATTTTGTAGAAATACTACCTTTGAGTTTGTTAGACGAAGAAGTCTCTTTCAATCTAGAACATCATTTGGGTATGTCCAATTGAATTACTACTCATGCCGATAATTTTTGTATAGTTTGATAAAAACAATCCCTGCTTTTATTTTTAGAAACTGAAGAAGGATTTACATTGGTCAATGCCAAAGCTCCTATTAATTTAAGTGTGGATAACAGAATGCCGGATTTTATCGAAATTTCCAATCTCAATCCCATGTCGATTTTGAGAAACTTAAGAAAATCGCTTGGACGTGATCAGTTTCGACAGATATTATATGCGGCTTTAATAGGCATTCAGATACTTGTTAGGGGACCGCCGCTACAGACTCTCGAATCTTTGTACGGATTATGCTCACTTGTGCCGCGAGCATGTCGAAGGGTGAGAACCAGGGCAAATGAGTACTTGGATTCTAATGTATGCAACTTTATTAGTAAGTTAAACTATTTTTATCGATTTTACAATGTATATTGTTTTTATTGATTTGGCAATTTTGTAGGTGTAGATACATCAGTTGCAGTGCCTTTACCTTGTGCAGATGTTTGTAGACTTGACATTCTCCCTTTGGAGCACAGGACAGATGACACAAGGTCACATGTGATCAGGTGGACAGGAGTACTGCCATTGAAGCTTCCTACTCTCTTAATTAAATTGGAAAAATCGCTCGACAATGAAAAATTAGTTGACTCGGTACTAGAAGTACATTTTTCTACTTTACAAGAAGAATGGGCCAAGTAAATTTTTATTTCTTTTTTATTTATTCTTCGATTTCGTAAGTATTGATGATACAATGTTATTGTTTACAGCATTGCGAAAGTAGTTCATGCTATGCATGGAAGAGGCCATAGAGGAAATTTGACAAATTTAATGCTAAGTTTAGGAGCTGGTCCACAAGACAAAAAGCTTTTAGATGCTTGGTCTATGGGTTTACCCTCCAATCCTGCGTAATATTGCGTTCAAGAATCATTTTTTTTCTTGTTTCCTAGAATGGCTAAGCAGTATTTATTTATTGTAAAAATATGCATGAAGGTATAATCTCTGTAAATTTTATGTGTTCAAGGTTGTGCTATTTTTTATTTATTATCAAATTAAAATTTGTAACTATAGCAGTAATATTTGATTTTATATATTGTTGAAAGATATAACTTAGGCATCAGAAATTGTCTACAATAAAAATTATTTATGGTTGAGAAACTTGATTTTTTCTTTCAAAACAATTTTAACCAACACATTTCACTTTTATACATTTAAAAAGTGATTTTTCGATGTGTACGAAATTGACGAAATAAAGAAAAATATCCTTCATTGAGCAATAAAAGATGACACTTTCATGTATCCAAAGTCCATGTCATACCTACCATACAGCAGTGAATCCCAAGTCACGTTCAAGTTCTGAGAATATTTATAATTGTGACCGTTCACCACGCGCACAAAAGAGAGAGAGAGAGAGAGAGAAAACACCCGCATCATCGTCGTCGTCGCTGTGACCGCCGCAGTGTTCATCGGTTGCTCATCGAGTGAGCACGCATTCCGTAAAAAAATATAGCAAAGTTATACTCTCTTACATGATTTTGAGCTTCCAACGTAGCAAGCGAGGAAACAGAAAGACAGTAGTTGCAGAGAAAGAGAGAAAAGCGCTATCTCGCGTCTGCTACAGTTCATTATCGCTCCGCGCTCCCCTGATATAGGTCGCGGCGCGCCAGTGCTAAAATGGTGGCTAAAGTCTACGTGGAAGTAGTAGCAGCAGCAGACATTGCGAGCTGAATCGTGTGTAGAAAGAATCAACGTTGACAAGAAAAAGAGATATAGAGAGAGAGAGAGAGAGAGTAACGACAACAAATTAATGCAGGCAAAGTAGCTTGGAGTTTGAGGAGTTAGCAAATCAAAGGTGTATTGACGACGGCTAGAAGCCGAAGGACGTGGTGCTGCCCGCAGCTGCGTAGAGTAGTAAGGCGCCGCGCGAGTAGCATCACCACGACTACCACCACGGCGACGACGTGTCATCCGCGGTCTGCAACGGCAGCGGCGAGAAGGCAAAGTGAGCCAGTGGCTGCCGCGACGAGAATGAGTGGTGCTTCAGCTGCTGTTGCTTCAGCTGACAAAAAAGGATGGCTATTCAAGTGGACCAACTACATCAAGGGTTATCAACGTAGGTGGTTCGTTCTGTCGAATGGCCTCCTCTCCTATTACAGGTATCTCACGTGTGCTTGCGTTTCTTTTATTATTGTCACAGCTGTATATCGACAAGCCGTGGCTTATCCATAATTATGAAAATGGACTGCAGCTCTCCAATGCATTTTATGATACAGCATTACATGTGTCATTAAGTGTGCAGTTTCCTTCAACTCTATGAGACTGTCAAATGATAATGCAACTTTACTGTGGTCTGCAATTGTGTGTTGTGTGATATCAATGCTTCTTTGTTTACATTATCTTTTTTTGATTTTGACCAATCATGCAAGCACTGTTTTGATACTGATATTGTTGTTGCTGTGTCAAAAATATTCACACCAGTATAAGATTTCCCTTGCGTTCTGTCATTTTGCTGCCTTGTGCCGTGCTATTTTTCTTCAGCTTTACTGGTACTGATGTAAAATATGAGATAGATTTTTACAATTTTTATTGATTTTTATTATTTGTGTACCTACATCTATTAGTCACAAGTTCTTGCGATATAATGAACAAGTAGATAAAATTTCCAAAATGCTGTGCATTAATTTAAATACTATTACATTAGTTATGATACAGTAATGTTGCATTATTATCACTAATCTGGAGAAATAATTTTGACCCCTTAGTTGTTGGAAATGTTTTTTGAAATGATTCATCATTTTTTTTTATCTACCGCATTATAATAAAGTCTGATTCAGAAATGTTAAATCAGCCTCATCAGTGCATGAAAAAAAGTGTAAAATGGAAAGAGTTAATATGTTGGTTTTAAAGGAGAAGTAGTTTCATTAAATTGCTTTATTTAAATGGGAAAGTTTTTAGTGTGTAGTGTGAAGAGGTTATAAAAATTTGATTTGCAAAACAAATGTTTTGTGTTAACCAAAGTTTTATTACCATAAATCAAATTATTAATTAATATTTTTATTAGTTTTTGGTTTATTTTATACTCATATGCTAATACAATTTATTTTTACAGTAAACAAAAATTGGTTCCATAGTTCCTTAAAATTACTCAAAACATAAAACTATCTAATAAACCTTTTATTATTATGTAAAAGTAATTTGATATTATGTAATGTATGTAACCTATATGTTCTGTAAATCGAAAATTTATATAAAGTATTGTAGTTGTTTTTCAAAGCTGAATTTGCTTTAGAATAAGTAAATCTTATCAATTAATATACAAAATTACTTAGTTGCTAGAAATATTATTTGAAAGTTATCTTCAACAGGAGAGTATATTTAGTACATTAAGCTGATATTAATATTGTAAATTTACTTATAAAAATTTTGCTCAAGAAACATTTCCAATGGCAATTCATTTTCACATTAAAAATTTTGAGTTTCGAGTTTCACTTTTAATTTTGGCCCATTTGCCTCTCAGCAGAGCTCATTATAAAATTGTCTCTGAAGCATAGCAAATGCTCATATATAAATTCTATGTAAATAACATTCGCGCTCTCGATTATCAAATTGTGTGACAAACAATATAATAACAATTTTTTATATCTATTTGGAATGCGATATCATTCTCTACATACCTCACTAATTTCTGCTTACCTTCATTATAAATTGCGGTAATTTTTAACAATTATCAATAAATATTTAGAAAAAGAAATAAATACATCTTTTTTCTTTTTATTCAAGAATCATCTTTAATATTTTTACTTGAGAAAATAAAATTGAAATTTTGATTTATCACACATTGGGTGGAATAAGAATAATCGAAAGCATTACAAAGACATTTTTTTTTTAATAATTACGCAAGAGTAATTATTATTGAGTGCTGATTGTAAAAATAAAATAGTTCTATATAGATCCCTGTTGCAATAGATTAATTTAGAGGTTGCCTAGAAGTGAAAAGAAAAGAAAAGGACAAAACACGAGCTTCTTAGAAATTTGGAAACTAGGAGAAAAATTCGTCTAGTAACAAACGGAACGATTTACGATAAGATTTTATAATAAAATATAGGGAAAGTTAAACGTCACACTATGCATGACCCTTCATCCGTATAAATTAATTTTTTTGCGCTCTTACTTAGGTTCAAGCCTGCATATTTTAATTTTTTTTTCACGTTCTCTCGATGTTTCATTTCACGTATATTTTTATTTTCTTCAACAAATTATTTTTCTTTGAAGCACTTACTTTATTTTTAATCGCACTCTTTACAGCACAATCGAGCAAATCTCTATGTTTGTGAAACTGTTGAAAAAAAAACTCATGACGAGGTGTGCTCTGCCAGTTGAGTGAAAAAAACGGAAGCACTATGATTTCTTATTTCAATTATTTCGTTGGCATTCGCGATTATAATCGTCTTATCTTCATACGTATATAATCTTCTCTGGTATGATGAATAATGTGTAAGAAGTTGAAATTTGCAGTGTCCATCTGTCATTCGTATGTTATCATTGTCATTTTGTACCTACCTGATGAACGAAAAGTCTGCTTGCAGCTAGACGATTAAAAAATAAACATGATGAAATCCAAACGTTTCCATTAAAAAAAACAAAAAGAAAAAAGAAAAAAAAACCAAAAAAGAAAACAAAAGAAAGAGAACAAATCTTTTCAAGTTCATAGCCCAAGTTTGTATTTTGTTGTTATGGATTGTTTAGGGCTGAATCAACTCATGGGGGGGCCAAGATATCGTCACGACGCAAGCGGAAGGCTGGCAGAGCCTCCGAGTAAGTAAAAAGAAAAATAAAAAAAATTGAAAAAAAAAGAAACAAAAAAAAAATTTCGCCAATTATCCTGACTTTATTCTCTCCTTTCTCTATCTAGCATTATTTATGCTCTCATTTAACTTGTTTTACTTCAGAATCTTTTTGCGTGTGCTCGTTGTTACTAATGCGATCATTAATTATTTGTTGCGTTGACGATGGGATTTTGATTTCTGAATGCTTGAAAACTTGATTACGAAAAAATTGAATATCCGCATACTCGTGCCTCTGTTCGTCTTGTCTGTTAATTTACACTCTGTTTCTTATTTATTTCTCTTCTGGAATTTGTATACTTGTGAAGCAATTGTTTCGTCCTTCTTTTTTTTTAATCCTGTGTTCCATTGATTTTTTAACGTTTCGAACCGTCAAGCTACACACGCATTGTCATATACTTTATAGCATTTCTCTAGAGTCACGTAATTGCATAACGTAGCGCAAAGCAAGTGAGAAAGAGAGAAAAAAAATGTTGACCAGAGTATCACCTTCTTCGATCGAAAAATATCGTGTCATCTCACTATTATCGTTTACCTTGCAGAAAAAGTATACATAAAGCCGCGTAAGAATCGTAAAGAAAGAGCACTTTCCGCGATACGCTTACGCACTACATTAACTGTAGAAAAAAAAATCGTTTCTGTTTCTCTGGAAAACATTGTCTCGCTTGAGGATATTACTTGATTGGTCCTTTGCAGAAACACACACCAAAAAATATTTAATTGCATGCCGCATTTCGAGGGAAGTCGAGTAAGTAAGCTGGTGGAGGTGCGTGCTAATTGTTTGTCGCTTGACGTTTGTACACGTACCGCCTACTAATTGAACGCTAGAACTGTGAAAAACAAACGAAATAAGCGGGGACGCTTGGTGTCTCTTTATTCTTCATTTGAGCAACAAACAGAAAATAAAGTTTTTTTGTTGTTGTTTTTTTCTTTTTTTTTATCGATAGAAAAGAAAAAACAACGAGCGGCCATTTGAAAAAACGCTGATTTGTGATTTAGGAACCCAAGCGAGATATCACACACTTGTCGTGGCACGATATCCTTGCACGGTGCCATAATACACGCGGTGGACGCGTGTACGTTCGTGGTGAGCAATGGCGGCACCCAGACATTCCACATCAAGGCCGCGACCGAGAAGGAGCGACAGGAATGGGTTTGGGCCTTGGAGCTCGCCAAAGCCAAGGCCATCCAAACATCGGGTATGTCTTAGTTCATAGCTCGCTTGGGGTTTCGTTGTCGCTGTGTTCTCAACACTTGAACGCTTGTCTTAGAAGAAGAAGAGGAGAACGACAATCAGATGGGTGACAACATGACGTCGATCAAGGAGTTGACTGACCGCTTAAAGAAGCTGCAGAAATTGAACGATCTGCTGACCAAGCATAACACCACGCTGCAACACTCCGTCACTGATCTTGAATCTTGCGAAGCGCTCGTTCCCGAACTCGCTGCCAAGATCAAGACCGTCAACGAGAAATTCACGCAGTTCATAAATACTGCCAATTCTATGGTCAAAGTAAATTGGCTTTTTTATCATTCTCGTTAAAATTGCAAAGGTTGCGCGATGGATAGTCTTTGAAAAGTGATTCGACATCGAGCTATAATTGTCTCAATTGCTTTCTGTAAAGCGCGAAATCAATTGCTATAAAGGTAGCGATATGAAATTTTGTCACGTGTCGCTGGCGGAAGAAAACAACAAAAGCTTCGCCGAAAGTTCCGTTACATTGAATATTTATCGATATTTTTTCTCGCGGAATAAAATTAACGATGATTACACTATGTGATTTCATTGCGTCCGGTTGCGAGCAATAATTTTTTCACTCAATACTACGCGAATGTAATAACGCTTTATGGATAACCAAGTACGAAATAAAACATAACGTTGCGAGTCACGCTTTAGTTGTTAGCTTGAAAAAAAGCACACGAGTGGTATAAAACGGTCGCGGATCGACCTTGTACGATTATTTTATTAAAGTGTCTGTTCCGACTTGACCTTTCAATTTGCATGACGATAACTTCTATTCTGTTTTTGTAAACTTGTCCGATATATTCACGTACAAGTTGTTGCTCTTAAATTAGAAATGGAAGTGAATATTAAACAGATATGTAAGTTTGTTTAAATTATTCAAATCCACTTTGCTGGCGAAAACTAACTTTTTCATAATGAATGGAGAGGCGAGATCGATCGTCGTCTTTTTCTTTTGATATTCTATTGCGTTGCGTGAGACGCAGTTTTTTCATCATTATCATGCGTGATTGATATAAAATAAATACGTTCTTTTCTTTCGCGAGTAACGCGGGTCATTACAATCGATATGAGAACGCGCTTGTTTCTCCGACGGAATGTCGTTCGATTAAGTTAATACTAGAAAATTGTCTTAAATTCATAAATGTATTATTAGTTAACAAGCAATTCAGATAAAAAAATAATAAGTTGATTACTGAGTCGCTGGTTTTAAATTGCAGTCGAGTTACGAGTATCTGCAATTAGCGCAGCAGCAAGAGCCCAAATGGAAGAAAATGCTGCAGCACGAGCGCGACCAAAAGGTTCGCATCGAGGAGATGTTCGAGGAACTGGCGCGTCAACATTCGCACCTCGAGGAGGAAGCTCGACACGCTCGACCACCGTCCACTGCGCAGGAACACAGACCACCTCGTAAGTGTTTCCATCTGCCCAAAATTACCAACCGACCTGATAATCCGATTAACTTGTCAATCGTTTCATTTAGTTTTTTAAGTAAAACAGTGTTCAGTGTTTGTATTCGTTTGGCTGTTGTAATATGTATTTTGAGTACCAGCAGTATTATTTAAGATCGTATATTCATTGACCAAGTAACGCTAGTACGGACTCTTGAAAATTTTCAAGGTTTTGTCTGTATTTTATTGACAATATAAGGTTAGTCAGATATCTTGCATAGATTCATGCAGACAATAAATGATCTAGATACGATTTTACCTAATAATGGTTCAAAGCTTAATGCTTGAAATTGCACTTGCGTGTGTACATACTTATACGGCTTTAAAGTGCTCTACTGACTTCAAAACACTTTTATTAAATTCATTTATGCATTCTGTAACGAACAATATTTTTGTTATAGCTGCTAATTTTACGATGACTTTTCTAATAATTTTTCTGATAGTTTCTTTTGTATTACGAGAATCGTAAAGATTCGAAAGTAAACGCTTATCGGATTCAATGTATCAAACGAAAACCTATCGAACAGAGACTGTGGTAACAGAAAACTTTTTTCGTAATAAGTCGACTAACAAGCTTGTAACTTATAGTAAGAATACTGTAAACTGCCGCTTGACTTCCGAAAGCAAACAGTGTGGGGAAAGGGCCAACTTACACGACGCCGACCAAATCGTCAAATCAATAATCCTATCTCTTCTTTAATTTCTACATGACTTTTGTTTTCGAAAGCAACAATTGGGTGCTAACTTTCGCGATGATCAATTGAGATGATATAATTGTTCAGCCAAAGTAAAGTTTTAGCAATTACACAAAGTAATAATGCAGTGTAACAGTACTCGCAAATTAAATTAGACTTTTTAATCATCCCTTATGAATGTTTTGTATTACTGTTCTTAATGCTCGTGGTTAATTTTATATTCCATCGATCGTTTTCGAGATCTATTGTTTCTTATTGTAACGAGATATTCGGAAACTCGTGGAAGCTTGAGTTACGAAAAATTGAATCCTCTCGAGTTGGCTAATTTTAGAACAAAGATAAATTAAACATTGACAGCTATGGAAAGATAATCCATCCAAAAGCTCGCGAAAAAAAAACCGACAAAAGAAACGGCTCAAAATGCCTTCCTCGCGCCATTCATCGCTAAACTGTCAAGCATCCTGTCCGTTTGAGCAAGCTTGCGACAGCCGTATATGACTAACCGAGCTTTGCATCGTCGGTCGTCCTTAAATCTCGCGTCGCCAGATGGCGATCGAACGCAATTCCTCTCGTGCGCTTACTTTGCTTTCAGTTGTGTCTCGGTCATCCGCAGCGCACGGTTCGCGACATTGCCGCGGTGCGTGAAAACATACGCGGGAGCAGACAGGTGGTGTATCTGTGGCCTTGTCCTGCCGACAAATTCCCAGCCGTCCTCCTCTCGCCTCGCCGTAAACTGGAGCGGACGAGAGTCCAAGGTTCGACAGGCCAAGATCATCGGCGACTGGCCGATGAATCGTTAAGCGGCAAACAAAGTCCAAGCGCGCTTGTGACCGTTCGGTTATATTGCCAATGTCGAACGTCATCGTTGGCATGCACACGCGTACACACACACACACACACACATAGAGAAACACGGACGGACGGATGGACTGACGGACAGACGGACAGACGGACAGACGGACAGACGGACAGACGAACAGACGAACAGACGAACAGACGAACGAACGGACTCTCGAGCGCGATTTTATTTAACCAAACGCACGAAGATCCGATCCGAAATTAGACTTAGTATGAAGAGTCGCGCGTGTCTGCTTCTCTCGTGCATGTGTACTCGACGCCTGCAATAAATGACCTAGCACGCAATTGTTAGCCTTTTAGGCAAGTCTGCAATTTGGCTTGTGTGGTCGGTGCTGGCGAGCGAAGGATTGTTTGGTTGGACTCGGACACGTCTGTCTCGCGATAACGCGCTCGCGTGCAAGCTCTGCTCTCTCGAGCGCCTGGCAAAGCTCGGCCGACGCTGTTGCGAAATCGATTCGCGTGCGCGAACGTTGCTCTCTTCGGCCGAGAGCGAATCGTCCGGAATCTCTGATTTTGCCAACAATAGCCGCGCTTTCGAACAAACAAACGAGGGTGTGCGAAATAAACAGTGGAGCTTTTGTAGGTTATACCTCGGCTGCTGTTTGCGATGTTTCTCGAGAAGGATATAAATTTTCGTGACTCGGTAGTCTAAAGGGGAGAGCTTTGCGCGCAAAAATTATGAGTGAAAGATAGCCAAACGCGTAGCTATCGCGATCAACTTTCTAATTATTTTGCTGGTATTCGTAAAGGCCCATCAAAACTCTCGATCGAAAGAAGCCTCCGAGCTCTCCGAGCAATTTATCACGGTCAGGCTCGCGAAGAGACAATCAATGAGAACGCAGAGCGATTAATGATTAGTATGCATTTCCCAACAGACGCAGCAGTGAACGCGTCGCCGAGCGAGGACGACGAGGATAACGCCGAATTTTACGATGCTCAAGAGTCGGACACGTTCACACTGAGCGTGCCAGGCGAAGAAGCAGACGATCGCGGCGTGGCAGGTTTACGCGAACGTACCGACTCGCAAGGCAGCGACGATGGCTCCAGTTCCGAGGGCGATCCTACTCCAGTGGTGAGGGGACAAAGCGACTATCTCATCGTGATCGATGGGACGACTGATTTTCCGCAAAAGCTGCAGTCCTTACAAGTTACCGAGGTCGACAGTGTGAGTGTGAACTTGTTGGTCTGGCGCTCGAATGCTCGCTCGTTGCTGGCCTGTGCCATTTGCATTCCATTCATATACGCGTGTAGCTTGTTGCCGTTTTCGCGTTTAAACTGACTCTCTTTCGAGTCAAATGAGACAACTGACCGTTATTCTAATTTATGATAATGAGCTCGTGTTATTCGTGCTGCGATTTGTTAGCCAAGTTATTTCTTCCCTAATTGTAAGTGCCAGATCCAACATTTCCGTTGGTATTGTTATGATCGATGTTAGAGCTACTGGGCGTGCATTTAAATCGAATGATCAAATATTTTTTTCTTGATGAAATCGCTCGCGCGCGCGTAGAACTAGTGTACTCGAAGAAATAGTGTGCTCGGATTTGAGAAAACAAGTAATCTACTATTATTCTTAAAAGTTCGTTAATAGAAACCACACGTCAATCGACGAGGTAATAAAGGCAGAGAAAATGCTTACTTATCATTGATTAGGCCTCTTGAATAGCAGAGTCCGAAAGTTTCAATATTGTAAAAAGAATTATTAAATCATAAGATATCGCTCGTATCAATAGATAAATTGAAAGATTGTTAGTTATCAATGTCAAAAGAGATAAGGAGCTTTGTCATTTAAATTTGACATCACTGTGGGTTAGGCCGTGTACGAGTGAACGTGTAACCTATCGCGGTATTTGCAATGCCACTTTGCAAGAAGAAGGTCGAATCGTATCCTCGACAATCGTATCTCGGAGTGATAGTGCAGGTAAAAGCTCGCCGAAAGCCGTCGAAAGCCGTCGTTCGCCAGGCAATCGAAAAGTACCGGAATGATTCGTGAAAATGTGAAAAAAAGAAGTACTAATCGATCATTATCAATGCGCAGACGGCTTGGCAATCAAACAATGGGAGCAGTAGCGGCGGCGTCACCGGGGTGATTCGTAAGCGTAGGACGCGAGTGCCCGACAAGCCCAACTACCCGCTGAACTTATGGAGTATCATGAAAAATTGCATCGGCAAGGAGCTGTCCAAGATACCGATGCCAGTCAACTTTTCCGAGCCACTTAGTATGTTGCAGCGACTCACCGAGGATTACGAGTACGCTGAGATTCTCGACAGGTACATACATACATGCGCGCTGCCATTAGTCATAATGCCGATGAATCACGCGTGCACGGCGATTTAGTCAAAGTTATTTGTTCTTTTCCTTCTCTTCCCTGATTATCGAGTTTTTTTTTATCGCGTGAGATCAGCTGTATTATTAACGTTGAAGATAACAGTTAGCGTATGCAGTTTTCTATTAAAGACTCCAACTTTTTAAGAGATATATCCGTTCGAGCTTAATCTGTAATGCTGACTATGCCGATAATATACTCTTGACAGATTCAACTCAATCTTCAATTTGAATTTGCGAATTCGGCTGGCTTGCGGAGACAATGTCACCACCAATCATTCCAAATCCAAAACAATACTGATGCTTTATAATTGATGTAACAGGGCAGCGGAATGTACAGATAGCTACGAACAAATGGCCTACGTGGCAGCGTTCACCGTGTCGGCGTACTCGACCACTGCAACGCGCACGGGTAAACCCTTTAACCCGTTGCTCGGCGAGACCTACGAGTGCGATCGCACGGACGATCTTGGCTGGCGCGCGATATCTGAGCAAGTGTCGCATCATCCGCCTATGGTTGCTCAATTCTGCGAGGGACGTAAGTGGCGATGCTGGCAGGAATTCACTATGGCATCGAAATTCCGCGGAAAGTATTTGCAGGTAAGCGCAAAGTAATCGGCAAATTCGCTTACGCTAACGATCGCGCGGTCGTTCGATTGAAGGCAAAGTTTTTTTTGTCTCGTTTCGACAATCGCAAACTTTCGACCATACAGAAATAGACAAATCATAATCGAATCTTTTCCTAGATTCATTATCGCACATTGCAGAAGTTCAATATACAAATGTTAATGTGATAAATATAGTCATTCGTCATTATGAGATAACGTCTGTAATTGTAGTTTTTTTTCTTCCAAGCGTTATCGCAAGTTTGCTGATACATCACTGTACAGAGAAACATTGATAAATAGACGGAAGTGCTGTTAGCGTACATAGTAGTTTATGTATATAAAACATAGCAATTGAAAAATTATCAAATCAATAATTCAAAACTGTACCGAGCTTCAAAGGTCGTGTATTGCTTTGCGCCTTCTTTTGTTTTATGAAACATCCAAGAAATTTCAAATGTCCTAATGAAAAGTGAAGCAAAGCACAACTTGACTTTGAATATTTGACATTAAAACAGCAAAATAAAATTATGACGCTTGCAGGTGGTACCATTGGGAACCGCCCACTTGGAATTCAGTTCAGGTAACCATCATTATACGTGGCGCAAGGTGACAACAACGGTGCACAATATCATTGTGGGCAAGCTATGGGTCGATCAGAGTGGCGAGATGGATATCGTTAACCACAAGCAAGGAATAAAGTGTCATCTTAAGTACATACCCTATTCTTACTTCTCGCGCGACAGTCAGCGCAAGGTTAAGGGAGTCGTTATGAACTCCAACAAAGAGGTCAAGTGGGTGGTGCAAGGCAACTGGGATGCTAAAATTGAAGTCGCACCCGTTATCAGCACCTCTGGAACACCTGACAATCCTGTCTACAAGACTGGCCCTTATACTCTTGTATGGAAACGACGTATGCCCCCGTAAGTCTAGTTTATACCTTGCAATTTCCGTAGATTCAGTCAAATATACATCGATTTTGAAAATGTCACCTGTCTTTCGTCATATAACTGTTTATGTATACACGATTTAACGTAAACCGAGCTAGCGTTCATTCCATTATTTATGCTACTTGTCTGGCCTTTCTAATTCTAATGTACAATTCATGTGAAAGACATCGTCAACATTTATTTTGAACATAGTTTTAGTTCGTTAGATATAATAAATTTTATGTGTTTATTTTGCAGTGAAGACAATGAGAAATACTACAATTTTACGACATTAGCCTGTCAGCTGAATGAACCCGAGGATGGTATAGCTCCAACGGATTCACGTTTACGACCGGATCAGAGATTGATGGAGAATGGCTTGTGGGACGAAGCTAATGTAGAAAAATTACGTCTTGAAGAGAAACAACGAGTAGCGAGGCGAGCAAGAGAAGCCGAGGCCGAAAAAGCTGCAGCTCAAGGTTAATTGTTTCAAAACCAATCGTTTTAGACTACTTAGAACTCAAGTTTAATTTGATTATATTTACTTTCCAGGATTGCCTTACGCAGCGTACGAGCCAGTGTGGTTTAAGAAGCAAGAAGACCAATACACAGACAGTTTGTGCCACATATATAATGGCGAGTATTGGAATTGTAAGAGTAAACAGGACTGGACGAGATGTCCGCAAATTTTTTAGTTAGCGTAGTTTTGTGAATAACTAGAACTCGTTAAAAAACTGAAAAAAGTTTGTTAAATATACACTTTAACTTTCAATCAAAGGCAAGTCAATAAGGGCTAATTCTTCCAAAGTCTGTATAAAAGAAAAATCGATAAAATGAGTGGAGAATGAATACTTTAACGCGGAGACTTCAATTGATTTTTATTTTCATTTTATATAATAATGATTCTCCACTTTGCCTAGATGTTTTTTTGTCAAGATTCGTCTTTTTTTATCTTTTGTCTTATAACGTTTAATAATCTAGTGGTTTTTACTTTTGATGCCTACTTTTGATCAGATTGACGCTGAAATATTACTTTTATATACTCTGCACTTGTTGATTTCTGTATTTAATTGCGATATTAAGTTACTATCGAACGTTTTAATGCGAAGACTAAAATTTGTACATAACAAAATCAACAAATGAAGAGTGGAACGATGAACTTTTATCACTGCGATTAATTGTACAGGATTAATCATAAATAAAAATAAGAGCCTTTATGAATAATTAGCGTTCGATGTTTAAAACCGCGCGAGCCACAATACAGCTTTGCTATTAAAATCAGAAAACAATAAACTTTAACTTTTCTTTAGAAAGATTTTTTTGTGCCACTTAAAAGGAGTCATGTGTTGGTGTACTTTTTTTCAAGTTATAGATTTTCGTCTGACTCTGGAAAAATAACTTTATTCAAATTACATTTTGACGAATGTCTTGAAAAGCATATTTTAAGCAGATCTAGATTTGTTGCAAGAAACATACAAAAAATAAATAGCACCGCACAAATTTTTTTACGTATGTTTTCTCTTTGTAAATGATTTCTTTTTCGTATTTACTGGTGAATCAACTTTGCTTTATATTTGTAATCTAGTCTTTTTATACAAGTATTTCATTTCTACTGCAAAAGTCAGAGTCTTTCCATTCTTACTCCAAGAAAAGGTTGGATAAGTTTATTAAAATTACTTGAAATGATTAAAACTACTAAATGGTAAATGAGCTTCCAAAACTCTTTTGCGTAGTAAAGCTGTTTGAGCTTTATAATAAATTACTGAAGATTCTTTCTTGTCCATGTATTAATAATATTTGTTAATTCATTATACATATTAAAAGATCTTGCTATTTATAAAAATGTGAGATATTAATATAAAATAAAAAAGTAAACACGTACGTTAATATTATTATGTAATAAATAAATACATTGTATTTTGAGAAATTTATAACTATACAGATTGTTTCGCTGAACTACAGGTGACGCTGACGACGTAGTTTTAAAAATGATAAGGCAATCTTGGCGAAAGTTTTTTTTTCAGAGGACCGAACTATGCACATTAATGGAATAATTGTTGTTGGACGAAACAATCTATTTAAAAAATACACCAACTGTTATACATTATATCCCGGGCTGTATTATAATTTTAATAGTTGATAAGAATTAAAAATTTATAACTACATACGTGCTATAGGTATGAAATTATTATATATAATATACTAAATAATAAAATAATTTGAAAAATATCATTTGTGGGAATATAGAAAGCAAGGTTGCAACAAAAAAGTTTTTTTGATTATATTATAAAAAAGAACAAAAACAAAGCGAGCGCTTGTACATTATCTAGCTGTATGATACGTTGAGATGTATTTCTACTGCAATGCGAATGGCGCATTCAGCGAGTGGTGCTTGAAGAATAATAAAGGAAAACAAATACATTAATAATAATAACAGTTCGCAGCGACCAGGGAACTCTTATTCAGAACATTGCTGGATTACGATGTTTGCGCGCAGAGGATCAAAACAATAATGCTGTACGTATATTTAGGGAAGCAAATGCTGCGTCGAGTTCCTATACGAAAAATCGTATCCATTGGTCTGTAGTGCCTGTCATTTTATATTAACGAGATAACAAGCTTAATGACAGATATTCAATGAAAAATAACAAAAAAAAATAATTAAGTAAATAATTATCATTTATTGAAAAACACTGTAAGTATTGTAATATATCCATTGATTTTCCAAGATGTAAACGATGTGTGTGATAGAGTGACTGTGTGCGAGACAAAATTTTTAATTTAGCGAAAAAATTATCTACGAGGTGTGTTATTTATTAAAGGTTAAATGAAAATATTGTTTATTAGATCATTAAACTTAACTTTTAATATTACATTTATGGCGATAATGAGAATAATACGACCATTCGAGTGAGTTAGTTTGTATAGGATCAAATGGAGATTGTATGCTGAAAATAAAGATTTCAAATCGTCGAATTGAACATCATTCGTTTCTTCTTTACATTTTTTCGGTCTGCCAAGTTATGCTGTGTCATTTGGCGATACAAATTTAAATTTACTTAAACAAACGTAAACGCACCATTCCGTTACCAATGTAAGCAACTTTATTGTCCCACTAGCAGACTATATACATGTATATTGTCTATACGTATATATGTGGCAGCCTTATAATTTAACCATCCTCATACACATGGTAGCGGCCAGCCACGAGCGGCAAGAAATACGCTCATTGGATATGTAAGTCCGCATAGCGGTACGAGCATCACTTAGGGATTTGCATGAGCGTATGAGGCAGATGTTACCGGCCGTCAAGCCTCATTGATGAGTCCAATCGGTAGCATCGGGACGAAACGTTTTCTACCCTTCCAAGCTCTCTCGAGTGTGAGCCTGGCTACCTCACACTACAAACAATCTTTTACACGATACTCCACGTAGCACACATACAAATACCAATACATATACATCCCAAATATATAACAGCTATATATATATCTACATCTACGCCACAGTCTGACGAGTACACAATACATCATGCTCGTTTGAATGAACAGCACGTTAACAATAACCAATCCACGATTTTGTCAACGTATTTTCGATCCTTATACCTTCAAAAAATATCTACTAAGAGTGAGTAAATCATAGTATAACAGCAAATCTTTTCAAACTTATAGTGTAGCTTACTTATTAACCTCAAACAGATTATATTTCTTTTTTTATAGATTTGGATTAATCGAAATTTATAGTAGTCAAAGATTCAAACAAAATGGTGTGTGTGCCTTGTGTCATAGTACCTGTACTGCTAATGATATTCCGATTTATCATTCAACCAATTCTCATGAAATTCTGGTATCGTGGTAAAAGCAACGAAGAGAAGAAAGATGCTCCAGAGTTGGTGAAGGAGTGTAAGAATGGTGTGTGCACTTTTGCATGGAAGAAACCTGAAGAGAACAAGATAGAATCCAAAAAATCTGATTAATTATGTATTATCAAAATTATAACTGAACAAATTATTGTTGACATCTAACTGATTTTTACATAAACAAAATATTTTATAATCACAATTGTGATATTTATAGATTTATTACATTTGTTATTCCATGTTATTTAAATAGAATTTTTACTGAGATACATCACATTATTTTATTTTGTAACATTACAGAAATTGTAATTTTTAAAAATGTTATAATGTTCTTATTTTATTATGCACTTATGAAAATTATTTATGTTAAATAATAAAGTGTTAGAAATTAAAAATACACATGTTATTTCAATATATTTTTATTCATAAACAATTCTTTAAAAAGTTCTTACTCTTCTCAACTTTTCTAATGACATAATTACTCCAATAAATTGAGGTATAAGATCCTCACTTTATTAAAGTTTTAAATAATAAAGCAATACAAAAGCATCGTATGATCAAGCCATACACTTATCTATGTACAGTCTCAGACTGTTAAGAATGTTATCATGTAATAATGTATTGATTCAGCATAGAAAAAATAGTTCTCTCTGTTGATGTGATACAATATTATTTTCTTAAGAAAAATAGTGCATAGACTGACAACTATCTTAAAATTGAGTTAACAGTGTAAAAACTAATTAGAAATGCTAGTTATTAGTATTAGATATCTATTTTTGTTAAAAATTCAATGAACGTTCATAAGAAAACTTCTAGTTAAGTGATGGAATGGCACACCTCTCAATTAACTGCTTTCAGCTCAACTTCAAAAGTAAGTTCACTGTTTGGTGGGATGATTGGCGGTGACCCTTTAGCACCATAGCTATAAATAATCAAACAAATTAGAATTCACAAATCATTTTTAAATCAGATTTTGAAATATTTAGAAAATGTTACCCCATGTTGGGTGGAATGATAATCTTTCTCTTGCCTCCAACTTTCATTCCAGTAATACCAACATCCCATCCTTTGATTACTTCACCTTTTCCAAGTCTGAATTTGAAGCCTTCACCTTGGGTTGTCTGGTCAAACTTCTTACCATTCTTCAGTCGACCAATATAATAAACTGAAACAAATTTCCCAGGTTTGGCTGGTGCTCCACCACCTTGTTTGAGGTCTTCAACTTGAACACCACCTTCAATTTTCCTCTTTTTCAGATGCTGCTGTTCAATTTTGCTGTCATTTTTATTTTTTTTTTGTTTACCTTGTTCCTTTTCATTCTTTAAATCCTTTCCATTCACAATCTTGTTCTTTTCTTTCTTGCTCTGGTTTTGTTGACTATGGTTTTGTTGGCTCTCCTTCTGCTTCTGTTTTTTCGACTGTTGTACAGAGACTGATACTGGCTCTTCCTCACCGTCTTCATCACTTTCGTTATCATCTTTCTCTCCATCATCATCATCATTATCATCATCATCATCATCATCATGATCATCATCCGAATCTTCTGAACCAATAGTTCCATTATTATCATCATCTGAATCACCAGATTCTATGTCACCCTCATCTTCAATTACTGATTTCTTGGCTTTCTTCTCATTTTTATTCTTTGGAGAATTATCAGATTTCCTCTTTTTACCAATTTCTACAAGTTCTGGTATTTCTTCTTCCATTTCCTCTTCATCAAAATCATCTAAATCTTCATCAACTGGCATTAAGTATCCAGTAAGATGAACATGTCCTTCTCCATTGCATGTGAAAGAAATTTTTGTTCCTTCTTGAAAATTTAGGTCCAGTGGTACTTGCCATATTGAGTCTCTTTTCAGTGTACAAAGTAAATAATTTCTGTGGTCATAACACAGCATCACTTGCACAAGAGAATTAGCTGAAATAATGAAAATATTATGAAAATGGATAATCTTTTCTAATAAACAAATCAAAGCATTTATGATAAATTTGCCATCAACACAAAAAAGTTTACAAAATAATTGATTAATTTGGCTTAGTAAATCAAGTGTTAACGTTAAGTATATATATAATATCTTTAAAAAACTCAAATCTAACATAAACTCAGCTTCATACCCACAGTTCAGTTTGATGTGATGAACTAGCTTCCTTTTTAGTAAATATCAATGCGTCTCTGTTGATCAATTTGAGTAATTTCAAACCCGTATTCGTATATAAGACATTAATTATTATCGCGCACGACAGAGACGCTACTGTAAAAGTAACCGAAAAGGCGCGAAACAAAGGAATATCGAACTGCAACTTACAAGCAGTGGAAGCATCTAAGCTAGCCATGGATAGGTGGAAGCCTGTTTCCACGGTCTGCGTGTACCGCTTGTTTGGCTCCATAATAAGTCCTGAAAAAATTATGTACAGTTATCATCTTTTTTGACATATAGTCTCTATGCGAATCCCGCATGGTCATGCCGCCATTCTACACGTGCTCGAATATTCTTTTTGGATACTTCGTGCGCAAAGTGCGTCTTTCCCGCACGCTTGGTAGAAAACGAGCGTTGAAAATCACACTTTCCACACGTCGTATACAAAAATACCGCACGGCAGATGTTCGGGAAAGAGTTTCTCGTCTCGTGTACTTTTCCACCCTCGCTTTGCTCGGGTGTAAACGCCACAAGAGAAAAGAATCTACTTTCCCGCACTTGTATCGTAATGTATTATTACCGCGTGGTTCTTTTGTTACATGATTTTGAAAGTGCTGTTTTAATGCAAAATTCGTCACTGTACATAGCTGTTTGCTAAAATTGGTGTAAGCATGTTACTGCTCGCTCGACGTGCAAACAATCTCATGAAAAAATTCGATGCCCTTTTTCACTATTTTGATTCATCGCAGTCAGACGTTAACGACTGTAACAATAATGTCAAGGTACTTACCCCAGAACATCTTGGATGCTGTGGTGATGTATTGTCGTGAATAAAATTATGGGAAATCTCGGATCTGGAAAAGCACGTTTTTCTTTAGCACGCGTTTGCACGTGTGTATGGCGAGTAACGAATGCAACCGGTCTGCGGGCAGGAACTTGGAAAGTACGTTATATCTATAGAGTGTAGACCATCGACTGTTTAATGCATTTTTTTGCCGCAATGGCGCTGATGCTTGAATTTCTTGGACAAGTTTTGAGAATTGGAATTGAAAATTGGACTGTAGGATTGGAATGATCGCATTGTTCAGATTGTTGTTTTTATTTTTCAGCAAATCAGAGCAAATTTGTTGACGTTTCTTTCGTTGTGGAATCTGTTATTTTTCGGAGCACAAATTTAGTTATCGACAATGTCGTCGTGGATTTCGATTGACGATCGGTAATAATCATCGTTTATTGCTAAATAAGAAAACATTGCTTTATTGATGTTTCTCATTATATTCGCAGCATGAGACATGGTTTGAAAACTCTAGATCAAATAGAAAACAGCAAACTCCGCCTCCTTATCAACAGAATATGTCAAAGTATGCAGGCAGGGATTAGCGATGATATATTTAGTGCAGAAGAAGAAGAAAAGCTTATGAGTTCACTCGGCTTAGAGAAGACTGATCTTACCGTTTTACTCCAAACAATAACATTCATCTACAGCAAAGCAGCTTTTCATATCGTCAAACCTGTAATTGTAGAGTCAACAATGAAGGAGAGCTTTTCTATTGGAGATGATAAAGTTGCTATTCTCTCTCATGCTTGGATTACTCATGCACAGGGCATTGTTGATGCATTCAAACACAAGTCAATATTTCCAAGTCAGGTAGAGAAAATAATAGACAATAACTGTAATTTTGTAATTTCGAAGCTCTGAAAATGACTATAATATGAATAACAGGTTTCAGATGTCAATTGGACTGTTGATGTAAAAGCAGCATCATCTATCAATGCCAAGACTGCGAAACCAGTCGCCAAATTACAACTAAGCTTGAGTGGCTCTGGTGAGAATGACAGGGTGACTGTTGAAATGGATAAAAATCAATTGTGGGACTTGTATAACCAATTGGATGACATTCAGTCACAGCTTGAATTCATAAGGTATAAATTTCTTCCAATTATTTTATAAATTTGCTTTTTTATTTGTTAATAGAATATTGTATAAATATCTAATAACTTTAACAGTTCTATTAAAAATAACAGATGCAGATATTTAAAATAAAGAAATATATTACACCCTTAGGACAATCACAAGTTTTATTCACATGCCCATTGATAAAACATTGATTAACACAACAATTAGTCAGTCTTGTTCTGAAGGTGTAAAATAATATCAAGATTTAGTTATATGCATAAATACTCTCTAAAACATGTATTTCTCTATAGGTATCACTTCTAACGGAAAAAGCTTGTTGGAATAAGCCTAATTGTCAATCTTGTTTTGATCCACTTTTGCATAACATATTAGCGTAATACTACACAGAGGCCCGCGACAAATGATCTAACAATTGATTTTTTCAGTAAAGAAAAGTGACATAGCCTACGACTTATTGATGTTCTCGTGAGTCTTGGGTGCTTCTCTTTTGCCAACCTTGTCGTACAAATGAGGACTTCTATTTGGCAATACACTGCTGATATTCACAGGCGACGCGAGGAAATTCGGATTGGAATAGCTCAAGTCGATCTTCGATGCGTTCTGGTTACCAAGTACTCTGTTGCCGTGTGATACTTGCGCCGGTGGAAGAGTTTCCAGGAAGGTGGGGATCTTGCGAGTGCACAGCCGCGCTTTGCAGACTACTACAACCACCACGATTATCAATAAGAAAAGTACTGTCGAGGTGATTGCGCCTACTAGCCAGCCTAACTGTTGATCTGTAAATTCCGTTATTGATATATAACTTTGTTAAGAATGCTCTGTGTATTTTTAATACCCTCTGAGTTTTGACGAACCTGGTGAATTATCGATAAGTAAGATTGAAGCACTGCCGAGTTCCGCAGTAACATGCTCGTCGTCGACGATAAAATCGCAGATCCACTCGCCAAAATCTTTGCTGTCGGTCGGTGTGAATTGCAGACTGCAAACTCCAGTCGAACGATTCATCGATATCGTGTATCTGCAACAAGTCCCATACGACCAATCATTCTCGGTGTACTCGCGGAAGAAAAAGGTCAAAGTGAAATTCTTCGATTCTCTCACTTGATTTTCCTGCTGATGCCGCTGAGATTTCTCGCTGGCTCGGGCAGTTTCAAGTGTTCGCCGTGCCTCCAAAAGCACTGCGTCTCGTGAGCGGTGAGTCCAGTTTTACAGGCAAGGTTGACCATTTGATGGAGCACAGCCCATACCGTCACCGAGATCGGTTCTACAACATTTGCTCTGCAGTACGCGCGATCTCGCTCGTTGTTCGCTAACCGTCACCACGGGTGCTACCTTTTCCTTTGCTCTTCGATTGTTTCGTGCGCTCTCTACGTAGCTTTTTTTCCAGCAGATCGGATGGATGATGACAGACAGAGGGTGCAATAAAGAATGAAAAGCATTGTTGTCGTTTCGCATGGTTTTATCGTTTTTATTTACGAAAAAAAAAAAAAAAAAAATAACTCATCATTTGCTGGCACGATTAGTCATCCGTGCATATTGCGCACAAGCGCACAAGGCAAATTGGCTACTTAGCTCGGCTAAAAAATACTATCGCAATAACACATTGGCAAAGAGAAGAGAAAAGGGAAAACCAATGACAAAAAGAGAGAAGAATGCAACGAGCTTCGCACAGTTGCATTGCAAAGAAGAATAGTAATTAATAAATTAAGGCACACGCGGTAAACTCTCCATCACTCTCACGCATTTATTTATACATTTACATATAATAAGGTAAGAATCTTACGACTTAGGTGACTTACAAACCACTTTTTAACACAACAGTTGTACTTTGTTTGTCTTTTTATCCTGACTATGGCGTACAAAAATAACTAGCTACAAAAATAAAGATGTACATATATAATATTCTAGAAAGGGCGAACATGTAAAAGAGTTCGATGTTGACTGTACAAAAAGAAGGGAGAAAGGAAAGTAATACTATTGGCTCCTCTTGTCAGCAGCGGCGAGCAGCTCGATCGAGGGCTCGATCGACCTCGAGTGGCACTCGACGGGCACTAAAACAACGGTGCATTTTTTGCGTTTGGATCGTTGCTCTCTTTCTCTCTCTCTCTCTCTCTCTTTCTCTCTCTCTCTCTCTCTTTCTCTGTTGCACGAGGAAGGATGCTGCTCAGGTCTCCGGCCGGAAATCGACTGAATAACATTTGGCGTTCAATGACCATGTCGGTAGTTTCTCCGACGGGCTCGACAGCGTCGCGCGAGACGACGCTATTTCGCCCGAGTGCGATCGAGCTGGCGAGACAGGCGACGCGGGCATTTAGTCACACTTGCGGGTGAGGGGGTGCGGCGCGCGTGAAGCGTCAGCGACGCGCGGATCGGAGCCGAGTCTCTCGGGCGATCCGGGGGCCGCCGGCGGAAGCAGCGAGGCGAGCGAGTTGGTTAGCGGGGCCCCGAGGGGGACGGGTCAGGGGCGCCGCAGCCGTCGCGCCAGCCAGCGGGCGTGCGAAGCGTCGGGCCGCGAGGGAGCCGCCGCGGGGCGCGTACCTGGCTCGATGAGGCTGAGTCGGGCGGGCGGCGCATCCGTGTAGTTCTGGCGGGCGTGCAGCCGGGCGCCGCAGGTCCAGAGGCCCTCCTGCTCGCGCAGCGCGTGCGACAGCTTGACGCTGCAGTCGCGCGCCTCGGGTCCGGCCGGCGCGAACTGCTTCACGACCACGGTGGTGTTGGCCGAGGCGTCGGGCGTCAGCGACCAGCGGCACTGCTCGACGCGCGCCAGCGCGACGCAGCGCAGCCCCACCGTGCCGCCCGACGACACCTGGATGTCCTGCGACAGCTCGGAGAAGCCCACCTCGCCTGCAACAGAGGGAGGGGGCGGCGTGAGCGCGGGCGGGGCGCGGCCGGGCGCGGCGGGGCGCGGCGGGCCGCGGCGGGCCGCGGCGACCTACCCCGCTCGTAGACGGTGAGCTTGGCGGGCGCGGGCGCCAGCGCGGCCGCCTGGCCGGGCGCGAACACGCGGCAGGTCCAGTAGCCCTGCGCCTCGCGGCTCAGGCTCGCGAGCCGCAGGCTGCAGTTGCGGCCCAGCTCGCCGTGGCTCGGGAACTCGTGCAGCGTGGTGGGCCGCGCGTCGGGCGCGCCGGCCAGCGGCCGCCAGGCCCAGGCGCAGCGCTCGACGCGCGCGCTGGTGGCGCAGCGCAGCGTGGCGGCGCCGCCGAGCGCCGCGGCCGTGCTCTCGGGCGCCTCGGTGAAGCTGAGCCGGCCCGAGGGCAGCAGGCCCACGCTGGTGGGCGGCGCCTCGTGCAGGATGCCGCCGGGCGTGAGGCGCACGCCGCAGGTCCAGAGGCCCTGCTCGCCGCGCAGCACGTTGCGGAAGCGCGCCGAGCAGTCGTGCTCGGCCGCGCGGCCGGGCGCGAAGCGGCGCAGCAGCGTGGCGTTGGCGCTGGCGTTGCTCGGCCGCCAGGTCCACTGGCACTCGAAGACGGGCTTGTTGGCGAGGCAGCGCAGCAGCAGCGTCTCGCCGGCGCTGGTCTGGATGCCGCGCGACAGCTGCACAAACTCAACTGCGGCGCGCGTCAGTGCGGCCCGCGGACCGCAGCGGCGCGCGCCCTACCTTCGGAGAGGAGCAGCCGCACGGGCGAGCTCTGGGCGAAGGGCGCGCCGGCGGCCAGCCGGGCGCCGCAGGTCCAGAGGCCCTCGTGCTCGGCGCGCACCGCGGCGAGCGCCAGGTCGCAGCTGCGCGGCGCGTCGCCGTCCGCCGGGAACTGACGCAGCTCCGCGTCCCACGGCTGCGACTGGTTCAGTCGGCGCCACGACCACTGGCACTCGCGCACCGGCGACAGCGTGCGGCAGGGCAGGCGCGCTCCCGCGCCGGCCGGCGTCTCGATCGCCCAGGGCTGCTCGGCGAAGCCTATGGGCGCAACTGCGGTCGGACGGTCGTGCGTAAGTGCAGTGGGGCGCTCGGCGGCCGCGGGCGCGGCTCGCGGGCCATGCTCACCGCTGCCGACGGGTGCGATGCCGAGCCTGGCGGGCGCGGCGCTGCTGAAGTCGGCGTCGCCGCGGCGCCGGGCGGCGCAGCTCCAGTAGCCGGCCTGCTCGTACCTGGCGCTCGAGAAGCGCACCGAGCAGTCGTTGCCGGCGTCGCCGAAGGCCGGGAAGGTGCGCACGGGCAGCGAGCCGCCACCGGCGGAGATGGTCGTCGGGGCCGTCAGCGCGTCCTCGGCCGCTGCTCGGGCAGAAGGGCTGGACGTGGCCGATCGGACGCGGCGGGGGCGGGCATACTCACGCTGGCTGGGCGGCAGCGGCTGCCAGGACCAGCGGCACTCCAGCACGGGCTCGGCGGTGCGGCAGGCGAGCAGCACCGAGGCGCCCGGCTCGGCGTCCACGTGCCGCGGCGCGTCCGCGAAGACCAGCGGCCCGGCGCCCGGGCCCAGCGCCGCCCCCGGGGCGGCGCTGCTGGCGCTCTCACCGTCGCCGGGCAGCAGGTCGTCCATGGGGTGCGCCTCCGGCTCCAGCCGCGGCAGCGGCTCGCCGTCCGGCGTCGGCGCGCCTGTCGGTGCGTCGCTGCGTTACAGTGCTCTCGTCGCGCCTCGGCGAATGTGGGACAGGAGGTCGAGCGGCCGCCAAATTCCGGCGGGGTTCGGCCACCCTTGCTGCCCCCGGCGCCCCTCCCCCTCTCTGGCCGAACCAGTTCCTCAGCCTTCCGAATTCCGTTAAAGCGCATTCCTTGCGCCGCCGCCGCCGCCACGATTTCTGTCCAGCGCGTCGGCATTCCTCGGCTTTTCTTCTCCGATCGGCGCGAAACGCCGCGCGCTCGAATCGCGGCGCGGCGCGGGGAGTGCCAACGGAATTCACCTCGGCCGCGCGTCCTCTAATCGATCGACCCACATCGTCGAGGATCCTTCGGCGAGGGCGTCGCGCGCATTCTAACGAGCGCGCCGCTGCGACGAGGTCAGAGCTCGACACTCGGTCGTTTCGCTTTCGCTTGTCGCGCTCGCGCGTGTGCGCCAATAGTCGCCGAAGGCTGCTCCGCATCGCGGTTAAGCGCGGCCTGTTCGGCGGAAGGGAAGCGAGATCGGCGAGCGCGGGACGCGGCTCCGGGGACTCGCGACGGGCAGCGGCGTCGGAGGAGGACAGCGCGGGACGAACAGCGGAAGCGCGCGCCTGCATATTGAACGCGCGAGGGAGGAGGCGCTGGTAGGTTCACGGCCGTGTGCCCGTTGGTCGTCGGGCCGTCAAGGGCGTCGACGGAGATCGGGACGGCGTCGCATCTGTGCACTGGCGACGAGCGCTCGATCGATGCGCGTCCGCACCGGCGACGTCGCGCGACGAGGACGCCGGAGGGGCACGCTGCTGCCGCGATTCCACGGATTCCACGGCTGTTACGATCGATTTTGAGATTGTTCACCTCGGACCGCAGATTCTCTTTTCTACCCTGTTATCGCGCGTGCTTCGTCATTCGTAACGTTAGCGCGCGAAGAAAACGAGCGTTGCGAAATTCTTATATTTCTAACACAAAGAAAAACCCAACAGTGTGACGAAGGTACTTCTCTATTTTGTTATAATTATACGAATGTGACGATTTGGAATACGTTTCTATTACGAGTTTCACGTTCGATTTCACGATAAACGTACCGACTATTGGCGCTCGGTCGGTTGCGCTATGATGAAAATCATTGCACCACTTTGCAATATGCAATGAAATAATTCCACTCGCTTCCTGTCATTAAATTCGCATATAGATTCGGCTTTTCAGAGGTATTTTACTGCCGTTAGTCGACAGTCTTTGTGTCTTTTCGACTAAGCGCAAGCGCCCAAACCACCGCGCTTCTGTGCTTCTGCCGCGTGACGTCCGATGAGACGAGCGTCGATCGCACACCAACCCAAATCAGCCGATCAATTGCAACCAAGGCGCGTTACCCCCGACGGCGTATCGATCGTCGCGGCGAGGAATTCGGAAGTGCTCGGGACATCGAAAAGCACGCGCGCGAACGTGCGTCGAATAGAGAGAAAAGAAAAGGAGCCGCGGAGCCCCGGGAGCGCGGGCGCAACGGAAAAGTAGTTCAAGTGCAGGCGCCGCTTTGCACTCGGCGACACGCATTCGGGATCATGTGCGGCCGCGCGTGCACGGCAAGAGCCACACACGGCCGCGCGCACATCCTGCGCCGCTCTCCTCCGGCATTATATAAACGCCAAATTGCCCGCTAATTACGTAAAGCTAATTCGCGAGCATTCTCATTTCCACGAGGGGCTTCTTCTCCTTTTCCCTCTTATTCTCCGCCGCGAATCGCGACTTTCCACCTCGTCGCTTGCCTCTTACCAAATTAGCCGTCCTTTTCGCGCGATTTTCGCTCTCGATCGCGCGCCGTTCAAACGCCCTCCGCGCTCCTATATTTCGCGCGAACCGTTCGGGGAGGATCAACCGGCGCGAGAGCAAGAGCAAGCACTCACCGAGGCAAGCGCGTTGGGCAGCGACGAGCAGTAGGGCGGCGACAAGGCGCCCACGCAGCATCCTGTTGAGGCACTCGGCACTGGCACACGGCAGAATCACGAGCGACGCGCACGAAGTAGCATCGTCGCGGTATCGCGCGCGCAGGTGTGTGTGTGCGCTCGGCGCTGTCGGGCTGCGAACTGTCGCTACCTGCAACTCGTATGCTATACCAATGGTACGTCGCCGCTGAGCCGGCGCTCCTCTCTCGCTCACTCACTCACTCTCTCACTCTCTCTCTCTCTCTCTCTCTCTCTCTCTCTCTCTCTCTCTCTCTCTCTCTCTCTCTCTCTGTCGCTCTGTCGCTCTGTCGCTCTGTCGCTCGCTCGATCGCTCTCGCTCCTCTCGAGCCGCCTGCGGCGCGATACTCGACTCCACGCACGTGCGCCCGCGTTTGTTTTTCCCGGCGAAAAGCCGACTTTCCCGGCGCGGCGATCGGAAGGGAAGTTCCCACCGGAGCCCTCCCACCTCAGCTCCCGTCGCGCTCGGCAATTCGGGAGACCGGCAAACGCTGAGAATGCGCCGCGCGAGCGCTCGGCCGCGACCTGGAAGTGGAGAGAGAGGACGATTCGGGCGAGGCGGCGCGAAGGGCTGGGCTTTCCCGCGCCTCGCCGGAGCGACGAATTCCGCGGGGCCCGCCTCGAGAGGAGGGAGGCGCGGTCCTTCTCCGCCGTGGCAGGACTTGGACCGCTTGGCGGACGACCGTGGCTCGGCTGTTTTTCAGAGCTGATGCAACGCGCTGCGTCAGCCGGGGATCCCGCGCGGCAATGATGGATCGGCCGACCGACAATAGAAAGCGATTTGCTTTATCGATGACTAAGTGATTCGGCCGTCACGACTTAGTCAGCGCCGCGCTATTGCTTTTGTGCGCGCGTGTTTTCTTTTTTACGAGCCGCGCCGCCACCGCCGCCGCCGCCGTTGCAATCGCGAGCGCCGAGGGGATAAGAGGACAAAGAGTCGAGGCGGTGGCGTGCGCGAGCTGCGTCAACGGAGCATTCCTCGCGACAGAGATAGGCGGGTGCGTGCACAGGCGCACGGTCGATAACCTCTATCGGAGAGAGAGAGAGAGAAAAGCACCGAGGCGTTTCGAGGACAGCGGGCGATTAGGCAAGTCTATTGGTAGGCGAGCAGTGCGCGACGCTCGCGCCGACCTCGGCCTTGAACTTGCGGCGCGCGCACGGCCGTAGGCACCTTGCCTTACTTCGACGCCGAAGTGTAGCCAAGGATCCGCGCGAAAAGGAATCACTCCCCCGCTCTCGCTCTCTCTGTCTCTCTCTCTCTCTCTCTCTCTCTCTCTCTCTCTCGCTCTCTCTCGCTCTCTCTCGCTCTCTCATCTCAAAACAGAGAGGCGGAGAAAGGAAGGGCCGGCGGGAGCGCATTCCGCGCGCGTTGCATTCCTCGCCGCGCACCGAATTCCGCTCGAAGACACCCCGAGGCGCGCGTCGCTCCCTGCCTTCGCGAAGATGAATCAGCGCGACGCCCGCCGGCGAAATTCCTGCGCGCCGGCCGCTACGCCGCGGCCGCGTGCTTGCTCTCGTCGACGACGATCCGGACGAACTCGATCGGGCTTCCCGTGCCACTACCCCTTCGCGACGCGGTCCGTTGCCCGATCGAGTGCCCGGGCGCCCCTGCCAGCCGCCGCAGCCCTCGACCGATCGATCGCTGCTCCGAGCAGCGCGAGACGGAGGAAAGCGAGCGAGCGAGCGCGCTCGGTGACAATCCGTGCCAGGCCTCTCGACTTAATAATTGAGCGCGCGCAGCAGTATCGATCCGAGCGCCGTTTAATTACGCGCCGTGCCGCTCGTTAAACATCGATCGCCTCGCGTTACAAGCGCATTGTCTTACCAGCGCAGACAATAACAACGGGCGTATCGCGTCCGTATCCAGACACGTCATTCGTTGGCACTGTCGCGTTTCTTTTGTTTTTTTTTTCCCCTCGCCAGCACAAAACGGATAATTTGTTTTGCCGGCAGGCAAATTAGCGCTGCGTTCTTTTTCGTGATTGATACTGCGTCGAGTATTGCTTTGTCGTGATTTCCAGCAATTATTTCCTTTGATTATGAGATTTAATTGAGCAGCGAACAGTCAGAGCTACGATGAGATCGGGTTGCAGCGAACAACGGCATGTTTTTTTGTAATAATGACAAGCTTGAATGTCCGATAGTCGAGCTGTTTTAAGCTTGCCGATCCATCTCGACGTCGCTCGGTCAATCATTCATGTATCTACCTACCAATTTTCAAAAAACATTGTCACACTTGCGCGCATTTGCCAACCAATCGCAAACGATTCCCGAGTCAAAAGGTGTCCAATCGGAAATACTCGACACAATTCTCCCCACTCTCGAACTTGCAAGCGACTATCTCGACGACTGTCTTACTCGTGGCCGTATCCTTCCAAGTAAATCGCGTGCTGCACTGCTATCACACGCCCGGAAATCCAAAAAATCGTCGATAATTTGTTCAAAAATTCACGACAATGTCGGCAATTAGTTTGTTAAATCCCAAAGCTGAGCATGCCAGAGCGGCGCAAGCGTTAGCTATCAATACTTCGGCTGCCAAAGGACTTCAAGATGTAATGAAATCCAACCTAGGACCCAAAGGCACTATGAAAATGTAACTTTTTTGCTATTTTTGCTGCTTAACATCCCGCGTCTGATTTTTCTTGTTGACTCCCGTGTTTTTCACGAGATACACTTCTATTTCCAGTTTCAAATTTAAATTAAATTCAAGTTTTCAACACGCGAGTTTTGGTTAGAATTGCAAACACTCCTTATATGGCAATCTCTTGTCCCAGGGAATGATGGATAATTTCGCAAAAATATTACGTTTTTCATTTCATTTTCAACACGGCTTTGCGGTTATATACTCAAGAACGACAATTATGACAACAGTTGATAAAAAACCGTCATTTTTTTAGGTTGGTATCCGGAGCCGGTGACATCAAAATCACAAAGGACGGCAATGTTCTGCTACATGAAATGCAAATTCAACATCCCACAGCATCTCTCATTGCAAGAGCATCCACAGCTCAAAATGATATTACAGGAGATGGTACAACAAGTACTGTCCTCCTTATCGGTGAGCTGCTCAAGCAAGCTGATGTTTACATCTCAGAAGGTATGCATCCCAGGAAAGTAGTAGATGGCTTCAACCTTGCAAAAGACAAAGTTTTGGCTGTCTTGGAAAGTATCAAAATAGCCATTGAGCCAACTAGAGATAGCCTCTTGGATATTGCCAAGACTGCATTGAGAACCAAGATTCACCCTACACTAGCTGACAAACTCACTAATATTTGCGTCGATGCTGTACTTACCATCAAACAGGAGGACAAGTCTATAGATCTTCACATGGTTGAAATCATGGAAATGCAACATAGAACTGCTTCTGACACTACCCTTGTCAAAGGTCTTGTGCTGGATCATGGATCAAGACACCCCGATATGCCTAAGAAATTGAATAATGCTTATATTTTGACGTGTAACGTTAGCTTGGAGTATGAGAAAACTGAAGTAAGTTTGAAAATTGTAACATAAGCCTTAATCTATTTTAACTTAATATTTTTTTTTTAATTTAGGTCAATAGTGGTTTCTTCTACAAAACAGCAGAAGAAAGAGAGAAATTAGTAAATGCAGAGCGAGAGTTCATTGATAACAGAGTTAAGAAAGTCATTGAGTTGAAGAAAAAGCTGTGTCCTAATGGTTCAGGCAAAAGCTTTGTCCTCATCAATCAGAAAGGCATAGATCCTCAGTCATTGGATATGCTAGCTAAGGAAGGCATTATAGCACTGAGACGTGCTAAGAGAAGGAATATGGAGAGATTGACTCTTGCTTGTGGTGGAATTGCTATGAACTCTTTTGATGATATGACTGAGGAGTGTGTGGGTTATGCTGGTGCTGTTTACGAGCACGTTCTTGTATGTTCTCTAAAATATCTCAAATATCTCAAATATCTGTCTTGGTATCGTTTGACCATAGATGTTTTGTTTGTTTCAGGGAGAGAATAAGTATACCTTTGTTGAGGATTGCAAGAAGCCTAACTCTGTGACTATACTATTGAAGGTATTGGAAATAAATATCACAAATGAGTATTACTTATACAGCAATGACTAATTAAATTTTTTTTCAGGGCCCTAACAAGTACACTTTGGTGCAGTTGAAAGATGCGGTTTACGACGGTCTTAGAGCAGTCAAAAATGCTATCGACGACGGCGCTGTAATTCCTGGAGCTGGTGCTTTCGAGGTTGCGGCTAACAATGCTCTTCAAGAATATAAAAACGAAGTCAAAGGCAAAGCTCGCCTTGGTATCCAAGCTTATGCCGAAGCACTGCTTATTGTTCCTAAGACCTTAGGTAATGATTCATATTTACAAGTAAAAATTCGAACATTCGTACTATAATTTTTTTCTCCCGTATTTTCAGCTGTGAATAGTGGTTTTGATACGCAAGAAACGATCGTCAAATTGCAAGAAGAACTAAGAGCATTAAATCTACCTGTTGGTTTGGATATCTCATCTGGAGAAGCCATGGATCCCAAAGTAACAGGCATTTACGATAACTACATCGTGAAAAAGCAAATAATTAATTCCTGGTCAGTAGCTAATTGTACCTGATTTATTTTAAAAAATTTATTGAACAATTTCAATAAATACCTTTTCTTTTCAGTACCATTATTGCCAGTAATCTTTTACTTGTGGATGAAATAATGAGAGCAGGTTTATCGTCTCTGAAAGGTTAATTCACTCAATCGTTAAAAAGAACATATTCGCTTGATTTTTTTTTAACAAATCATTTTTATGTTGACACCAGCAAAAGTTTTCACGTATTAATCGAATTGAATGACGGTATAACTCATAGCTTTTTACTCTATATTTGTACTTCACAAGTTTAAGAATAAAAATATTTCTTACAATTGATAAATTATGTAGTTTAAATTATTTTACCAATAAACATTCAATAAATAAAACTATCAAAATGCTAGGTCACACAAATATTTAAGACTGAATTAAAAAAATTGAAAATATTTATTTAAGGATTATTTACATCTTATTTACACGTCTCTCGTTAGTGTTCTCTTAATATAATAACACTTCAGTCTTCACGAGTCGACAGACATTCAAAAGTAAATCTTTTTATTTACTTATTAAATTTGTAATTCAAAGCATGTTACTGTGTGTACAGTATGTATTTAAAATGGTTTAACATCTCGAATACTTAGTATAATGAATCGCACTTCAATCATTCAAAAACAAAAGATAAAAAAAAAGTACAATTCATTTTTCTTTTACAGTTATCAACTACAATCTTCAGTTTATTTTATGGGAGCATCGTGAAAACATTTACAGTCGCTTATTACTTAACTCCCGGCATTACAAAAGCTACCTAAAATATTATCTAATTTTACCACTAGAAATTACAAATTCGTTATCTTACACCTACATGTATTCACAGGAAAAACGATATACTACATTATTATTTAATTAACAGGACGTAATATCTATTTAATTCAGCATTTCTGCTGGGTAAGTTGCTCCCAGAGTCACGAAAATATTGAAGCAGGTTTTAAGCTCATATTTTCTTATTCCAAGTTCTTTTCTACAGTCCAAATGGTAAAAAAAAATTGGTTGTGATTTAATTTACTTTATTACTAGTTATAGTTTAACTATAAAAATAAACTTGGAATAGGAGAAACGTGTACTTAACTTGGTTAAATTATTTCGAAACCCTCGACGTAATTTTTCCAGCGGCAATACACCCATTCATTGAAATAAACACGATTTTCATTTGTATTGTTGTCCATAATGCATGTAAAAAGTTAAACGCAGCATAGTAATGTATCATTTTTCTACCATAACGTTTAGACTGCAAGTTCTGAGATGTGATTTGATATTTGAACAAAGTAATTGTTTTCGCTATCAACAGAATTATAGTTTCGTACCAAAATTGGTAAATACAAGAGCCTATCTAAAACACTCGAAAAATCCCCAATACTAATTAATTAATTAAAACAAAAATTTTCTCCCCTGTGAGACAGCGGAGCTCAGTTTCGAAAAAAAAAAATTTCTAAATAAATTCTAAATATTAACAAACTTTAAATGAGAATCAACAAATCGTGGAAAATATGTAAATAGTGAAAAGGGGTTATTCCTAACAAAATTTGAAACTAAAATTGTAGATAAACCATTAAACTTAATGCTTTGTTTCGCTTTGTTCTTTCCTAAAGTCCACAACTTTAACAGTCGGATTAATGTTCATGTTGAATAATTCGGCAAGTTTAGAGCAGTCAACTTTCATCTTCAAACCGGCAACAGCCATTGTAATACTCAAACTGGCCAAATTAATAGGACTGGCTGATCGTCCATAATGTGAGACGTATTTTGGTTTCTCATCTTCATCGTCGCTATTTTCTCTCCCTTGATATTTTATCATTTGTACGCCTAAAGGTTTTCTTGGCAATTGGGTAGTTGACTTTCTGGCAACGGCTTTGACCTTCTCGGGGAACAATTTCATTGATACAATTTGCTTGGTAGTAGATTTTTTGGCTACTCTTGGACTTGTGGGAACGGACTTAGCTGATGACGATTTGACTGGTGGTGACTTAACTGGTGAGACAACTCTGATGGGTGTGAGTTGGACGTCACTGAATACAGCCGTCTCACCGATAAATCGATCGATTTCTCTGCTGAGATCTTCACTAGTTATCGTACGGGTTTCAGTTTCTCGATCGGGATGTGCTATTCGGAAGTGATTCTTGACAGCCGCAAATGTCTTGAAAACTTCAGCACAGTATTTGCACCTGTAGACGTGTAAGTGGGCCTTCGCGTGTTTCTGCATTGTCTCGATGGAAAGAGTGTCAAAAGGGCATTCTTTACATTGGAAAATGCGTCGTACGACTTTCAGCTTCATCTGCAGATGTGAGTGGAACATTTTATGATGATAATCTATCTCGTCTTTGTTTGTGAAGAAGTCTTCTTGGCACCTATGAATGCAAATTTCAAATTAAAATTAGAAACACTTTTTCATTCGAAAAAAAACAAATAAAATTTTTATTTTTACCAATTGCACATCCATCCGTCCTCGTCTCTTTCCACTAGTAATATTTGTTTGTCCGTACCATGAACATTGAATATGTGATTGACCAAAATATTCTTAGTTCCGGCTTCGGCACAATAGGCGCATCTGACCTTTGTTTCCGAATGTTCTCGATATTTGAACATAGATGATTTGCTATCTTCTCTATGTACATTTCGCCAGTGACTTCTGATCACACTGAGTGACTGACTACTCATATCGCAATAAAAGCAGTAGTAAACCGTCGCCTTTGCTTCCTCCGATCCAAGTTTTGATTTTTTGGTACCGCGCGACGAACCATCTGGTATTGATGATGTAATGATTGCTTCTTCAACCTGAGATAATATTAGAAAATTAAGCTATTGAAGGTACACATTGCTTTGCAAATATCGCGTGAGTTGTGAATATATAAAAATACCTTGAAATCAAGATGCGGGTGATTTACCTCCCAGTGAAGTCTCATATCTGATGAATCAAAACTGTTGAAAGTACAATACATACATTTCTGTTTGACCTTGCTCTCGTGAATCTTCATATGGCTCTTCAATCCCGAAGCACTGACTGCCATGAAATTGCACTTGCTACAAGGGAAATCGGTAACCGCATCTTCGTGTACAGACTCGTCTTTTCTTTTACGCTTCTTAGTGCGCTTCGGTACGATAAGTCCATACTCGCGCTCCCAGAATTCGGATGTCAATTCGTCGGTTGGTCGATTTTGATTGACTTCAATCTTCTCTGGAAGGTCGCGATGTTCGGAGCGCACGTGCTTCAGCATCATTACCTCCTTATTGCTGCTGAAGTCACAATACGGACACAAGAATGCAAGTCGTTTCAGGTGCTTGCATTGAACGTGACGCTTGAAGCCACGCCATTTAGTAAATATTCCTTGGCAGTGCTTACAAGTCAAAGGTGTGGGTAGCAACTCTCCGGTAGCTGCGAAGTACAAATATGAGATCGTTTTATTCGAATATCATTATTACAGGCTCAAAAATTGTCAACAACGTTAATCAAATTACAAACCTTTTTCATCGTCCGAATTGTCATTTTCACCGTCGTCTTCATCCTTCGTATCTATAACAAGATCGTCTTCTTCGCTCTCCTCGCCAATCTCTTCATCTTCGCCCATAGGCACCTCCTTGCTCGACTTCAAAATATCAGTCTGCGTTTTAATAACCTGCGCTACCCATTCATCGATCGACTCATTTGGACTGCCAGGAGAAACCTCGGTAGTCTCGTGTGGATGCTTACTAGTGAGATGTTTAACCAAGGCACCTCTTGTCACACATCTGTAGTCGCAGTGTGCACACGTCCAACGTAAATACTTTAAATCGCGGAACATGTGATCACGAAAGTCCTGTTTGTACTTGGACTTGAAGGTGTTGCATAATGGACAGGAGTAACATTCGCCAACTGGTCGGCCGTGAGCTCCATAACCACCATCAGGTAATTGTGGAAAACGTTCCGTGTCGTCGTTGGTAACTCGTGCACGCTTAGCGTCTGGCGATTTACAGTCTTCTGCCGATTTCGTTGATTTACGTTTCGTGGATTTTGGACCGAGTTCGTCTTCTTCTTCCAGTAAAATACCTCGAATATGACGGATTCGAGGCATATCACGTCGCCACAAGGGTGTCGTATCGAATGGTTCGTCTTGAGTAGGCGCTGTTGTCTCCGATTCTGGTTTTTTCAAGCCTGACCAAATTTTAATTTCCACTGTTAATTAATTATTCACAACAAAATGAGGAAGAAAATGTATTGAAAAATTAAGCTTCTCACCCTTGATTCTTTGATAGACAGTGGTAAAGTCTACTTGAGGCTCGTTTGCGTGTTTGGTAGTCATGTGCTGATCCAAAGTTGCTTTACTAATGCTCTTGAACTGACAGCTGTTGCATTTGAATTGGCACTTCTCGTCGTGAGCACTGAAGGCATGCTGCTGAACTGCGCTCTTCAGCACGCACTTAAAGTCACATAAATTACACTTCCACGTGTTACCATCGGGATCTGTCGTCTCTTCCAATTCTTGGTTTGAAGTAGCATTAGTGGACGAGGAAGATGGAACTTGTGCATTTTGCTGGGCTTGTTCCTCAGTTTGAGGTTCGCGGATTACTTTGACGAATGGCCGTTTTTCTGGATGCTTGTCCGTTAAGTGTCGCTCGACCACGTGTCTGTAGATGACAAAATTGATCGTTAGAAATGAATTTAAACACATACAGATACAAGAGCATTAAATATTTATAAATTTTTACAGAAATATTAATCGACAATCGGCTTTGTTGAAACTATTGATCTACAATTTCACTATTTTTATAGAATTTGTACATAGGATTGCTCGTCTGTTATTAAAATTTAGCTACCGAGTTGAGAGAGAAAATACAAAGGATGTAAATGATTAGTGAGAGCTGTTTTACGTTTAGTGTGCAATCCTAATGAACGTGAAAGTCTCGTAAGCAAAGAATTAGTTAATGAGCGTTATCGTATCTAAAGTTAGTAGGACGAGCAACATATACGCGAACAGAACAAGAAGGTTAGTGCAAATTGATGCAATAATAATAGATAAAAAGAAAAATACGGCGCATACGGTCGAGATAAATCGGGTTGGGACAAACCTGTGATAGTGATGGTAAATGCAATGAGAACACTTGTAAAGTCGGCTATCGTGCATTTTTAAGTGAACGCTCATCTTCTCGAGGGCAATATTATTGTGTGGCTGTTGCGACTGCTGCTGATCCTGCTGTTGGTTTGACGATGGTGTCGTCGTGCTCGCAGGACAATGCGGGCACCTAAAGTACACCTCGTCCGAGTGCAAGGCTTTCAGATGGTGACGCAGCATTGCCTCCTCAACAGTCAGGTAATTGCACTCTGGCACTCCACATACGTATCTGCATTACAGTTTTTCATTCGCACGATTAACGATCAACTCTTAGATTTTTTGCGGGCTCAATTAACAAATTTCTATTTATCTACGTTTGTTCCAGTTGACCGAATACATTTATTTACGATAAATGATATGATATTTGAGCGTTACATGCCTTTGAATAATTTAGTGATAATGGCAATGAAGTATGAAATATTAAAAATGATGTATTTACGCAAAGAATTTTCGATCATCATTATAAATATATTATTGTTTAGGATTATTTGCTAGCCGATATTAAAATCAACAAAGTAATAATTAAGTAATAATAAATAATAACACTTAATCCACTGAACGTCGTTTTTAGATATGAATATCTTTAGTGGTTGAAATAAAAGTACAACATCAAATCACTTTGATGTGCTAAATAGGCACACTCATTGATTTAAAAAAAATTGTGTAAACATTTTTGAATACATAGAATTGTATTTCAAGGATATCGTGTAATAATTTACCTCTGATTTTCTGGAACAAATTTCGGCAGAAACTCCTCGTCTTCTGCTTTTATGGGTTCTTTTAAGGCTGTGCTTGAAGCTGAACTAGAACCACCACCACCCATGCGTCCATTTTCATGTGAACTGCTAGCAAGATTGACCATCTTGTCAAACATACGTTCTTTCTTGTCGAGGCACGGCACTGGATTTACGGGACTCGAGTCAGGGACACTTTCGTCTTTAAGATGAGCTTGCAAATGACGAATCATGTTGCTGCGAACCTTGTTGCTGTACGGGCAGATTGCGCATTGTACAGCGCGATTGTAAATTGCTTGCATTGGCAAACTTGCGATTTCGTTGGGTGCGTAAGTTGTTTTCTCTAGGGTATCCTGACTTTTGAGCTGTTCTTTCTCGGCTTTGTTTGATTTTTTGCCTTTCGATGCCTTAAATATAGAACGAAAAAAAAAATTGTATCAACGCGGCAAATAGACTGATAACTTCGAACTAATAAACGATTATGTTTATACTCACAATCGGATGAATGACGAACAGTCCATCAGGTGAAGGATTAGTTGGATCAGCAGGCACGATCTTGAAAATGGTATACTTATGTTTTTGTCGGAGATGCGATTGCGCTTGACTTTGTACGGCAAATCTCGCACGACACACGGCACAACTGAACCTTTTAAGACCGTGTGTCTTGAGATGATCGATGTAGAAACTTGGCTTCATAAATCGTTTGCTCTGCTGTCCGCAAAGATCGCAATAGAGAGCCGAGTCGGTAACTTGTTCATCATCACCGCTTGGATTACACTGTTGCATGTGTGCACGTAACGCCTCGGCAGTTTCGAAGCGTTGCTGGCAGTTTTCAATGCCACAAATGAACAGATCACGACCCGCAAAACCTGTATCCTTAATGTCGTCAAGTGTAAGAAAAGCACCCGCTTTGGGCGAGTCTATAGTGAACAATTGTTCGGAAGCTACAGAGTTTTGTGACATCATGCTAGTGGATAAATTGCTGTTTGTTCCATCAAGTTCGGATGAACAGTCACTTGGATCTTCTTTCTTTTCCTTTTAATGAGAAACACATAACATATACATATATCAGTGGCTGAGTAACAGCTTGAATCTATTTTTTAAGTTGATTTCATTTGAAATCGCTTTACCTCTTCCTTCTTAACAAAAGGTGATGAGTGTGCGCTTGTCACTAGATTGCACTCTTCAATGATCTCACAGTCACTATCGTGATCAGCTTTAGAATTATCCACGGATTTCTGCTCGATCTTTGGCTTCACGCCTGACAAAAAATCTTTATGATCATACAAATTCGAAGTAACGTATTCACTGCTCTCATCTACTTTGGTAGTCAATGTTGGCGCGTCAGTTACAGTCACCTATAAATGTAACAATAATTCGTAACATACTGTCTTCATTCCCTTATAGTTTTCTTAAATGATAAATTTTGTAATAATGGAAAAAAGGGAAATAGTGAGAGCTGGAAATTAATTTAATTTTAATTATATTCAGCAACGATTCGTCAGCACATTTGCTGACCTCTTCAGGCTTTTTTAACAGAAAAACAACAAATTATTAACAAAAAAGTTGCAAATGTAATTTTAATGGCATATAATTATATGTATATGTGTGTACCTGATGTCTCTCGCAGTCAAATTATTATAGGCTAAAATGAATAGCTCGTAGCCAGTCACGTTATAATACAGTAAGAAATCAAGTATTTCAACACATATATATTCTTCATCTATCATCCCTTCCTCATCAATAATAAATGTGACTAAGATATTGTATATCCTTATAAATATGACTAAGATATTGTATATCCTCTTTTCTATTTAAAGTGTTTTTATATAAGCCGATGTGCAGCAATATTTCGGATATTATGCGATTCTTATAATTCTTTTCATAATCCAATATCTTAGCTTTGTCCCAGTGAAATTCGTGAGAGAGAGAGAGTTCTTCTATGTGTAGCTACTACTGTATCTAAGTCAATGTTTTTTTTGTATTCATTTAATTTAATTTTTAAGTATCGCTTACTTTCACCTATGTAGACCGCTGAACATTGTTTGCAGTTAAAACTGTAGACAATACCAGTGTTGTCTAATAAATCAGATTTGTCTTTTCCTAAACGAATGAACTCTTGTAATGATTTTTGTAATAAAGGGATTAGAGTAATGTTATGTTTTTTAACACAGAAGAAAATTTTTGAAGATGTTGCAATTATTTGGAATAGCGACTGTAGGTAGTTTTTGATTAAAAAAGGGAAGAATAATTCTAAAAAAATAAATCACACGAATTTGACTGGAACAAAGCTAAGATATTGGATTATGAAAAGAATTATAAGAAACGCAGAATATCCGAAATGTTGCACATCGGCTTACATAAAAAGACTAAATAGAAAAGAGGATATACAATATCTTAGTCATATTTATAAACCTTTATTAAGATCGATGAGGAAGGGATGATAGATAAAGAATATGTGTGTGTGTGTGTGGGTGTATGTGTGTTGAAATACTTGATTTCTTACTATATTATAACGTGACTGGCTACAAGCTATTCGTTTTAGCCTATAATAATTTGACTACGAGATAAATCAGGAACACACATATATATATAATTATATACCATTAAAATTACATTTGCAACTTTATTGTTAATAATTTGTTGTTTTTCTGTTAATAAAGCCTGAAGAGGTCGGCAAATGTGCTGACGAAACATTGCTGAATTTAATTAAAATTAAGTGAATTTTCAGCTATCACTATTTCCCTTTTTTCCATTATTACAAAATTTATCATATAACAATAATCATTATATAAGTTTGAAGTTCATCGTTACAGTAGTTCACTTTTGACAAATTAACTCACCTTAATGTTTTTTCCAATGCTTAGTAAACCTGGAGCTGCACTAAGACTTCTCGCGTCCAAAATTCTAATATTTGAAACTCCAGGACCATTGTCGAGAGTATTCAGAGGCACGAAAGTATCATTTGGAGCTATAATCTTTGCTGTCATTATCGGGGAACCAGACACGATCGTCATCGGGTTATTAGGTATTTTAGGCAGAATTGGTAAAGCTTGTACGGGCATCTTGCTTAAGTCCTCTTCAAGGGGAGATTTGCGTTGACGATAAATCTGATCGACATCGCGAATACGAAGCTGATCGATTGCGCTCATATTCTTTGATATCTGTTTGAAATTTAAAATTTTTATACGATTAATACTTTTCTTTCAATTTTCAAGGTCCGCGACATTCACGCATCGATTCTCTTTCATCGAAATAATAATCTCACCTCGCGAGGAAGAGTTCTTTCAAGGATAGTAGGTGGCTGATTATAATGAGCTGTAGAGAGATGAGTGTGCAGATCCTTTATCGTAGCTGAACCGTGTGTACAAAACATACAGTGGAACTTGAAGTAATTGTGTACTTTATAATGCTAAAACAGTAAAAAATAACGTTTATCATATATCAACGTCTACTCTTGATGAATCAAGATCGTTATGTACCTCGATAAGACCATCAACGTCTTGACTGAGAGTAGGGCATTGATGACACTTAAAACCAGTGGTGATATTTTTATGATGCATGTTTAGATGGAGCACAAAAGCTTCGGGTATGAAGAAATATTTATTGCAATCTGAAACAAATAAATAAATAATAAGCTATCCGTTTAAGTTTTCCTCGATTAAGACACTGATAACACACGCAACTCACTGTGAACGCAAACGTAAGGCTTAATGATCTGCTTGCGTTCCATTCTTTTAGGCGCCGGTGGCCGTAGCACAAGTTCCTCGCCGACGACAAGTATCTGCACTTTTTTCATCGGATGATAGGTCTTTTGATGGATTTCCACGTACGAGTAAGCAAAGGCTCGATAGAAGCAGTACTTGCAACAAAATCGACAGAAAATGTGCATGTTCTTGAGATGCTGTATGAGCTCTTCGTAGCTATTGCAATCGATGTAACAATATGCGCACTTGAAGTAATCCCTCGTTGCGTCGAATGCTTTATTGTCATCTTCGTGTAAACGTAAATGCTTGTGAAATGCTCCTTCACTACTGGTACTGAAGTAGCAATCACGACCCATACATTTGAATTGATGAATAAGCTTGTCTTCCTTGAGCATTTTCTCGTAAACGTGAGCCGATTTCAATTTAATGGCAACCGACACCTCTGGGGCATTGATTGTTAAAAGTTTAATGGGTTGATTGCTCGAGTCGACAAGACTAGTGGTAGCAGTACCTGCGGTGGAAACTAAAGGCATGGTCACGCCTTTCGGATCAATTTTTATTGCCACGGTCTGTTGACCACCGATCGATAAAATATTTTCCGTTTTGTTCCCTCTCGCCGACGGTGACAAGCTTATTGGAATTAATTTCACAGTCTCTCCCGAGCTTGTGACCACTCGGTGGCCTTGTTTCAATTGCACGAAATTTGCTGGTTTCTTTAGGATAGAAAGCGATTTTACCGGCGATGTTTCCACGACTTTACGGATGTTCGATACCTTTAATAATGAATACCGATTTGTTAAAGTAAGCTATATAATTTGGTATCAATTAAATACCTATACGGAAACATACTACACTTACAATTTGATTATCAACTTCGTTCGGAGCGAGACTTACGACATTGGCAATTTTCAAAAAGCTACTGTCTTCTTTTTCAGCGGAATCTGAGCTCGTCGATAATAAAGACCTATCTTCGCCTGTAAAATGATAAAAATGAACATCAAGTTAAGAAAATACAAATAACATGGAATGAAATTTGCAGACGTAAAAGTCTACGTACTTTCATTTTGATCGATGCCTTTGGAAAGCTTATCACCGCTAATCCGTCTAATTCTAATGAACGTAGCAGGTTTTGGTGATTGAGTTGCCTCGGTGTTTGCTGGACATTCTTGTGCTGATTGAAGTTCTTCAGAATTTCTCTGCAAGTTAAAAAAAAATTAAAACAAAAAGGAAAAAAAAAGAAATTTTCTATAAAACTTCTACTCGATGCTTTTGGCTGAATCAAAGAGTGTAAATTTCAAATATGTACCGTTGGCGACTTAGCCTCCTTTTTTAATTCTTTTTTTACTTTTGTAAATGAAATTGAGCACGTCTCAGTCTCAACAGCAGCATTTTTATTAGCTTTGATAGGCGACGTTTTCTCCTTCTTGATCTTGACAGTACCGGGTTCAGGAGTGTCAGCGACAATAGTCTCAGGTTCACCTTCGGGCAATTGTGGCGTGTCTGGTGGTTTGCTTTGCAGCTGGGCGGCGAGACGCTGTATTGTCGTAAGCATCAAACCTTTGGATGGAGAAGCGACCTCGCCAGTGCCCTGTAGTATGCTACTCACGTCCGCTAGACTCTGCTGCTCGTCATGTTCCGACTGCTCACCACTCGAATCTGTATCGTAACGAACGGGTCCACTCGTTGTTTCATGGTCGCTTCCCTCTTCTTCACTTTCAGCACTGTACAAATAGCATGTTTTCATTATCAAGATAAGTCATCATTTATAATAGAAATTCGGTCAATAATCAGTTGAATGAACTTTAAAACTTTGAACTTACGATTTTGCAGTAACGACGAGGGCCAAAGGATCTTTAATTTTTGCACTGCTCTTGTCTTTTTCAATTGTGTCATTGTCATCCGGATCTTTCTTAATTTCTACATTATCAGGAATGATAGGTATATCGTCAGTTTCTTCGCTTTGAACTACTGCCTCAGAAATCTGCAACGGATCTTCAGCCATCGATTCATTAGCATCAACTCCCATGCGTTCGGGTACTGATAATACTTCCGCTTCGTCAATGGGCAGAGACGTATCCATTTTTGCACTAAGCTTGTCAATTATCGACATGCGCTCTTTATCGACTTTACGTATGTTCTGAGCAATCTCTTGCATTTTCTTTTTACGATCGTTTATAATCTCGTTATCCTTATTTTCAAGCTCTTCTGGACAAACAAAAGCACTAAGATTATTGCTTTTCTCGAATTTTTCCGGTTTGTGCTCATTCGTTTCAAATGTTACATCTAGATCCGGCTCATCAGCAGTCTGAAATGAAAATTTGATACTTAGATATAATACTAATTATACCAAGAATAACTTACCTTGTTGGTATCAACAACAATATTTTCTTTGGTATCGTCAACATCCGCGGTACTCGTGTCAATAGAATCGTTCTCTTCTTTAGGTTCAACTTTTTGTGTAACCAATCTATCTTCAGTTTTAATACTTATAGGTATGTCCTCTCTTTTAATGTTACATGACATATCGATTTTTATGATCGTTACATCACTTTGTCCAGGTTTAGAGTGCCAGAGTCGAAGATGTTTCTCCGCATTTGCTTTCCGTAGCTGTACAAAGTTACACTTGGAACATAGATAACCGTAAATTCGATCCTCCGTTGGCATCGGCTCTTCGTGCATAGCCTCTGTAAGATTCTTAGAGTTGGAATTCTTTCTGCATTCCTTGTAATAATGGGTGCGTAGTGAACCCTTGGACGCAGATTCAAAACCGCAATGTTGACAAGTGAATCTGTATTCGCCTGTGTGTGTAGTACAGTGCTCGTAAAAACTGTCACGAGCGAATTTATCTAAACCTTTGGTCATATAATTACAGAATCTGCATGTATAACAAGCCACTTCTTTGTCCACGAGTGGTGATTCGTTGTGCTCAAAATCGAATTTTTTTGCTTCTTCAATTGCTAGCATCGCATCGGGTGATGAGTATCGCGAGATGAGAACTTCTTTTTTCATGTGTTGTGTCTTGTAGTGGTGAACTATAGCCTTGCCGTAGAACGGACAAAGCAGACACGAATACTTTTCATTACCGGACATTGTATACCCGATCAGTGCCTCGGAATCTATTCGTGACGTCAATTCTAAATCTTCTTCTGGAGTTGATTTCCACGTGGATATCTCATCTTCCTCCAAACGGTCAAGACTTTGCGTACGGGAAAGATTTTTGTCGCTGCTTACTGTACTGTCGTTGTCTTTTTCTGTGATTGTGTCAGTGTCATCGGGTTTGTTCGCCGCCGTGGTTTTCTTCTTTTTCTTTTTGGATACAATACCTGAAATATAGTTAATTATTTATAATTGTTTTATTCTCAAAATCTTCTATATGATAGCATGATGCTTGATAATACATACCCATTTGCCAACTGTTTTTCTTCTTTTTGCCCTGTCTTTTTTTTACAGCCGCCGAGTACTTGGGATTAGTAGCCAATACTTTCATACATTCTTCCAGAACTTCCTCATTATTGTCGCGATGTCTTGAACCCTCGAGCAGCAAGGATGATGAATTAGATACGAAGCTTTCGTCTGACGAGGACTCTGCAGCTGAAAAAAAATCTTCGATTATTATATAAATACTAGTTACAAATAACTTCAAACCAAGATACCATTAAGTGCATCAAACAATGATATCCGAAAACAATTTACTTTTAAGATAAATAAAATTAAACGAAAATTGCTTCTATTGAATGTTTCAAGTAGGAATCATAACGTGTCTTTTCAAGGTAGTACACTCACCATTATCACCTATGGAAGTCTTCTTTAATTTTTTCCCTTTTTTTCCAGAGCCAGATTCCGGATGTAAAGAAATGTCGGAACTAGGCTCGACTGCAGCAACATCTAGAGTTAAACTATCATTGGACGATTCGTCAAAGAGCGGAGGTGGAGCTTTAGCCCGAACTTTGCTTGATTTCTTTGTTTTTGCACCATCCTCTTCGCTTTCGTCACTCACCAGTAGACTTGTTTCGGAGCTAGTTTTCTTTGGCTTAGGTCCTGGTTTACGCTTAGGCTCTGGTTTCCTACCTTTCGTAGTTTTCGTAGTTTCATCTTCCGTTGTATCGGATTGTTCTTGTGACTTCTTTTGACTGGCGATACGGCTGCCGGTTGCTTTCATGGCACCGTCGCAGATCCAACTCGATTTGAGATCTTCTTGAAGAGCATCTAGTTCTCTGCAACGTTTTGGCTTTGGTTTTGGTGCAACTAATGTTTCGATTGCTTCGGTTACAGTCCCGCTTGGAGTTGGATCATGTTCTGTTGTTGGTACTGCTGTTCCCGTTGTTGCTGGTGGTTCGATTTGCTGTTCGGGTTCTTTTGCGGGTGCTACAAAATTTGAAAAAAGTCACTGAGTATTTTATTTTTTAATAACCAAATTTTTAAGATATTTTTTGTAAATAAACTTCTGTATTTAAGATGTACTTTGTGAGTCCAGTTAAAACTATTTATTAAACAAAATCAATTACTGAACAATTTATAAAAATAGAAAAGAAATAGAAAATTTACCTATCTCTTCAATAGCTGTAATTTTGATTCTAGGTTTCAAATTCTTCTTTTCGCCAAGATTAACTGCGACCTCTTTTATTAGATGTTTTTTCTTCTCTATTTTGTCTTTCTTCTTTTCCTCGTCAGCTTTTTCTTTGGCACTCGTTTTCTTTGATTCAGCAGACTTCTTTGATTTATGCTCTTTAGAGACCTCAGAAAGTGGAATATCCGAATCTGAAGATTCCTCTGATGATGACTCTATAACAAGCTTCTTTTTTTTCTTTTTTTTAACAGATTTCTTATTCGATGAGTGACGCTCGTCACTACTCTCCTCATTCTCTTCCTCGTCGTCGGATGAGTATATCACAGTTTTCTTTTTCTTCTTCGATAATTTCTTGTAAAGCTGTTCGACGATTATTGACAAATCTGACTCAGATATGTTCGGCACAGACGTGAGTGTCTTTAGAATATCAAGTTTATCCAACTCTTCTTTTTCTTTCTCTTTTTCCCTCTCCGATAACTTTTGCTTTTCTTTGGGCTTTTCCTTTGACAATTTCTCGGGTCTCTTGGAGACTGACGATGACACTAAGCATGGTCTATTTACTTCATGACTGGTTGAGGATGTGCTCGTCTCAGTGGTGTCCCAATTCTCTTCTTCCACAACCTACATTCATAAAAACCTTGTATTAAAAAAAGGATACGATTGAAAGCGAATATGTGAATGAAGCGAAATTTCTACTCACTGGTGGCGAAGGCTCGGGTTGTGTATCAATAGAAGGCCTCTTTTTAGGAATTTTAAACTTATTCAAGCCACTGCCTTGGACAGCTTTCTTGGCATCAATGGTTCCATAAAGATCCGTCAAAGGCGACTTCATACTTGGTTTGAGCTTTTGTTTATCTGATGTACGATCTTTGTCTTTTGGTTTCTCCTTGTGTTTAAATTTATCTTTATCTCTATCCTTATCCTTAAGTTTGTGAATTTCAGCTTTTTTCTTAACTGCTATAAATAATTTTCATAGATAGTTAAATTCAAGTTAAGTTTGGTCAAATCATTTCAATCTTAAAATTCTTTCCAAGCCAAATATCCTTAAAATACATAAATACATTAATACTGGTAAAGAACTTACCAGTTTCTTTTTCAGTGGCAGCTTGTTTAGCCAGTTTGTTGGGATGCACCTCTTTACCAGGTGGCGGTTTTGGTAGTACTGGACTACTTGACCTATTTTGATCATGAGACGAAGAAGATTGTTGCGTTAATTGTCTCGATAACATTCTTGGATCTCTATTTTCGACTGTTCGAGGGTCACGATTCGGCAGCCTTGACGAATCTTTATTCCAGCTTGGTGGTCCACCCGTTGGTCGTGTAAACGATGAATTTGGTCTAGCTCCATAACCCCGATCGTTCGGCATACCTCCTGCCCACGGTGGTCGTGGTCTTTGGAATTCATTTAGAGGTGGTTGCTGTTGCTGATGCTGTTGATCATAGCCACCACGTGAGTCTGAATAACTCGAATATTTATTCGTAGTATAACCACTGTTGGCCATCATAGGTTGCACATGAGGTGGATTTGGCCGACCCTACATTTGTTAAGAAAGAATTTATGAAATATAGCAAACTAAAAGTTTCAATTCAAATTTGAGAGTGTTTAATCGTGTGCTTATTTGGATAGTACGTAAAAAAAGTGTGAATTCACCATTTGATGATTAGAGAAGCCTTGTTGCATCCTTACGTCGCCATTCATCATCGACTGACTTTGCAGCTCTGACTGTGGAAATTGCCAGCCAGTTTGTTGTTGCTGCGGTATATTAGATCCGTAGCCCGAAGTCATAGCTGGTGTAGCCATATGGGGTGGTCCATTCCACTGTGATGGCGGTTGTGATTGCTGTTGCTGTGACTGATGGTAACTTTCAGGACCCATTCGATAGTCGTAGTTTATTTGATTGTGAGGAGGCATTTGCGTCCCGGAAACCATTGCGCCGTAGTTACCAGAAACTGTAAGATTAACAGTTGACAATGATCAGTTTGTGTAATCAAATTTAACGATATGAAAGAAAAAAGAAACCGACAAATATTGATTAAAAAACTTTAAACTCACCAGGAGGCACAGACGCGGGTGCTGCATGCATGTGAGACAGTGGTGGTGGTACCATTTGCGGCGATTCGCTATACTGACCGGGTCGTGGTTGCTGTTGTTGACGATTGTAATCAACTGATGGCATGCCCATTTCTTGAGACGTAGTACGCTTATGCCGTTCGTAATTATCGGCATAACGTGGCATCGTGTGTGCGCTACGTGGATCGGCGTTAGGACGAGTTCGAGGATCTGCTTGCGGTATCCTACGTGGCAAGGTAGTAACAATATCAGTTTGTTATTTTTAATCTCTATTTTTAATTAAAAAAAAGATCTATATGCATATACCTAGAATCTGTGAGACAAGGCGACAAGCTAGATTCAGACCTAGGACTCATTAGAACAGACTGCGAACTACCTGGAACCCTGACGGTTGATCTCGCTTTATCAGGTCTCTTATCAAGGTAACTCCGTTCATTGTCGTCGAGAAACTCAGCGATGTCGTCCAGGGCGATTGGTAGCCTTGAATTCGTTGGTGGCGCGCTAAGCAGCAAAGACGGAGTTTTAGGCGCTGAATCGCGTTTTGGTGATGAAAAATGAGTCGGTGGCATTGGAAGTGATGACAATGGAGGTCGAACGTGAATGGCTTCTGGTGGTTCCGGTGAACGTAACGCCTCTGTTGGTACGTTCATGTGTGGAGATGGAGTTTGATGTGGTCTTTGCGACGATGACAATAGACTATTGACAGCGTTGTTCAAAAGATTCGTTTTCTCGATGATTGTACTCAATCGGCGAGAACCGCCTAGAGCTTGTACTTGCACCGTTGGGATGTTGTCCGATGGATGATGCCTTGGCTCATAGTCACGCGTTGATTCGTAATCACGCTTCGGCTCGTAACCACGTTTTTGATCATAGTCTCGATGATGGTGAACTTTAGATATAGCAACACATTTTTTTTTCTATTAGTGCATTTATTTTTAGCCAATTTAAGATTCATAAATAATAATAATAAAACAAATATTGATTTTCAGTATGTATCTTCTATTCGATATTGGTATGATAAAAATTTGAGAATTAAAATAAAAAATATCAAAAACATTCGTACCAGTCTGTAATGTATGAAGCTGTTATCAATAGATATCGTTATTGTTATTGTTATTACTTCAAGAGCTATGTTCGCGTGCAACGTTGTGAAAGTACATTAGATATCTGTACGGATTGATCTATAGTAATTAACATGTAAATTTACCTCTTCTACCGCTTTTGGAACGGTGAGAGAAGAGAAGTTTTAGACGCGTTATGAAGCATTTTTTAATTAACTAATAATACTTGTAAGTGTACAAAGATGTTTTAAATTACTCCATACGCTATTACTAGCTTTTAATGTTTTTCATTCAATGAATAACGAAAAATCGTAAGTTGCGGAGATAAGAATTTTACTAGTTGCAAACAGTTTATTTATAAAGAAATCGCACTTACGGTGCTTGATGTCGTCTTTTCTGTTTAGTGTCAGCTTTTCACTAATTTGTTTAGCTGCGCTAACGACATCCAGGGGCTTGGGAATGACTATCTCGGACCTTTTCTCTTGCATCTTGTCCTCCTCCTCATCAGTGTCCCACTCGAGTGGACCTATTTCCCTCACATCGACCCTAGTGATGGGTACGATTTTTGGTATAACCGGTGGTGGAGTTGGGTTCCTAGTAAAGAGACTAGTTCCCCTTGTACTTGACGACGTACTCGATGAAGTTGAGGATCTCGGTGGCGACGAATCGTAAATACGCGGCCTTGTGATACTCGGGGGTGGTGGTGGCGATGGTTCTCGCACCGTCGGGATGATTATTGGCGCTGTTGAGGTCGCCGCGCTGTAAAGTGGCGGACTGTCTGGTGGACTTGGCGAGGCTGGTGTGTCCTCACTGACCTTCGGGCGCGAGTAACGATTGCTGCTAACGCCCAAACAGCTGACACTGCTTGCAGTGTTAGAACTGCTGCTCGCGCGGTATGAATCCGGGTTGTGAAATGGATTGATGCTGCGAGGAACAGTGTTTTATAATTTATACCGTAATAACAATGTATTGTTCATATAATCAGTGTCATTGTAGTTTCAAAGAAATAAAAACAAACAAATCGTGACTAATGAAACTTTGTAGAAAGTACAGTCTAATAATATTGAATTTCCAAAATATTTCGTCTACGCTACGGTAATGCATTTTAGTCGGTTGAAATATTAAATATAAATATCGAACAGAGGCTTTTGTCAACTTACTCTCTTGCATTTTCGTGCCTCGCACGTCTACTTTCCAAATAATCATGTTCTTGTATCCTTCGAATAACTGCTTCGAACTTTTCGAGTGTTACAAGGACCAACCTAGAAACGAAGAAAACGATTTGGTTCTTTTTATGTCATCAATTTATAATTATAAATCAAGATGTCTCAGGTCTTGAGTCAGCATGATTAAAACTCTCTTTTTTGAGCAACGTACTTACTTTTTTTTAGGATCCCGATTTGTGAGTATCTTGTACATGTGCTTGAACTTATTAAGCTTGCTTTCTCTCTCCTCGTCGGGATAAGGGGATTTTGCTTTGATATCTTTTATCTGCTGTATTTTCTCTTCCAAAAATGGAAGATACTGTTGCATATCGCGAATCTTTCGGTCGTACGCTTCCATTTTGCTTGAGATTCACTCTCTTCCTGTAAAATTTGTTAAATTTGAAAAAATTTAATTTTCGATGATAAAAAAACTTACATTAGTTCGTTATTTTTGAAAAGATCTCTTTTCATTTTAATTTTGTAAGCTTAAGTACATATATTTTTTTTTAATATTTACTCGTAATTGGAATTATAATCACTCCAATACTATCAGTTATTAGTAATATTTACATTTTCAGTCGTTGGAATTGCTTGTTTCATTGGATAAACCGTGCCTTAGCACTTTTTTATCATTCTGGAATTCATTAATTACTACACATATTGCTATTTCTCACCATTGACTACTCTCCATTCACTCATATCACGCATTGAATTATTTATTTCCGTAGTACATTATTTGTCAACAGTACCTTTTGCTTAAATACATATTTGGCACAGTTTATTGACCCAATCATACGGCATTATTTCAATCCTAACAGCGTTGACAGCACCTGCCAAAATATACGAGACACTGTAAGCTTGGCGCCTTGATTCTGTTTACTAATCGTCAAACACTATCTGGCTCATTATTGCAAACCATTATTACAAACCATTTGGAATGACTACAAGAAGAAATCACACTAAGCGATGAGTACACGACGACAGTTGCACGACTCAAGTTCGTTCTATCGATCGTCTCACGTGTATATACACATATACATTCACGCAGTCCAGGTAATGCACATACACTTAGAAAGAAGAGTTGGCTAATCCGCGCACTTTGACTTTCATTCAATATTTGCTGAATTGGCCTGATGTAATTTCGAAGAAAGAAGTTTTTGATTTGGATGAGTACGATTTTTCGAACTTATGGTTTTTTTTATTAATGCTCAAGGGGAGTAAAGTTTTTAATCAAAAAGCTTTTATCAAATTCGATTTATAGTCCATGACGTATGTTTCTGGTATTACTCTGATATAATGAAAAATTTGATAACACTTTGGATATTATTTATTAAATATTCTTTACTCATTTTCTCGAGAGGAAACTTTTCAAAAGTGTATTCTTGAATTATAATATAACCTATTTTGTAACTTTCTACTTGAATTTTGATAAAAAAAAACGTTAATTTCGCATATTAGTTTATAATTTAACTGAATAGTTAAAATATTTGTTGAATACCTAGTACAGTTTAAATTTTGAGAACTGAAATAAATTTTTATAATATAAGGTAATACATACAATCATCAAGCGACAGTAATAATCCGTGAAATTTATGGTGCAAATGAATCGAAATATTTTTAATTTCATAACTTGGCAATTATACGTTTATCGTTCGCAATTATTTTATAAAATTTACATTGAATTTTTTCATCAAAAATCTCTTCTTTACACTATACACGAAATCTTTTATTATAAATTCAAACAGATTTTCTATAACAACAATGATGAACTTACTATTTTAAAACTTATATCTTTACTAACTAAAATTCAGTTATAATTAAATTTCTAAATTAATTAAATTAAAATATAATTAAATACTTTGAAGTAAAGCATTTTTATTTTATCATTCTGTTTTATTGTATCATTCTGTCTATTCAATATCTTTCACTTAGGCAGAAAACATTTGTAAATGAGATTAAAGTAGTCAAATTGATAATTCAAACATATCGTAAAGTATCACAATTTATTCTAACAAAAAATGGTTAAATAGAATTATGTTTAAAATTAAATTAGATATTAACAAATTATAACTGACGCTTACATTTCCCGCAATTAGTTGACAGAAGATAAAAGAATGAGAATAAGATTAAATAAATAAATTTCTTTGAGTTTCCACAAAATATGCTGCAATAGCTCAATACAGTTTAATATGGCCAAAATGGCTAATATGGCTATAACTTGCTTTTCTCTTTGTCTGTGCAGACTGAAATAGTCTCATTTTAACTGTCAAATTTTTATTATATTTTATTAAGCCCCCCCACCTCCCCTCCCAATGATATATAAATAAATGTAAATAAATGACCAACTTTGCTCCGTGATTTTGTCGCAAATAATGCTCAAAATCCTGTAAAAAAAAATCAGTCATACCAATAAAAGTTCTGTGAATCGATTTAAGCTTTTCTAGTCTAATCATTTATTTAAGATAGTTTTATAAATGATGTTTCAAATACCACATTAAGCTGTCATTTTTCACCAAAAATTCCTATGTATAACATTTTGGTTGTAAGTTGGTTTTATTTCAAATAAACTATTAGATCGGAAGAGCTGAAATCGATTTACGGTACTTCTATTGATATGAGACATAGACTGATATTTCTTTTTACAGAATTAGAGCATTATTCGCGACAAAATCACGGAGTAAAGTTGGTCATCTACTTACATTGGTTTGTATATCTATGGAAGAGTGGGGGGGGGGCTTAAACAATATGAACAAAAACATATTTGGCATGCGAAGATGAAGACTAATTGTATCTGACCCATAGTGTAATTGATTTTTTATTAAAAATAGTAGAAAAAGGCATTAATATTGAGGTTAAAACGAGAATCAATTGCATAGGCAGTTTGCTATGACGAACACAAGAGGGAGCGCAGCTCGAAAGTAAACTCAATAATGGTAGACATTTTGAAATAAGATGCTTAAAATAAAACATATTTTAGACTCCTTGTATTTTTTTAGAATTCAGCCTTAAATATTTAAGTAAACTACAGTCGCATAGTGCTATTTCATAAACTAAGTATCAGTTGTCCTTAAATACTACATTTCAATTAATTTTGTATGATCACTTGAAGTGAATTCTTAAAAAGTAAAATATCGAAACTGTCTCAGACTTTTTAATGAAATTTTCGCCTTTGGATTTTCGTTTTTTAATAATAACGTAAACAGGTATCTTAATAAATTGTATTCTTATTTTTAATTTTCTTATTTTGATATTGATAAGAAATACAAAATTTTAAAAAGAACCTCTTCGTTCTAATGCGGAATAACTCAATTGTAATTTTATAACTATAATTATAATTTTGATGATCTTTTTAGTTTAAAAGGTTTCACTGTTTTGCGATTTTTATATACTCTGTTATTTCGTTTGATCGTAATTGACGAGTTTGATTCGATAGTTTGAAGAAATATGATATTAGTGTTCGAGATTTTATAAGTATTTCTTGAAAATTGAACTTGATTATCGTTGGTAACTTTTCTGATCACAGTGCAGACATTTTCGTTGCCAAAATTAGCGTTTCTTTAAGTAACGACTAATTGACGACGAATAATACCATTTATAATGTTCAAAAGATGTATACTTAGGGTATTACATATCAGGTATTTAGCAAGTATTATTGAGTTATCATTTTATTCAATGCACCATTGATCTCAAAATAATTGTTGAGAACATTAATATTTCGTCTTTTACGAAAGATCAAATAATTTCGTAAAATTGCCAGTGACTAACGTTGTGGAACGTGTCACAACAATGAAATTTTCGTAATTTTTGTAGTTCAAGAATGACTTCACGTATCCATTAAATCAGTATGGCGGAAAACATGACTGAGAAAACTTTTAGAACTGAATTTCTTGATTCTTCCACCACTTTATATTTACTGGTCCGTGTTCACTAATTTTTCATTTCATACACTTCCACAACTAATGGTAAATTGTTGTATAATTATAGAAAAGGACATTAGATTGACAGAAAAATGTTTAATTTTTTCAATGGTTTTCAATCTCAAAGATGCAATTAATTCCAGTACAATTTGACAAAGGTAAGTTTCATTCGATTACGTCAAATTTGTCGTAATAATGCAAACTTTCTTACGAGAAATGTAAAACTAATTATGTGCATATTCTTATATTCAAGAAATATCCTGAATCATCATTTTTCAGCCAGCATCACACAAAAGGGAATGTTGGTTTCGGCGTTGAAAACGAGATTTCGTTGAATAATTGATCGAAAGACGGATTTCTAAAAAACAAATGCAACTGTATTTGTCTGATTTGAGTAACAAATTACAAATGTTCATTATAATCGTTGGAAGATCAAATTTTTTCAAGGTCACTTCTTGATACACATTTTTTTTAAATAAAAATAGGATTTTACGAAATATCTAGAATAGTGTAAAACTATAGATATCACTATAGTTTTCTGCACTTTCTCATCGGAAAATCCGTTATTTGCACTTAAAGCTGCTTAATTATTGTTTCTTCGGTCAAAAACCAGTTAAATCTTGAAGTACACTCACTACTGACTGTCAGAAATGAAATGAACAAAATTTCCTCTAAGATCATGCGATCCTAGGAATGACAGTGGCGCCCCCTTCATTAATTTTTGTCTCGTCACTTCGGAATGTCTCGAAAGCAACACACTTTAGGTCTAACATTCACTCAGTCCACTCTAAAAGCACAAAGAATCGCAGTTTCCCACCCCTTACACTGCTAAAAGAAAGAAAAGCTTGTATATTTTTTACCTACCAACCAAAGTAAACGCAAAATAATCGTTTGAGTACAATAAGCTATTTCGTCTATTCTTCCATGTGTTGTGGCTGGCGTCAGTCGTCTATCTGGTGTCGAGCCCTCCCCCCCACACCAAGATGGCTACTATTTGCAAGCTGATTGGCTCGAAGTCCAATGTAGACGGAACTTGTAGAGAGCGGCACAGTTCGGGCGTGGAACACGCGCGCGCAGTACCCCCACGCTCGACTTCCGGACAAGTTTTCCATTGGACGCCAACAGTGTTGCCAAGTTATATTATATCGAGGTCTACTTCCGTTTCTCTCATCGTCGTCATCGTTGTCGTCGAACTACATAGCACATTGTATGTGCGCCATAAAATTTTTATTAAGAATCGGTTGTCTTTTCTTTGTTTTATCTTTGGATTATGCGGCATGTGTACTATAGTCAATATATTTTTTTCTTTGTAGGCAACTTTTTTTCAAACTTTAATTGACTTTTTCGCTCTGTTTCTCATTTTCTGGCATTCTTGTTTTACGTTTACGAGACGATTGCATTGCACATTTTTGCGATTATTATATAAGATTCAGTCGACTGTAAATCTTGAAATATTCCAATCGAGAGGTTTGATCGATATACGTACATACCGTTTGCTTTAAAATACTCAAGACAAATGTTAACATTCGCCATACTGCATGTACAAATTTTCCTACTTACGTCACCGTCACTACATATTTTCATCCTTAATACAAAAAAAAAATACAAAAACAATAATGTAATGTTTACCTGGTTACAAGCAAAGTAATCGATTCTCCAGAGCGAGAGGCTTTGTTAGAGTGTACGTAAATTTTGGCAACCAACGAATCGCTGCCTCAGCGAAGTGCAAATTGTCGTCATTTTAGTCTTTTCACCAACAAGCTCACCTATAAACTTATGCACAAACGATTAGAAAATATTATACACGGATAAGTTTTCGCGTCGCTAAGTGAAATAGTGATTGCAGTAGTAGCAGCAGCAGCAGTACATAGCATGGCGTTTTACCTATGCAGATCCAGCTACAACGGTGCGAGTAAAATGTGAGACCGATGCTATGCCGTCCTCTTTTGCTACAAAAATGACTAGCGTTGGTGGTGTTTATAGCTTTTGTTTAACCGACCCACTTCGTGTTACTTAATTTTTCTCGATGTCGGGGAGCAGGATGGCTTGTCAGACCAGTAGACTTTACATTCATATCTCTCTCTCTCTCTCTCTCTCTCTCTCTCTCTCTCTCTCTCTCTCTCTCTCTCTCTCTCTCTCTCTCTCTCTCTTTTTCTCTCTTTTCTCTTTCTCTCTCTCTCTCTCTTCTCGCTTGCTAACTTTGACCCATTTTTTCCACGCAAAATCAACAGCAACGCAAAGGGAATGGTTATTAAAAAATTACCATCTCTCGCAAGAAACTTGAGTATAGTATCGCGATGAAAAGATCGATAATGATTTGCTTGCAGGTAGGTACATTAACTTTGTTCAACGTGAAATTAAGTCTCGCTACGAGTAGGATACATCCGGTAGGCACTGCAATGGCTATCTGCAAATGGCATAATGCACTCGCGAATAAAAGAAGGGCTGCTTTATACGACGAGGAGTAGGAGAGAGAGTGAAAACGAGAATTGATCGCGCTACCACGTGCTACTACTGCGGTTACTATATTAGCGGGAAAGAACAAAGCGATCAGAATAAACGCTTGTGCACCTTTTCGTTACAAATATAAATTACTTGCGACCACGAGACTAAGGATGCTCAACGATGTATCTTCGGTTTACTGCAATTCTGGAAAGTATACTATCGTTGCGCAATCTAATCGCTCAAAAGTAGCTATGTACACTGTCTCTCCTTCTCTCGGTACAAAAAGAGCCGCCGCTGTACTACCAATCTATATTTTATAGAATATATACAACGGTGGCCCGCCGACCCGCCGTTGCCACTGACAAAGACAGAAGTATAAGTCTCGCTCATTCCTGGTTATGCTTCGGCCAGTTCGGCCCTCTATCAGAGAAATACTTGTTCATGTAGGTATGGAAGGAAACGTGATGTCGATGTTAAAAAATGTCTTAAAGAATAGGTAGGTAGTTTTAGTTTGCCTTCATGAGTTTTTGTTGAAATAAAGATTGTGCTATGTCTTTTCATTAATAGAATTGGAAGTTAACAGCATTGTTTTGAATATGTTTATTAATAAGTTAAAAATCTTTAAATTAATCGACATAATTTGCTTTATTTGACCTTTGAAATAGATTTTTCCTAAAAAAGTACATATACAAAATATTTTCTGAATGATGTGCATCTTCAACAAAATTTTTTTTGGGTCTTCATATTCCATTGCATTTTGCGATGAAAAAAGTATGTTTAGTTTAATTTTTTCTGAAAAAAAACTGTATCTCAAAGATACTTTGAGACAGACATTTATTTTTATTAAGTATATTTTCTTAATAAATATTCTGTAATTCTCTAATTCAGTGTATTTCATTTGTAGTATTTATCATATTTAGGATATACATTACTTGAATTGTAGTAAAAATTAACGCATAGTGATGTAATAAGATCAATTGGTCACTTATTTCTTACCAAAATTTAAATTGTAAATCTCAACCGTGATCAGTTTAAAAATGATGAGTATCTATGTAAATAAAGCAATAGTATTAATGAATGGAACAACTTCAAATACACAATTTAAATACAGTATGCAGTGACAATTGTTAATCTTGCATACTTTTTTAGGTAATTTATAAAAATTATAAAGTACAGCAACCTATAATTTTTTGACAATTAGTTGATAATCATAAATGAAAATTTATAGAGCAAGGATAAGAATCTGGATGCTGATAGTTTTGTGAATATTGAATGCAATCAACAATGTATACACCCATTAATTAACCAATTCACGAATTTATAACAAGGAACAATCATATAAAATGCATACATTTATTTATAATGAAATCTAGTAGAAAATTAGATACATCATTGCCAGTCTGCAGAGAAATAGGTTATCTCAGCTTAATATTGTCGACATCTTGGGTCTGAAATATTGATGTTGATTTATGAACTCTGAAATGAGCAATGCTAATTAAATTTGGCAGTGTGAAACATTTTTTTCAATTGACAAATGAAGATATCTGTCCAAGCCAAACTACAATAATAGCAGCAAAGTAGAACTGCACGATTATATATGTAATCAACCAATACAGATTACAGACCATGGAGACTACATACGTATGTAGTCTCCATGTTACAGACTCTAATTAAGCGAGTTAAGGCTATTCCTATGTACTCGTTCACATGAAAATGAAAGCTTTCCACGAAGATGTCACTGTCGTCGTTGATTCACGAGTTCTAAATCCAAATCGCATTTTCAATGATTAAGCATCGATAACACCAAACAATGTTACGTCAAAGGGCTTATTTTAGTGAATTGTGCCACCGCAACTTGTCAGGAAAAATCCATTCGATGCCATCAATGTTTAATAGTCGAAAATAGTGGTTTTGAAATTCACGAGTCGCCAATTAATCACGCTACGATGGAAAAAAGATAGCCAAATATATGATATATTATTGTATTATTAATGTTAATATAGTACATCTATATTATCATTGCTCCTATCCTGTGCAATTGCAGACACACCTAGATATTAAACAATTTTCTTTTTAATTTGGTTATTTCGGTACACGTCCGACGTCCATTGTACGACGTCCGATGTATTTTTATGTAGAAAGCCTCTAAAGATCGCAATTATTAATTGACAACAACAGAATCTATATTTTCGTAGAACGAGACTTTAATAACTAGATTATATTTATTAGAAAATTACCAGTATTGGTATTGTAAATATGCAAATATTTTAGTGTGCTTAATTCTGGTATATAGCTAACTAAAAATATGTATAAAAATGGAGAAAATTTGTCACACTTTTTCTACAATGATTTACTCAAACGAAACGTAATGGGCACTTAAAAAAATTTTAATTAATAAATTTTATTACGTAAATATTATGATTGATCAATTCTGTAGCATTGTTGGCTAATTAGGAAGCGAAGTATGATCGACTTATCAAAGAAATTATAATCCAGACGAAAAATTGGAACACGAATTTTGTCCGATAAGAATCAATAGTCACCATGCTGGTTTCTATAGAAATGAGCAATAACTCACACTGATAAACACTCCAGGTAAACAATAAGTATAACAATCAGTTTATGCCCATTCGTGCAGTATAATGAATCGAATTTAAAATTTTAGTTGGTGTTAAATTACAATCGACATGATGCGTTGCTAATGAAGAAGATAAGATAATGAGATTTTATTAATATTAAACGGAAAGGTCATGAGAATAATATAGAAAGAACGTCAGTATAAAGGCATATAATAGTTCATTATAAAATAAAATAGTTGAAAAAAATTATGTTATGAAGCATAAACAAACACTTTTGATCATTCATAAGAACAACGAAATAAGCCCTGCTTCGACAATTAGCTACTTTAATCAACATTTTTATTTTACGTAAACCGGATAATGGATAATAGATAGCTGGTTTATTCGAAATTACGAAATATAAAAATGAAAAGAAATTTATTCAATATCCAATTTGTTAAGTTGATAAATAATGAATAATGAATTGCACGTTTATTTGCCTTTCCGTACATAGCTTTGCAATATTTCATATTGCACATTATTAAAAGATGTTCGGCTGATGAAGAAGCTTTAACCGATTCTTTCCTGAGAAGTGTCTTCGTTAATGGCGCGAACTAAGTTGTCGTCGTCCAACATCGTTAGGTGGTTTCCTGTCACGTAATCAACCTCAACCGAACCTTTTGTAATCTAATAAAACATAATTTCAATTTGAATTTATGTTAATTCCATCTGCATATATGTGAGCACTTAAAAAGCACAATTCCTCACCTTCGAAAGGCCATAATCTTCCGAATCCAGATTAAGCGTGGTGATGGTCGGTTTGAGCAAAGTAATGGGAGCTTTGATTGGCTTGAATAGCGATGCATCGTAATTGACTGCCATTGCTAGTCTCTTGTGGACAGCAGTGCAGATATTTTTGTGACTTCCAAGAGGGAAGCCAAATTTTACGAGAGGGCATATCTCATCGAAAGCCTGCACTTTGTCCTGCCAATCTTTACAATTTCTCAATCTCTCTGCAAACTACACAACGAAACGGTCGATAAACAATTCGATGAAGACGGCATTTCCGGATATAAAATCTATCGAATTCACCTTTCGATCGTCGCCCGGAGCCAACACCTTAAGCATCATCATAAGAGTTCTGGTTTGTAAGTCATCGTCGGTCCCGAGTCGCGCGAAGATTGCCTTGATTTGTTGGGGTGCGCCGTCAATCAGAATCAATTTGCCAGTCAATCCTTCGGCCTCCAATTTTCTGACTAATTCAATGGCAATCAACGATCCGAACGAATAGCCGACTATCTTGAAGGTGCGATGATGTCGGCATTTGTCGAGCACGTGCTAAAAAGTGATTTATCTTCCTCATGTTAATTGCCCGCAATGAAAATAAGGTTGTGAGTTTCGACAATTACCCGAAAGTATTTTTCGGCGATGTCAGATGCAGAATCGTCCGTGTAGTCATCTATTCCCAGCTGCAAACACGTAGCGGGTGCTTCAAGCTTTGCAGCTAATTGATCGAAGAACACGGCTTGACCTTCTATTCCCGGAATCAAAAATATCTCGTTCCTTTTCGTATTCTCTTTGGTCTTTAGTTTCAAGTATATTTGATAGTTTGTCATTTTTAGATTGTCGATTAAATTCTTGAGCAGCCTCATGTCCATCGGAACATTGACGCTTTCGTCAGTTCCCCTCGCTCCGCGATCTTCGTTCTGCTTGTCTGACATTTCTTGGAGTTTGGTGAAGTTAAGACGTCGAACGTCTTGTGCAGTAAGGAATACTCCGAATTCGCGATCCAGCGTCTGTTTGACCTCGACCGACATCATCGAATCCATGCCAAGTTCAGAGAGCGGCACGTTAGGACTCACACCTTTCAAATCTTTCAGGCCTGTGATCACAAATATCAAATCGAAATACATGCGTTACGTATTTACCGAGGAAAAACATGCGAATTACCCATGATATTCTGCACGGTTTGCACGATACTGAGATAGCCAGCTTTTCCAGCCTTCTTCTTGGCAGCGACGATCATACTAGAGACAACAGGTTGCTTCTGTCGTAACAAGTTGTCGAGCTCTTGCAGGCACGAGGATATCGGCTGCGGCACTGTACCACCGATCACTTGCTCTTCGTTATCTCGTTGCATGTCGGCCACTAAACCGACGTCTCCGATAGCACCCCATTGTATCGCCAAACCTGGCAATCCATCGGCAACTCTTCTCTCGCATATTCGCTCCATAACCTGTGAAGAATATTTCGTTTATTCTGGCCTTGAACGGACGTCGGTGAGCCTGGACTTACCGAATTAGACATTCCGTAATTCGACTGCCCGGCATTGCCTCTTCCACAAGACACTGATGAAAATACCACAAAGTGTCTCAACCGCGGACACAACTGACGAGTCAGCGAGTCGAGATTTTTCGTAGCCCGAGCTTTCGGCTTGAACGATTCCTCGAATGACCGCGGACTTTGATTTTCCAGCAACGCGTCCAGCAGCACCACCGCTAAGTTGAAGACAGCGTCGATCGGAGCAAGTTCGGCTGCGGTATCGAGGATGAATCGACAGTCGTCGCGGGACGACGCGTCTTTGCCAGGGACCACCACGACGTTCACTCCGTAACTCTTCCACAACTGTAATCTCATCTCTTGATAGCCATTCTTGACGCCGCTACGTGACACGAGCACGAGGTTTCTCGCTCCTCTCAGTACCAACCAGTCGGCTGCAATTTGATCGAGTGGTGATTATTGCAAAGTAGCGGGAAACAGACAGAAAGAA